ATAACGTATTTTTTTAAAGGTCTCGTTCACTCGACAATTCCCCCCATCTGCAGTGGTCTCCAGCATAAATGAAGGTCTCTGTAGAAAAAAAAAGCTCTGGCGCTCCTGTTTCAGGAGGTAGACGTTGGTCAGAGGAGTGGAGGAGCTAAAGTTTGGAGTCTTACTCGTTAATCTTCCTGAGGGGTGGACAGCTCTCACCTCTGATTGGCTAACAGGAGTGCCACTCTTCCACTGCCTTCGTTCTTTCTCAGGTAAAAGAAACAACATGGATCTTTTATCTTCCCAAGTAACACAAGCCCAAACCTATTCCACCTAAATTGTTGAGTTGCTAGCGGTTAGCTTGCACTAGCTGAGGCGTGTTAGGCACTTCAAACAGGTTTGAAGCCAAGGCTGCGTTCGCCTTGCAGGTCCGAGTGCTGCCGTCTGATTGTTGGCTAATGTCAAACGTTGGATTTGCATGCAACAGCATCAGTCTGCAGTGTGAACAGTCCTGAAATGAGCTGCATGTGCAGAAGGTGCAACATCCCAGCATCACGCCGTATTTACAGACATTCTCTGATGCTACACGTTAGCATGTGCGTCAGCTCTGAAGTTGTTTATTCAGGAGGACGAACGTGTGACGAGCGTGAGCTTTAAAAAGTCTCATTTCAGCCTCTTGGTGCATCAGACACTAAACTCTGGTGTTAATTCATCCATCACCTGTTTTAGGGAACATCCTCGCTAAATAAAACACCTTTGGTGTGTGACATAATTACCCAGCAGAGTCTGACTCGAGCTGCTGCTGTGGTGTATCTGTGAGGAGAAAAGCTGTTTAAAAGTTTCTATCAGAGTTTATGGGGAAGGCTGTGAGGGAAACACTGAACCGGGTGTGAGAAGACAGCTGCTCATCCCAGACTCCTGGAGACCCTCCTGATCTCCTCCGGCTGCAGGATCATCCTGGTCAGTCTTAATCCCTCGCTGCTCCCGGCAGCCATCGCTGTGACAGGGGTGGGCGGTGAGAGGAATACCAACCAGGAGGTTGAAGGAGAAGAGAAATCAGAAACATCCTGGTTTTCTGTTCAGGTACTTTAAGCTCCTCTCATTAATTTGTTTCCTGACACCAGATGGCATCGGGAATCTCATCCAGAGCTTCTAGGAAGAGCCGGTGTTTGTCCAGTCCATCTCAAAAATAATCCGGAGGAAACAGTTGTCCGCAGCAGGACATGTCCAAGATAGGGGCGCCCAGGGACTTAAGGCCTGTGAAAAAATATCATTTTCAAGCACTGCATCTTTTTAAATGAATTTAATTAAAATCAAAATGAATAAATTTGGCCCCTGCCAGTGATGATCCGTTAGATTCATCCTAACCCTTCCCTCCATCACCTGTGTCCGGATGATTCCTGAATCATCTCATTTAGATATAAACATCCCATCATCCAAAGCTGCAGCTGCTGAGGTGGTGACGAGTTTAAGCGTCCATGCTAATGAGTGTGATCAGTTAGCACGAAGCTAAACAACAGTCTCTAAAACGTCTGCTGACTTTTCAGGTCCTGCAGCTCCTGGTGTGTTAAGGTAGAGCTACAGTGGCACCTGCTGGCTAGAAGGAGAACTGCAACATGGGTTGACAGTTGATGTGCACATGAACAGGAACAGAAAATTACAGATAATGTGTTCATCTTACTCTGACCGGGTCACGAAGGGCAGAGTCCGCTCCTGCAGCTCTAAATCAGGTCTGTCTGGAGAAAAGGTAGAATTTTCCTTCCTAGTTGGGAGTTTTTTACCCCAGATAAAGGATTTTAGGAGTGAGAAGTATCAAAACATCTGTGTGCAGAAACATGGCGGCTTCTCCAGTTTGATGTGTGAAGAAGGAGCAGAAAGACAAAGTTCTGGATGTACTGGTTCTGAAAGATTCCAACTCTCGTCAATGGTTATGAGACCGGGGTCAAAGAACGAGATAAAAGCAGGTGTGTTAGCTTGGCCGGGAGGTCATGGAAGCTTTCATCCCAGAGTAAACCAGAGCCACACCTCCCGGTGACACACACGCTAGCCCTATGTACACACACACACATCTACAATTACACTGTAAAAAGAAAAAAAAACGTAGGTCTCACAGTAAAACGTTGGAAAGATACCGTAAAACTGGGCAGAACTTTTCCTTTTAGGGTAAGAATGTATTTTTATGGTTGTTTTTACAGTTAAACTGAAGTCGGTATAAAAAATGTTTTTACTGCGAAAAAATTACATTTAAATTATCTATTAAATTAAATTATTCCCACAAAAACAAAATTCTAAGCTTTCTTCATTCCAAACAGTTCAGAATGAAAACACAACTACCTGCCCTTAAGGTCATAACCACCTATTATAGCTCTGCCTGCACAGGTGATGTATTTTAACTGCACTTGTGGGTCAAAAGTAGCTGTAATGACATCAGTAGTGAACAGCACCACAGCCTTCACGTGCATTCACGAGTCAGGACACTTCCCTCTGACTAGCGGTGCAGCCACATCTCACCTAAATGCCGCTAAGCACACTGAAAACAGGAAGTAAACTCCTTACACCACTACCAGCCACTAAAAGCTGTATTTTTCCCAATAAATAAATTTAAAAATCTGTGTTATATAAACGTTTAGAAAAGTTTTCGTTAAGAAAACAAGCGTGCCTTTAATAGAATTATGTATTTTTTACAAAGAAAAAAACTTAAAATATGTGTTTTCACCAATTAATTTATGGATAAGCAGGGCTAGATTAACACTTTGTTGTACCCTGGGCAACAATATTAAAGGGCCCCATCATCACGACCCAGGGATCACCATAATATGGTCACATACAGAATATTTTACTGTAATATGCAGTAAATATACTCAATACTTGAATGCCTGACATCACGTAACCCCTCAGGGTAACCTTTGACCCACCTTGTGTGGACTGACCAATGAGGAGAGGGTCTTAACTTGAGGCCCTCTCTTCATTGGTCAGTCTGCATGAGACTGACTCTCAACTGACGTTCAGTCATAGGCAGCGAAGCGTCTCTGTGCGGCGCAAAAGCTCGGGTGGACAGTTTGTTTAATATAGGGTGACCAAATTTCCATTTCTAATAAAGAGGACAGGGGATCTGTGCCTATGACGTCACACTATGGCAACACCACACAAACCATGTTGGGACCCATTTTTTTGTAAGAACTACATTAATATCAGATTCTGCCAATTAAAGGGCTCTAAAACAATTCATATGTAAATATTTAGCATATTTATTGCAAAATCTCATTTTTCTGCTTTAGTGCTGCAACAAGGTTTTATTAATAATAAACTATTATACCTTTTGTTTTACTACAGCATCGGTAAGCTTCCTGTGCACAGATTATTAAGGATGCTTGTTTCAGCTGTGAGATTAGACGATAGGATCAATGAAAAAATAAGTTGTCACACACTCCATGGAAACTTTCAGAGAATCCACAAATAATGGCTTTCAAACGGTTTTGTTACTTTTTGCAAGTTTAGAAAAGCAGCAGATGAGACAGCATGTCTGATAATTTAGTTTTGCATCTGATAATATTAGAACATGTCAGTAATGTCTGAGGGGTTTTTACAAAAACTGTATAACTAACACTACTGGAGAGGGTATGGATTACACAGAGGCTTCTGGGGAGCCCAGTTATGGGGGGTGGGAGGTCATTTAGCCTTGGCCCCCAAAATGTCTTGAAACGGCCCTGGGTGTGTGACTGAGTTTTGAAGGTGATCTGAATTGTATCAGATATATAAATATTACATGTGTGTAACTTTTTGTTTTATAGGTAAAAACGTGTAGTGGAGATAAATCTACCTACATTTGACTTTTCAACACTTTGTTTTGTTTTCTTGTTTTTATTTAACTATTTTCCTGTCCTGTCTGTCTCTCATCTTCCTGCATCTTCTCTAAACTCTCCAGAAAAACTGCTGCCTGGATTCTTACTTTTTCACCTCATCAGTTACTTCTGAGCAGATCAAAGGGATCTCCTGACCGCAACGCGGAGAGCGTGTTTCGATGCTGCGTCAATGAGGTGAAATCACCGCAGCACAGGTGATGAGCTCCGCAGTAGCAGAGCGCTTCAGGCGCAAATAAGACAGAAAATAGAGAACATGTGTGGACATGAACGATCGTGTGTTATAGTTTTTTGGTTGTGCCACTTTGAGAATGGACCGTGCGCTGGACGCAGCAGCCTGGAGCGCTGCGCAACAACGATCATCGCTCTGCCACTCTAGAGTCCATAAATGATGTAATATAGGTAGAAAATGTTATTTCCGGCTCCCCTGGATGTCTAGGATATCCAGCTCCCCCATAATTCGATCCCTGCTCCTGGATGAAAAGCCGGACATTTTCATCAATACCCCCCCCTCCCCCCCCCCCCCCCCCCCCGGACGCCCTGGACAGAGTGAAAAGTGGACATGTCCGGGGAAAAGAGGACGTACGGTCACACTAGTCTAATATAAAGCGGGAGATTACAGATACAGTATTTTGCCCATGCCCTTGCTGCCCTGGGCCCTTTAGAGTTCGTGGGCCCTGGGCAATTGCCCAGTTGCCCATATGGTTTATCCGGCCTTGTGGATAAGGCAGCTTCACATAAAATCAACAGTTTGATATTTTTATAGCTGACGGGTTTTTCCTGTCATGGTTTTATGGTTTATCACTGTTAAATACACGGTTATTTGTACAGCGTACTCAGTGGCTCACCTAATGTCAGTTAGCTCCATCAATCTCCAAATTAGTTCATCCCTCTGGTGCACAGCCCCCCTGAGACCTCTGGTGCACAGCCCCCCGGAGACCTCTGGTACACAGCCCCCCTGAGACCTCTGGTGCACAGCCCCCCGGAGACCTCTGGTGCACAGCCCCCCTGAGACCTCTGGTGCACAGCCCCCCTGAGACCTCTGGTGCACAGCCCCCCGGAGACTGTTTCACTTGTGCACACTTGCTGACCGGAGCGCCTGAAACCGTTGCAGTTCCTGTGTGTGACCAGCGGGGGCGCTGCTTCCCGGTCAAGGTCCGTTTCCTGCCGCTAAAGCAGCAGCGAGTGGCGCTCCTCTGTTTGTTACTGACGAGGAAACTCCGGTCAATCAGCTGTTCAGCTGCTTTTAGTTAAACATGAAAGCAAACGTAACAACGTGTTAAGTTAAACCCGGAAGTATGAATAACTTTAATGGTGTTAAGTCTATTTTTATGACAAATGTAACCATAAAGCTGATTGTCTTTCTGTCCAGGTGAAGCTCCAGATGGAGCCGCAGTGTGAGGAGGTGGAGGAGGAGGCTTCAGCAGCCATGCTGTGGTCCGTCCAGGAGGCGGTGGAGAGGCAGACTTTGCAAATCGGAGCCTCCGCCTGCGGAGCCACGGCGGTGGTGGACGTGCTGAAGGCCCTGGGGGTGGAGGCGACACCGGAGGAGGTGGACCGCTACGTCCAGACCCGGCTGAGGAGGAACGAGTCCCTGCTGCCAGACTACCTGTTGTCCCGCAGCGAAGCAGGTAAAGCCCCGCCCCTTTTCTGCTGTCAAACCCAGAACAAGACTGATATGCTAACTGCTAGTGTAATTAAGCCGCATTTACTTATAAATTACCGTAATGACTCGAATATAGGACGACCCCCTTTCCAACACTAATCTTCAGGAAAAGACAAAAAATTAAAAATAAAACACTTTTTAAATAAACTATTTTTTATTGAAAATTTGAGAACAAAAACTGAGCAAAAAATACAATTTTAATGCAAACTATCAGAACTTTGCTGACGTGTGAAATCAAAAGTCAAATGAGGCTTTTATTCAGACTTGCTCTGCCTCGCTGTACTATGCTGCTGCATCCAGGTGTACCATCAGATCGCTACACCTGCCGACTCCTCCCAGAACGTCATCTTCACTGCCATCCAAGGCATCCATGCATGAAATGTTTGACACCTCCGCTGAATTGACCACCATCATCTTAAAATTTGCAACTCTGCCTTATAGCTTGTTAACTTGCCCCACATTCGGTCCACTCCGCTCCCGTCTCCATTTTTTTCTCCTGTTGAGAGCACACAGCCTGGTGCCCTCTGCTGTTAGGGGGGCGTGTAATGGTTAGACTTCGATTATAAGACGACCCCACATTTTAAATTTATTTTCAAGAAAAAACCTCGTCTTATATTCGGGTCAATACGGTATTCAGCTGGTAGAAATAAACCAGAAGTGCTTCAGCTGACCTGTTATGTTATGTGGAGTTCTCTCTGCCAGCAGGTAAAAGGTATTAATTCGGACTTTTACTTTGAAACATCAGTCACACAGGCTAAGGCTACTTCCAACTTTCACACATTATTATTATTGTTGTTGTTGTTATATTAACATTAGTATCAAAAGGTTTGTAATAAAAGTCAGGATAGGAAAAGGTTTTCTTGATTTTCCAGGTTTTAGCATGTTAGCTTAGCCTGGAAGTGCTGTAATCAGAACGACTTCCTGATAAGTTTTGCTCTGCTGTGCAGTAGCATTTCCTGTCTAAAACACAATAACAGGAGAAAAAGTGATGTCATATTCTAGGTCACAGGCGTCAAACTCAGTCTCTCGGACCATATTGGCCCATGAGATCAAATAGAAAACTGGCTCGCAAGACTACAGGGAGAGCAGAATTATTAGGCAAGTTGTAATTTTGAGGAATCATTTTATTATTGAACAACAACCATGTTCTCAGTGAACCCAAAAAACTCATTAATATCAAAGCTGAATGTTTTTGGAAGTAGTTTTTAGTTTGTTTGTAGATTTAGCTATTTTAGGGGGATATCTGTGTGTGCAGGTGACTATTACTGTGCATAATTATTAGGCAACTTAACAAAAAACAAATAAATACCCATTTCAATTATTTATTTTTACCAGTGAAACCAATATAACATCTCCACATTCCCAAATATACATTTCTGACATTCAAAAATAAATCAGCAACCAATATAGCCACCTTTCTTTGCGAGGACACTCAAAAGCCTGCCATCCATGGATTCTGTCAGTGTTTTGATCTGTTCACCATCAACATTGCGTGCAGCAGCAACCACAGCCTCCCAGACACTGTTCAGAGAGGTGTACCGTTTTCCCTCCTTGTAAATCTCACATTTGATGATGGACCACAGGTTCTCAGTGGGGTTCAGATCAGGTGATCAAGGAGGCCATGTCATTAGTTTTTCTTATTTTATACCCTTTCTTGCCAGCCACGCTGTGGAGTACTTGGACGCGTGTGATGGAGCATTGTCCTGCATGAAAATCATGTTTTTCTTGAAGGATGCAGACTTCTTCCTGTACCACTGCTTGAAGAAGGTGTCTTCCAGAAACTGGCAGTAGGACTGGGAGTTGAGCTCGACTCCATCCTCAACCCGAAAAGGCCCCACAAGCTCATCTTTGATGATACCAGCCCAAACCAGTACTCCACCTCCACCTTGCTGGCGTCTGAGTCGGACTGGAGCTCTCTGCCCTTTACCAATCCAGCCACGGGCCCATCCATCTGGCCCATCAAGACTCACTCTCATTTCATCAGTCCATAAAACCTTAGAAAAATCAGTCTTGAGATATTTCTTGGCCCAGTCTTGACGTTTCAGCTTGTGTGTCTTGTTCAGTGGTGGTCGTCTTTCAGCCTTTCTTACCTTGGCCATGTCTCTGAGTATTGCACACCTTGTGCTTTTGGGCACTCCGGTGATGTTGCAGCTCTGAAATATGGCCAAACTGGTGGCAAGTGGCATCTTGGCAGCTGCACGCTTGACTTTTCTCAGTTCATGGGCAGTTATTATGTGCCTTGGTTTGTCTACACGCTTCTTGCGACCCTGTTGACTATTTTGAATGAAACGCTTGATTGTTCGATGATCACGCTTCAGAAGCTTTGCAATTTTAAGACTGCTGCATCCCTCTGCAAGATATCTCACTATTGTTGACTTTTCTGAGCCTGTCAAGTCCTTCTTTTGATCCATTTTGCCAAAGGAAAGGAAGTTGCCTAATAATTATGCACACCTGATATAGGGTGTTGATGTCATTAGACCACACCCCTTCTCATTACAGAGATGCACATCACCTAATATGCTTAATTGGTAGTAGGCATTCGAGCCTATACAGCTTGGAGTAAGACAACATGCATGAAGAGGATGATGTGGACAAAATACTCATTTGCCTAATAGTTCTGCACTCCCTGTACAAATCCCATAGTGCATTGCAGCGTTAGCGCATCAGTTGAAGCAGTACCGCCTTTGTGTATGTTTACATTCATTATCATCCATGCTACTACTCTGCGTTGGCGGTGTAACGCTCCTCTCGCTCAGCGCTGACTCTACTCTGTGATCTGCCAACTTTGAAGCCCAGAAATGGAGATTCCAGCTCAGGAATGTGTGCAGGGCTGGCAGAAGCTGCACCAACCAACCTCCAGACAGCGCTGATAGAAAACCAGTATAGTGACGTGCTCAAGTCTGACTCTGTGGCTGCTGCAGTTTGTATCTGTCCTCTCCGACCCCGACCTTAGCTAACCCTAACCCCACAGGTGAGCATCAGAGTGGAGAAAACTCACCTTGAATTATTTAGGTTTTATGAAACTTTTCTGCTCCAAATCATGAAAGTTAAGAGGTGAAATAATGCAGTTTCATTTAAGAGAATGACTATTTTTTCTTTTTGTTGTTGGCCCGTGAAGAAAGATTTCACCTACTTTAGAACAGGAACGGCTACAGATGGATGAGCAGAATTCCCTTTATTGTCCCTCAGGGGGAACGTTTGGTGTCATAACATTCCTTACAGTAAAAACAAGAATAAAGAGTAAATACCACTGAACTGTTTTACTTCTAATCGATTTGTTTGTGTCTCATTTGGTTATTCCACATTCAATGTTACTGCAAAATATGTTGGTTTCGTGTGTGTGTGTGTGTGTGTGTGTGTGTGTGTGTGTGTGTGTGTGTGTGTGTGTGTGTGTGTGTGTGTGTGTGTGTGTGTGTGTGTGTGTGTGTGTGTGTGTGTTCATTAACTCGATGATGCAGTTCTGTTTTTTCTGCGACACCTTTCCATAATCCAGCCTATGCTGTCGAACGCCCACCTGGAGCAGGTTCTCCATGCATTTGTAATCTAGGCTAGATTATTGTAACTCTTTATGCTGAACTGGGTCAGCCATCCCTGCGTCGTCTTCAGACGTGCAGAACTGTGCTGCTAGCTTTCAGACTGGGTCTGGAGACGGGATCACATCCGTCCGGTGCTGGCCTCTCTGCACTGGCTTCCGGTCTGTTTTCAGGCACGATTGAAACTTTTGGTGTTTGTTTCTAGTTTCTTTCAGGGAGCTGCCTCCGTCTACTTATCTGTGCTCCTGAGTAGACCTGTTCCCACCGTGTGTGTGCCCATGCCGTGGGCTCCCGTAGAGGGTTGTGGAAGGCGCTTTAGAAATGAAGCCTTGATTGGTTAAAATGAAAAGGTTCAACCGTACATATCTGTACTTCATCCCACGTTTTCATTTTGGCCCAAAGATGGATTTGAGTTTTAGGTAATCTGCTGGATTAAAGCAGGTGAGCTCACCATAAAAGAGTTGCTGAATTCACACACCTGAGTTGCACCTGATCCTGTTCCTAAAGGTGCGACTCACGTGCAGCTCATCCAGGGGGCGCTAGAGGCCAGTGGTGGGAAGGTCACGGGTCGGTTCTTCCACCTCCATCCTCGCCGCCAGGTCCGACTGGTCCCCTGGCTCGCACGCTGGATCCGAAAAGGGGCCGTTCCCGTAGCAACCATGAACATGCAGCTGGGTGTGCCGGAGGGGGAGGAGGTGCCTGACGCCTGGCACCATCAGCTGATATTTGGTGTCGCAGCAAACGCCGTGTTCATGACCAACCCTCTGGATGTAGGTGAGTGAGTGAGTGAGTGAGTGAGTGAGTGAGTGAGTGAGTGAGTGAGTGAGTGAGTGAGTGAGTGAGTGAGTGAGTGAGTGAGTGAGTGAGTGAGTGTGTGTGTGTGTGTTCAATAAAACGCCATAGAAACCTTTGGTAAACCCTTACCTGTGATCAGGGGTGGACTGGGACCAAAATTTGGCCCTGGCATTTTTATGAACCGTCTGCCCTCAGCAGGGGAGGTTGCTGCTCGCGACTTGTGTATCCCGCCAAATGTGGGGGGAGGGACGGGGTGTTGTGTGTGCTGCTCGCGGACTTGTCTCTATGACCGCATGTGTGACAGGGCCTTTTGGCTGTATATAATGAATCCCTAAATAATGAAGAATTACCTCACTCCTTGAAACAAGATCTAATAACACTAATCCCAAAACCGAATAAAGGTGCTCTTTTAATTGATAATTGGCGTGGCCGTGTTCGACATGAGCTGCGCCTCGCCTGGAAAGCAGGCGAGAGCAGACGGAAGCAGCAGGGGGAGTGGCTGAAAGACGGCGTTTTAGTCGGACAGATTTCCCTACATGTGTAGCTCGGGGGTGACGATGGTTGAAGATATCGCGTTAGAGTTCATACTTGTTTAATTATTTATTTTAATTCTGGTGCCTGTTAGCAGCTGAAACACATCCTCACGTGCTTGTGGATATCATATATTGTAAATGGAGACATGACTGTAATAATAAGTAAAGGTTATCAGCTGTAGGTTTAGTGTGCTCATAGGAAACGTGACAGAAGAACACAAAACACATTTCTCTTTATGGCTTATACAGTTGTCATCATCAACATAACATGATTTACAGAATACATGTGACCAACTATCATTTCATGTTCTACCACCGGATGTTTGGATCAAAATATGAACCAATCAGATCTTAGATCAGGTGAGAGCCAGGCGTTTCCCGTCATCCCCTAGGTTTTGCAGCCGGTGGAGAGCAACTGCAGCGCCTTGCTCCAAAATCTGCGGCTGCCTTGATCTCACGAGGTTATCGTTGCCTACGTATGCATGACGTCAGAGCAAGTCGGCGTCAAGTCAGACACAAATCTAACCGGCATGCACTGCTCGCCGATCACCGCTGATCTAATCTGCGCAGAACTGGCTCATCTCGAACACGGCCTATTATGCGTGATTAGACTTGCCGTCATGTTTTGTGAGACTCTAATTCTTTAGCAGTGGGTAAGTGCAGTATTTATTAAAGTATTTTAAGATCAATAGTACTTTACAGTTATCAAAACTGCGGCTGGGTTTGAGCCATAAAGCCGACCACTATTAAGAGACCCGCCTTTATTTACCCCCCTGACAGCGAGACCGGCTAATGTAGGCCAGTAATGGAATACAGGCCAATATTAGAGGATTTACGGTGTGTGTGTGTGTGTGTGTGCGTGCGTGCGTGCGTGTGTGTGTGTTAGTGAGTGAAGAAGAGGCTCAGCAGCGACTCTGCAGCGACTCTGTGCTTCTGATTCGTCGGGAAGACGTCCTGCAGCGTTGGACGGAGGACTGCTCCTTGTCCAGCCTGTCGGAGAACCCGAGCGATCCGCGGTGGAGGGACCTGGATGTGGAGGGTGAAGCAGCTGCTGGTCGAGCACATTTAGCACGCTGACACCATCAGGTTTCACACCGTGTGTTTATTTTCAGGTCAGGTGTGGAAGATGGTCCTGGAGGCGGACCTGGATGAATCTGGAGCTAAAGTAGCACACATCAGGATACCTGCAGCTTACAGCTCAGGTGTTACTCTCTTCACCCTGCAGGACTCCACACTGGGACGAGAACTCCTGACTGAACCTGAAATCCCTTTGTTGTGACGTCCTGAGAGTTGTTTATGACAGATGGACAAAGTCCTCCACCCGGCTTCAGTACGGACTCTTGAGAGGATATCAATTCTCTCATCAGTAATAAACGCTCTGGCTGATGTTCCAGAGTGGTTTTGATATGAGCAGACTGATCTTCTGTAATTGCTTCAGATGTCATCATCAGTGGATTAATGCGTCAGAACTAGAATTAAAGTCTTATTTTACCTCTAAAACCCACTTTTGTGTGTTTATTTTTGCTCCTTATTAGCTGACTAGTGTTATTATAATTAATACTGTATATTCCTAGTTGAAACGATGGTTTAGGAAACATATATTAGAGTATAAAGTCTTCATTCAGACGTTTTCATGTAAGCCCATGAGACATAAACATTTATAACCATTTAGATTTCAAACAAATAATGAAATTATATCCATGCTTTCGTTCTTTTTTAAACACAGAAACAGTTTTGTTTACCTGTTTGTAGCTACGGTTTCGCCGACAGCTGCCGGCTTCTTCAGGCTGACGCTGATGGTGGCGCGTCACTTCCTTCTCCGTTTATCTGCGGGCAGCAGAGGACGTTGTCGCCCTCTACTGCCCGCTCTCCCCTCTCCGACGATGCAGTCCCATGCGTGGTCCAGCGTGTAAACTCCGTCGTCCCTGTTCATGGTCCCACATCCACGTCTCCTTATCTCTATTGCTTCCTTGATCCATCTTTTGTATTTTTGTTGTTCGGTGGTTATGATCCGTGTGCTGTCCCAGTCCATTATATGGTTTTCTCTTAAGCAATGATCTGTTACGGCTGACTTTTTTATTGTGCTTTCTGCTTCTTCTTTTGCTGCTCTTGTGTGTTTACGATTTGCCTCTTTCTCGCACTCCTTTCTGTGTTCTATTGTCCGTGTATTGAGTTGGCGTCCGGTTTCTCCTATGTATGTTTTATTGCATATTTTGCATGGGATTTCGTAGATGACTCCACATTTTTGTCCAGCTGATATTTTGTCTTTTGGGTGTACTAATCTGTTTCTAACTGTTGTGTATGGCTTTGTTGGTGTGTTTATGTTGTGTTTTTTCATTGTTGCTCTTATTTTTTCCGTTATGCCTCTGATGTATGGTAGGGTTATCACTGGTTTTGGTTCTTGTCTTTCTGGGTTTCTGGTTCTTTTTTTGGGTTGTTCTTTGCTTTCTGTTTTTGTTTGTTGTTTTCCTTTGTTTATTGCCCATGTCGGGTATCTGCAGGTCTTTAAAGCGTGTTGTATGTGTTTGTCCTCTTGTTTACGGTCTCTCTCTTCTGTTATTATGTTTGCTCGGTGATATAATGTTCTGATTACTGACATTTTGTGTATGGTGGGGTGTTCTGATGTCCATAATAGATATTGGTCTGTGTGTGTTGGTTTCCTGTATGTGTTTATGTTTAGGGTCCCGTCGGTCTGCCTGGTGATTTTCATGTCCATAAATGCTATGCTGCCTTCTGTTTCTAACTCATAAGTGAATTTTATGTTGCCCGTGTCGTCAATATTGTTTAAGTGTTGTGTTAGTGTTTCTGTTTGACCTTTTGGTATGATTTCCAGTATGTCGTCTACGTAGCGTTTCCATAGTTTTATTTTGCAGTTTGGGGGGGCGGTGGCTATGGCTTTTTGTTCCAGGTCTTCCATGAAAAACTCGCACAGGGTGGCTGATAACGGGTTACCCATGGTGAAGCCTTCCAGTTGTTTGTATATTGTGTTGTCGTATGTGAAGTAAGTGGAGTTAGCTACCAGTCCTATCAGTTGTGCTATGTCATCTGCTGTGAGGTTTGTCCTTTTATGTAAAGTTTTGTCTTGTCTGATTCTGTTAACTACTATGTCTATGGTTTTTTGGGTTGGTGTTTTTGTGAACAGAGATGTGACGTCATGTGAGATGAGTATGTCGTTGTCTTCTATTGTAAGCACACGGATCATAACCACCGAACAACAAAAATACAAAAGATGGATCAAGGAAGCAATAGAGATAAGGAGACGTGGATGTGGGACCATGAACAGGGACGACGGAGTTTACACGCTGGACCACGCATGGGACTGCATCGTCGGAGAGGGGAGAGCGGGCAGTAGAGGGCGACAACGTCCTCTGCTGCCCGCAGATAAACGGAGAAGGAAGTGACGCGCCACCATCAGCGTCAGCCTGAAGAAGCCGGCAGCTGTCGGCGAAACCGTAGCTACAAACAGGTAAACAAAACTGTTTCTGTGTTTAAAAAAGAACGAAAGCATGGATTTACAAAGACACAGCAAGAACACACCTAAAATGAAATTATATATTTAGTAATATTTGCACGAGTAGTTTCACATTAATTCATTTGGTAATAACTGAAGTTACATGGTTTTTAGAGTTGACTTGTTTTTAGCTGATTTATTATTTAAATAATTAACTTACTTAATGAAATCTTGATTGTTTCGCCTTATTTGAGTATAAATATTAATTATATAAATGTTTATAGGAGTGAACAGAAAATAATTTTTTTTTCTGATAATTATGTTATTAAATGAGTTGCTTTGGTGAGACAGGGTAATTAATATTTGATACATATTTTAGATGGACTGAGGCGTTATTTGTAGCTTTGATAATTTTAGCATAAATTCTATAGTTATAGCTAAACAAGTGAAGGAAAATGTAAGTATTTACAGAATATTGAGTAATAAACAGTAATGGTTCCTAAACCAGTAGTCAGTCATGATGTAGCCTATAACCTTGGGTTGGAGCATTCATGCTAAAATCCTCGAGCGGCACTGAACTGATGTTTATAGGAAGCAGGATGTCCAAACATCTGTATTTATCCAGTTTGGCACCCAATAAAACAAATATCTGGGGCAGCTCAGGAGGTACAGCGGGCTGTCCAGTAATCAGAAGGTTGCAGGTTTGATCCCGGCTGTTGTGTCCTTAGGCTTACCCCTTCTTGCCTGCTGGTGGTGGTCAGAGAGACCAGTGGCGCATCTCTGTCCGTGCGCCCCAGGGTACTGACACCACCGGTGTGAATTGGTGAATGTGTAATCTTTATTTAAGGTTTATATAATTAATGTGTTGGGCATTTCACTATTTTGGGCTGTACATTAATTTTTGTGTTTGTGTATATTTGAGTTCCGTATTAAAAGAAGAGACTGATCTGTTTACACCACCTGCTGGTGGATGAGGAGAAGACAGGTGGGGAGAGAGGTAGAAGGAGTAAGTGAAGGAAGCAGCGGCGAGCTGCGGTGTGGGAGTTTTTGTTCTGTCCTGCTGTTCAGCAATAAAGAGGATTATAGTCCACAACTGTAGCCCATCTTCCATGTACCCCGAGAGCCGGCACCTATCAACAAGTAAGGGTTACAAATGTGTTGGAGCACCTTGGGGGGTTATAGAGCCCTAAGATGGCGCTAAACAAACAGACCATTTACCATATCAATTTTAGTTTGGCTTCCTGGTGCTACTCTGCTCCGATAAAAGAGCACAGGCCCATCCCAGTGCGTGCTGGTCCAATACCAGTCTCAGAGCTTCCTGGCTGATTAAAGATAAAAAAAAAACAATAAAATAAACAAACAACAGTTGAAGTCTGATTTAGGTTCAAATGCTTATATTTATTTCCTACCGTGGTGGAGGGGTTTGAGTGTCTCAATGATCCTAGGAGCTGAGTTGTCTGAGGCTTTCTGCCTCTGGTAGGGTCACCCATGGCAAACAGGTCCTAGGTGAGGGATCAGACAAAGAGCAGCCCCAAGACCTCTTATGATGAATTATATAAATGGAAACCGTGTTCCCTCGCCCGGACGTGGGTCACTGGAGCCCCCCTCTGAAGCCAGGCCTGGAGGTGGGGCAGGTGGGCGAGCGCCTGGTGGCCAGGCTTTCAACCATGGAGCCCGGCAGGGCACAGTCCGAAGAGGAAACGTGGGTCCCCCTTCCCATGGGCTCACCACTCATGGGAGGGGCCAAAGGGGTCGGGTGCAGTGTGTGACGGGTGGTAGTCGAGGGCGGGGACCTTGGCGGTCTGATCCTCGGCTAAAGAAGCTGGCTTTTGGCACATGGAATTTCACCTCTCTGGTGGGGAAGGAGCCTGAGTTGGTGTGTGAGGTTGAGAGGTTCCGACTGCATATAGTCAGACTCACCTCAATGCATAGCTCTGGCTCTGGAACCAGTTTCCCTAGGGGTTGGACTTTCTACCACTCCAGAGTTGCTCCCACTGAGAGGCGCCAAGCAGTGCATACTAGTTGCCCCCTATCTTGGTGCCTGTATGCTGGGGTTTACCCCAGTGAATGAGAGGGTAGCCTCCCTCCGCCTACATGTGGGGGGATGGGTTCTGACTGTGGTCTGTGCTTATGCACCAAACTACAGTTCAGACTACCCACCCTTTTCGGAGACCTTGGAGGGGGTGCTGGAAAGCGCTCCTTCCGGTGACTCCCTCGTTCTGCTGGGGGACTTTAACGCTCACGTGGGCAACGACAGTGAGACCTGGAGAGATGTGTTTGGGAGGAACGGCCCCCCTGATCCGAATTTGAGTGGTGTTTTGTTATTGAACTTCTGTGCCAGTCATGGATTGTCCATAATGAACACCATGTTCAGACATAAAGGTGTCCATATGTGCTCTTGGCACCCGGATACCTTAGGCCACAGCTCGATGATCGACTTTGTTGTTGTTTCATCTGATCTGCGGCCACATGTCTTAGACACTCGGGTGAAGAGAGGAGCGGAGCTGTCGACTGACCACTACCTGGTGGTGAGTTGGCTCAGATGGTGGGGGAGGATGCCGGTCAGACCAGGCAGACCCAAACGTATCACGAGGGTCTGCTGGGAACGTCTGGCAGAGTCTCCTGTCAGAAGGAGTTTCAATTCCCACCTCCGACAGAACTTCCAAAATGTTCCGGGGGAGGTGGGGGACATTGAGTCTGAATGGACCCTGTTCCGTGCCTCCATTGTTGAGGCGGCCAACCGGAGCTGCGGTCGCAAGATCGTCAATGCCTGTCGTGGTGGCAACCCCCGAACCCGCTGGTGGACACCGGCAGTTAGGGATGCTGTCAAGCTGAAGAAAAAGTCCTATCAGGTCTTCTTGACCTGTGGGACTCCAGAGGCAGCTGACGGGTACCGGCAGTCCAAGCGGAACGTGGCTCGGGTGGTCGCCAAGGCAAAAACCCGGGCTTGGGAGGAGTTCGGTGAGACCATGGAGCAAGACTTCCGTACGGCTTCGAGGAGATTCTGGTCCACCACCCGGCGCCTCAGGGTGGGAAAGCAGTGCGCCACCAACACTATCTATAGTGAGGACAGTGTGCTGCTGACCTCTACTCAGGACGTTGTATATCTGTGGGCAGAATACTTCGAAGACCTCAATCCCACCGACATGTCTTCCAGTGAGGAAGCAGAATCTGGGGACTTTGGGTTGACCTCAAATCTCTGATGCTGAGGTCACTGAGGTGGTTAAAAAGCTCCTCTGTGGCAAGGCTCCAGGGGTGGATGAGATCTGCCCGGAGTTCCTTAAGACTCTGGATGTTGTGGGGCTGTGTTGGCTGACGCGTCTCTGCAATATCGCGTGGACATCGGGGGCAGTCCCACTGGACTGGTAGACTGGGGTGGTGGTCCCCTTATTTAAAAAGGGGGACCACACTCCTGAGCCTTCCTGGTAAGGTCTATTCAGGGGTTCTGGAGAGGAGGGTCCGTCGGATTGTTTAACCTCAGATTCAGGAGGAGCAATGTGGTTTTTGTTCTGGCCATGGAATACTGGACCAGCTCTATACCCTTAGGAGGATCCTGGAGGGTGCGTGGGAATTTGCCCAACCAATCTACATGGGTTTTGTGGATTTGGAGAAGGCGTTTGACCGCATCCCTCGGGGGGGCCCTGTGGAGGGTACTCCGGGAGTATGGGGTACCAGGCCCTCTGATACGGGCTGTTAGGTCCCTGTATGACCAGTGTCAGAGCTTGGTCCGCATTGTCGGCAGTAAGTCTGGCTTGTTCCCAGTGAGAGTTGGACTCTGCCAAGGCTGCCCTTTGTCACCGATTCTGTTCATAACCTTTATGGACAGGACTGATAGGCGCTGCCAAGGTGTGGAGGGCATCCATTTTGGTGGCCTGAGGATCAGGTCTCTGCTTTTTGCAGATAATGTGGTTCTGTTGGCTTCATCTCGCTGGAGCGGTTCGCAGCCGAGTGTGAAGCAGCTGGGATGAGAATCAGCTCCTCTAAATCTGAGACCATGGTCTCGATTCGGAAAAGGGTAGAATGCCTTCTCCGAGTCAGGGATGAGGTCCTCCCTCAAGTGGAGGAGTTTAAGTGTCTCGGGGTCTTGTTCACGAGTGAGGGAAAACTGGAGTGTGAGATCGATAGGCGGATTGGTGCTGCATCTGCAGTGATGTGGGCGTTGTACCGGTCTGTTGTGGTGAAGAGAGAGCTGAGTCAGAAGGCGAAGCTCTCGATTTACCGGTCGATCTACGTTCCTACCCTCACCTATGGCCATGAGCTTTGGGTAGTGACCGAAAGAACGAGATCGCGGATACAAGCGGCCGAAATGAGTTTTCTCCGAAGAGTGGCTGGGCTCTCCCTTAGAGATAGGGTGAGAAGCTCGATCATTCGAGAGGGGCTCGGAATAGATCAGCTGCTCCTCCACATCGAGAGGAGCCAGTTGAGGTGGCTCAGGCATCTGGTCAGGATGCCTCCTGGACACCTCCCTGGTGAGGTTTTCCGGGCATGTCCAACCGGGAAGAGACCTAAAGGTAGACCCAGGACACGGTGGAGGGACTATGTCTCTCACCCTTGGGATTCCCTGGGAGGAGCTGGCCCAAATGGCTGGGGAGAGGGAAGTCTGGGCCTCTCGCCTTAAGCCTGATTCATGCTTCTCCATCTGCGTCAGTGCGGAGACACGCAACGCCATTATCCGTCCTTGCGGGCCTGCTGGAGAGCTCTGCAAGGACGGACGGCGTCAAGCTCTCTTTTCTAAACAACCGTCCATCGAGACGGACAAAGCAAGCTTGTGATTGGTCAGGATGCCGCTGTTGTCTACATCGCCACCATTGCGCCCTCAAAAACATAAAGAGAGCCGAGGATAACTAGCGGCAGACACGGAGCAGCTTGAAGAATACCTCGCGAAAAAACTCTAAAAACATGAACGTTTAATTCCCTGTGACTGGAGGAGTGAAAAGATGTGCAGCAAGCCTTTTATTTGTGGACGGAAATGACAGGAAATGTGGGTTTAGTGGTGGCGAGTGCATGAAGAGGTGGAGGAGGATGAGAGACAAATTTGTCTGTTTTAAAAGTCTCTTATAAACAAAAAAACACAAAATAAACACACTATCTTGGACCGGATGCATGGCAGGATACCACAAAACAGCGCTACGCCCTCTGTTGTCCTGGTGGGGAAATGCTTTGCAACACTCCCCAGGAGACCAAGCCCAGGAGACAAGCAATTGTTGGACAAAATGACTTGCTGTGGCATTAATTGCACTAATAGAGCGTCCAAAGAGTCTCCACTTCATTTTTTTCGGTAAGTAAAATTATATTTATGTATTTTAGGTCACTGCCGAGCTGAGCTTAGATTTTAACATGTACTGTTTAACCATGAAATTTTAATGTAATAGGGTAAAACCCAGTGCATTTAACACAATGCTGCATTTTAGAAAATGAGTTGAAATATAACATGGTGGAGCTGGGTTCTGACTATCGGCTTGTGGAGCTCTCGGGAGACCGATGTTTTCCACCCGTTCTCCCCTCCCCGCAGCCCGGCGCATCTCTGTCTGATCGCAGCTTCTGTCTGCTGTGCGGGCTGCTGGCTGTTTCTCCCCGCAGCTCAGCGCATCTCTGTCTGATCGCGGCTTCTGTTTGCTGCGCGGAATGCCGGCTGTTTCTCCCTGCAGCTTGGCGCATCTCTGTCGTATCCCGGCTTATCTTTGATGCGCGGGCTGCCGGCTGGGTCTCCCCGCAGCTTGGCGCATCTCTGTCTGATCGCGGCTTCTGTTTGATGTTCGGGCTGCTGGCTGTTTCTCCCCGCAGCTCAGCGCATCTCTGTCTGATCGCGGCTTCTGTTTGCTGCGCGGAATGCCGGCTGTTTCCTCCCGCAGCTCAGCGCATCTCTGTCGTATCCCGGCTTATCTTTGATGCGCGGGCTGCCGGCTGGGTCTCCCCGCAGCTCGGCGCATCTCTGTCTGCTCGCGGCTTCTGTTCGATGTTCGGGCTGCCGGCTGGGACTCCCCGCAGCTCGGAGCATCTCTGTCTGATCGCGGCTTCTGTTTGCTGCGCGGAATGCCGGCTGTTTCTCCCCGCAGCTAGGCGCATCTGTCTGATCGCGGCTTCAGTTTGATGCGCGGGCTGCCGGCTTGTGGAGCTCTGGGATGGAAACCTTTCCACCCAGTTCTCCCCAGCGGCAGCTCTGCGCATCTCAGATCGCAGCAGCACTTGTCTGCTGTGTGGCTGCCGGCTTGTGGAGGTCTCGGAGACCTCTGTGTTCCACCCGGTTTTACCCAGCGGTCAGCCCGGCGTATCTCTGACTCAGAAGCTCTGGTGTTGTGCACAGTTAACTCCGGTTGTAGCTAGGTTGCTACCTCCGTTAGCTTAGCTCCCTCCTCCACGTTAGCTTTGGGTTAGCCAGGGTTAGCTTCAGGTTAGCTTGTAGCTAGTTCGACCGGGTGTCGTCAGTTGATCCCAGCCTTACAGCCCCACCCTCAGCTCCTCCTCTCTTCCCTTTTTTGTAATTGTCTGGGCTTGACGGAACATGTGACACGGTCAAAATGGCGGTGGTGGCCACCTCCCATTTGGCCTCAAAAACGTGATATTGGAGTCTATGGAAATCGATGTCCAGTATATTTATGTCGATGCAGGAGACAGAGAAGTATGAGGGCAAAACATCTCCGTCCGTGTGTGCGTGTCTCTCCCTTTTGGAGCTGACGTAGAAGCATGAAACAGGCTTTAGGATACCGCTCCCGCGACCACTCTGCATAAGTGGAAAAAAATAAATGGATGGATGGATGGATAGATATCATATTTTTATTAAATTAGCTAAACTATATAATAAATATGTCCTACTTTACTGCGGTAACCATGGTAACTTGTGCTGATTCGTCCTTTAAAAAGCGTTAATAACGTTAGCTTAAAGGCTAGCACTAATGAACTACATTTCCCATGATGCACGTGGCTTTCCCTCCCAAAGGAAGTGGAAGAATCTGAAAAGTTTGTCCCAAGTTTGTGTGGCGGAAGGAAAAGGTGAGTGACGCACGTGGAGGAGCTGGATTGTTTGTTTGTTTGTTTGTTTTGTAGCTGTAGCTCTGGTGCTGCGCGGCTGCGTCACGTTGGACCCACGTGGTGTTTAATCTGTGCTAACCGTGCAGACCCCCCACCCACCGAGGGTCAGTAGAGTGGAGGAGAGGCTACGCACCAGACCCACCGGGCTCCGACTAATTCCTGCACACATCAGACTAAAGCCAACGGGTGAGTGCTTTAATGTGCTGATTCCTGCTTTAAATGGTTAAAAATAACATTGTGTCTCAAACTTTAGTTATTTGTGGATAAATGACGCTTACAGCCTTTTAAATGTACGTTTACTGATTAAATGCTTTGCGTCTTCTTAATAAAATTGCATGAATTTCAGTGCAAATGATAAAAAAGACCTTATAATCAGCAAAAGTTACAATTCCGAAACGATTTACGGGATTTTTATTACTTTACTAAACTTCAGATGATCTGAAGTCACTTTTATTTTTCGCATCTTGTGTTTGCACGTGAGTCACATGATGCGTGAAGCCACCGATTAGTCCATGTTTGACACTCTTTGACTCTTTGGCGTTCTTTGTTTTGTGTCTTATCTGTGGACTTAAGTCTCCTCTCAGATGATGCATCTGCACACCCTGTGTGTGAGTCGGGGATCTGAACTCTGACCTTTGCTTACTTGATTTCCTGTTTCCCCCTGAACTGATGTAAACTCCTGGGCTTGTTCTGAAATGACCAGATAGCGTTCATAAAGGGACCCAGGCTACTTCCTGTTACCCCCAGCCCGTTAACCTGATGAAGGTTTGGACCGAGCATCACACTGACAGTGGACGTGTTTTTGTTCTGGTTGATTAGATCTTGGTTGGAGAGGGTTTAGATCATTTAAGACTGCCGTCTTGAGGAAAGGTCAGAGCTGCTTTACAGCTGTAGTAATGGCTTTTCCTGTAGGTCAGCCTGTGCATGTGATTACCCAGAAACTGGGTCTGAGAGCAGCTGGGTGGTAGAAAATCTATGCACCTCTGATATGTTCTGTTGTTGGTACTGAAGCAGGTGCGATGGCAGAGCGAGTGCTGGTGGTTGGTGGAGGAGGACGGGAGCACGCCCTGGCCTGGAAACTGGCCCAGTCGCCTCAGATCCAACAGGTTCTGGTGGCCCCGGGGAATGCCGGCACAGCCAGCTGTGGCAAGATCAGCAACTCCGGTAAATATGAGCTTTGGGGTTTCGAATATCCAGGATAAATCCTGACAGATGCATCCCAGATCGATGTTTGCTGAGATGTAACGTCGTGCAGCTCTCTACACAGGAAGTGTTTAGACAGTACGGTGGTTACCATGTGTTCCTCTCCTTTAGAGGTGTCTACCAGTAACCACTCCATCCTGGCCCAGTTCTGTAAGGACCACCATGTGGGGCTGGTGGTGGTCGGACCTGAAGCGCCGCTGGCTGCAGGTAAAGCACCTTCAGGGTGGGTTTCTTCCTCTGAGCGACCCTCTTTTCCTCACTTTCATCTGGAACATGTCCTCCAGGTATCGTTGACGACTTGACGGCTGCAGGAGTTCCGTGTTTCGGACCTTCGGCCAAAGCCGCTCAGCTGGAGGCCAGTAAGAGCTTCTCCAAAGCCTTCATGGAGCGACACGGTATTCCCACAGCGCGTTATGGCGCCTTCACCGACCCGGAGGAGGCCTGCAAATACATCCGCAGGTCCGTTCTAAGCCTCTGAAGACGTAAGACTCTTTCTGTTGGTGACCAACAAGAACCGTCGGAGATCAGAGAAAGTTCCTGGAAGAAATTCCTGTTTCTTAGAGACACTTATCCAAACAGCTGCTCCACAGACTGTCTTCACCCACATAGGTCCCAACTTCAGTTCTAAACAACAAAGATCACAGCTGGTCCATCAAAACGCCTGATCTGTTCTGTAATCATCAGTTCTCCTCCTGTTCCTCATCTCTTTACTCCCATTTCTGACTCCAGTGCCGAGTTTCCTGCTCTGGTGGTAAAGGCCAGCGGTCTGGCGGCGGGGAAGGGCGTCATTGTGGCGAAAGACCAGGAGGAGGCCTGTCAGGCGGTGATGGACATCATGAAGGTCTGCTGAAGACACGCTTAACGTTTGGTTCGGATTCAAGGTTATTTAAAGGTGCAATTTGTAGGAGTTCTGCAGTTTAAATAATCCCAAAACAGTCTAGTCTCCATGTTGGAAGGAAGGTCACACTGAGGTCACAGGTCAGTTTTTCTCCTTTCGATTAAAAACAAAGCCAGATGTAGTTCAGATGCTTGCTGACTGATTCGCTGCTGTGCGTTGTCCGTGGGGAGGGGGGTGAATCTCGTAGGCGTGGCACCTGAGCCTGTGGAGGGGGAACGCTGTCTCTAAATTTGCAGCGAGCTAACGTTGCAGCGCCAACGTTTGATTCGACACCAGCAGGTAAAAAACCTCGAGTTTTATAAAGAAACAAATGCAGCAAACAGGAGCGACCCTGCAGCTCAGCACGGCAGTGAGTGACATTTTTGATTTAATAAAATGAACTGCAGTGCCCACATTTGACCACAGGATGTCATTCGTACAAGTTGCACCTTTAAGGGTCAGGGTTAACCCCTAAATAACACCCCCCCATTGGGTCTTCCAGGACCGAGCTTTCGGGTCTGCTGGAGAGACGGTGGTGGTGGAGGAGCTTCTGGAGGGGGAGGAGGTGTCGGTGAGTGTTAACGTCAGATCACCCAGGTGGGGGTGCAGTTCGTAACCCGGGTGGGTGTTGCTCTGTAGTGTCTGTGTTTCAGCGATGGCGTCTCCGTGGCGCCCATGCCTCCAGCCCAGGATCACAAACGGCTTCGGGACGGAGATCTGGGTCCAAACACCGGCGGGATGGGAGCGTACAGCCCGACTCCTCAGGTAGAAGCAGAACCCGCGAAGAACCCCCAGCTGATCCCCTCAGAACCGTTAAATAGGTTTGATTTGAACAGGTGAGTCTGGAGATGCTGCAGCAGATCCGAGAGTCGGTTCTGCAGAGAACCGTAGATGGGATGAAGGAGGAGGGGGCCCCCTACGTGGGTTAGTGTTTTTATTTATCTACCCGGGTTTTACTGGGACCGGTTCTGACTTACGGTGGTTTGTTTGGTTCAGGTGTGCTGTACGCAGGTCTGATGCTGACCCAGCAGGGCCCGAAGGTTCTGGAGTTCAACTGTCGCTTTGGAGACCCGGAGTGTCAGGTGGGTCTCAGGTGGGAATGGGATTAGAGTCTGGATTAGATTACACCTGGGGCTCTCTGCAGGTGCTGCTGCCGCTGCTGCAGAGCGACCTGCACCAGGTGATACTCGACACCATGAGTGGGAAGCTGTCCTCCAGCGCCCCCGTGTGGCTCCAGGACAGCTTTGCAGTCACGGTGGTTCTGGCCAGCGCTGGGTACCCGGGTTCCTACCAGAGAGGGGTGGAGATCCGAGGTAAGGTCTCCGCTGCTTTTGCTGCAGCTGATGTCAGGGCTGCAGGTGCGTCTGACCTGTTGTCCTCCAGGTTTGTCCCTGGTCCAGGACATGGGACTGCAGGTGTTCCACGCCGGCACCGCCCTGAAGGGCGGAGTCGTGGTGTCCAGTGGAGGTCGAGTTCTGACGGTCACAGCTGTAAGACCGTCTCTGGAGACCGCCCTGCAGGCAGCCAATCAGGGCGCAGCCGCCGTGGACTTCCCTGGGGCCGTGTACCGTAGAGACATCGGCCACCGGGCCTTGGCCCACCTGAACCAGAACCGGTGAGGGATCACGGTGAGCTTTGCTCATCGTGAAACGCTAGAAGCTAAAGTTTGTTTGTGTCCAGCTGCGGCCTGACCTATAAGGACAGCGGAGTGGACATCGCTGCGGGGAACAAGCTGGTGGACATCATCAGACCTCTGGCCAAGGCCACGTCACGCCCCGGTAACCATGGTAACCTGGGTTTTACCGGCTCTGGGGTCCGGCCGTGCCGCTAAAGTCTGAACTTTGTCTCAGGATGTAACGCTGAACTCGGAGGATTCGCCGGGCTCTTTGACCTGAAGGCAGCGGGGTTCGTCGACCCGGTTCTGGTCTCGGGGACGGACGGCGTCGGGACCAAACTCAAGGTTGGACTCCTGCTGTGGTTCTGTCTCCAGGTCTGGAGCTTACGTGACCTTTGTTTGACCTCCCACCAGGTGGCGCAGGCGTGTGGCCAGCACGGTGGTCTGGGTCAGGACCTGGTGGCCATGTGTGTCAACGATGTGCTGGCTCAGGGGGCGGAGCCTCTCTTCTTCCTGGACTACTTTTCCTGCGGGAGGCTGGATGTGGGCGTGGCCTCTGTGGTCGTCGGTGGCATCGCTAAGGCGTGTGAGGCGGCCGGCTGCGCTCTGCTGGGTCAGTTGGGTTATTACAGATGACCAATATGTTTCATTTTCCATTTTTGGTTCTTTTTTAAACACAAATAAGGTTTTTCTTTACCTTGCTGACGTTTCGTTGGCGGCCGCCAACGAAACGTCAGCAAGGTAAAGAAAAACCTTATTTGTGTTTAAAAAAGAACCAAAAATGGAATTTGAAGATAAACACAGAAAGAACGTACAAAAGATGCTGATGCCGTGTTTGTCCTCTGACAGGCGGCGAGACGGCGGAGATGCCGGGCGTCTACGCCCCGGGCGAGTACGACCTGGCGGGGTTCTGTGTGGGGGCGGTGGAGCGAGGGGGGTTGCTGCCTAGGCTGGAGGACATCTCTGAGGGGGACCTGCTGATCGGGCTGGCGTCCTCGGGGGTCCACAGTAACGGGTTCAGTCTGGTCCGTAAGGTCCTGGAGCAGGCCGGGCTGAGCTACAGCGCCCCCGCTCCGTTTGGGAGGCAGGGCCAGAGCGTCGGTGAGGGTTAGGATCAGCATTCCTGATATTCCTGCTCAGCTTTAGGGATAATCGTCCTCTTCTCCTTCTGCTGCGGTTTCAGGCGAGGTCCTGCTGACTCCCACCAACATCTACAGCCGGCCGCTGCTGCCGGTCCTGCGCAGCGGCGCCGTCAAGGCGTACGCTCACATCACAGGGGGGGGTCTCCTGGAGAACATCCCCCGGGTTCTGCCCCGGGAGCTGGCTGTGGAGTTAGGTGAGAGGAGAGGATGATTATGGGATGTTTAACGTGTGCTAATGCTAACGTGTCTCCATGACATAGACGCATCCCGCTGGACCATCCCTCCGGTCTTCTCCTGGCTCCACACCGAAGGCCGTGTGAGTGAGGAGGAGATGAGCAGAACCTTTAACTGTGGCGTGGGGGCGGTGCTTGTGGTGGCCCCCGTTGATGCTCAGAGGGTCCTGCGCCAGCTCCAGGTCCACCTGGACGCTTGGATCGTCGGTTCTGTGGTCCACAAACAACCCGGTTAGAGAATGGAGAACCTCTGGGCTCCGACATCGACCACCTCGGTTTCTCATGGTGCGTTTGTGACACAGGAGCACCGGCCGTGATGGTCCGTAACCTGACCCAGAGCCTGCTGAATGTGGGAGGAGCTTCTGGCGAGGAGCCAGAGGTCTCCACCAGCGGTTGCCATGGAAATGGCATCACACAACACAAGCGCATGAGAGTGGGGGTGCTCATCTCAGGAACAGGTGTGATGTTGAGAAGATAATCTGTGAGGTTGTACTTTATGGGTAATCTGTGTTTTGGACCTCTAAGGCACCAACCTGCAGGCGCTGATGGAGCAGGCCAAGCGTCCTTCTAGCTCCGCCCAGATCGTGGTGGTTATCTCCAACAGACCCGGGGTTCTGGGTCTGAAGAAAGCGTCTCTGGCTGGGATCCAGACCCGGGTGAGCTCCTCACGAGAACCACCTTCTATGATCTTCTGTAGCACGTTAACTAACTCAGACCCAACCAGGTGGTGGACCACAAGCTGTACGGCAGCCGGGCCGAGTTTGACGGCACCATCGACCGGGTTCTGGAGGAGTTCGGCGTGGAGCTGGTGTGTCTGGCTGGATTCATGAGGATCCTCACCGGAACGTTTGTGAGGAAATGGAGAGGTGTGAGGACACACACGCACGCGCGCGCTTCCACTGTCGGACCTTCAGGGTAAACTTCCCATCCTGCGTGTGTCTCCAGGTAACCGGGCCAGACGTTTTCAGGACTTTCTGATCAAAACTTTTGGTTACCTCATCCTGATTGGTTGTAACTCAGTAGGAAATGACATCAGCTGACGTCATCCTTTAAATGAGCTTTTGGATTAGATGACGCTGGACTTGTTTAATTACTGTTACTGCTGATGCTTTTGGCGCTGGTCAGTGACATCACTACCTGCTGAAGCAGCGGTCATGTGCTGACCGGCTTAGTGGCCTAGTGGTGGAGTGCCCGCCCTGAGACTGGGAGATCAGGGTTCGATTCCTGGTCGGGTCATACCAAAGACTTAAAAAAAAAAAAAAGCAGCTCACCGCTTCCCCAGGGGATGGGTCAAATGCTGAGAACAAATGTTACACACACATCAGTGTGATGGGACTTAAATCTGTCCTCGAAGGCTGGAGACAGAACTGCCGAGGGGACTGGGACACCCCCGTCCCAGAAATGACTCTGAAGCTCCGACAGTGGACAATACTCATGCACTTCAGGCTTGCTCTAACATGTTTACTCCCTCAGGGAAGCTGCTGAACATCCACCCGTCCCTGCTGCCCTCCTTTAAGGGAGTCAACGCCCAGAAACAGGCCCTTCAGGCAGGGGTTCGGGTCACTGGCTGCACGGTGCACTTCGTAGCAGTAAGTCGGGTTTAAAGAGAAACCTCTAGCTGGGTTAGGTTTATTAGTAAAGTCTAAGCAGAAGCTACATCCACAGGTGGAAAGAGACAAACATGCACTGGTTCTGGTGCTTTACATGTTTATTAGTTTCTGGTTAAATCAGAACCGTGCCAGAGTCCGACCAGAGTCTCCCCGTTTCTGCAGGAGGAGGTGGACGCAGGAGCCATCATAGTGCAGGAGGCCGTCCCCGTGATGGTTGGAGACACAGAAGAGTCTCTATCGGATCGGATCAGGGAGGCGGAGCACCGGGCGTTCCCTGCAGCTCTGGAGCTGGTTTCCAGTGGGTCGGTGCTGCTGGGCGATGATGGAAACATCTGTTGGAAGTCCCAGAATAAATAAATCCTAAAGCATGACGGCCCTGTTATCGATGACATCACCTGGTCTAAACATCACATGACCTGCCTCATCTTGGGTAAAGGTTATTCCACCATCTGATCAGCTTCAGACCTGGACTCACCTGTCTGAGGTATCAGAACCAGTCCACCTTAACCAGTCTGGGTGCTGGACCTATATTTACTCTAGTCTTCAGCTGCGGCCAACAGCAGCTGTCAGTCATGAGGTGGGCGGGGTGAAAAGTGACCAATGAGGCAGTTCTGTTACATGATGCTTTAGAGTACGCTGATGTCATAAATACCCAAAGGGCTTGCCCTACTCAACAGTATTACCTCCTGTTTACGGTAAACCACAGCTGTTAGTTTATCCTGGGTGGTGTTTACCTGCCCTACCACACCTGATGACTCACCTGTCATGGGTTATGGAACTAGAGCCAAATTCCTGCTGTAATGTGTGATTAGTGCATGTTGACAAATAAAAATGTCTCCGTACTTGTGAGGATTCATCGCTTCACGTTTGTCTCCTGCTGAAGCGAAGGACGGACAAACGTTCGTTTCCTGCTCTGGTGGACGAGCACAGCTCTCCCTCTAGTCCACGCTGGCCCAAAAGCTCCACAATCTCCTCTGTAATAATAATAATTAGTTCTGCTGCAGGTGAGTGTCTGGTTCTACTTCCATCTGCACACCTGGGTGGTTCTCAGCGATGGTGACCAGGTAGAACAGGCCTCTCTGGGACAGAAGCTGAGCTGCTGCTGGGAGGAAACGGTCGGTCACCTCTCGGCCTCGTTCTCCACCAGCCCAGGAAGCCTCTATGCCTCTGCCCCCCACCTGGAAGACATGATGACGATCAACACCTATAGTCTGGTCACATGACCTGCTCTGCATGGAGCTCACCTACCTCTTCAGAAGGTGTCACCACATAGGGGGGATTGAAGAGGATCACATCGACCAGCCCACACAACCTCGGCATCAGGCTCTCTGCCTAAAGACCAACAAGTCAGCGTCTGATTTACCCGTGTGTGTGTGGGTGTGTGTGTGCACTCTCACCAGGTCTGTGAGGACGGGCTGCAGTGAAACACTGTTACAGGAAGCTGTTGTTGCCGTGCAACCAGCTGCTGCAGGATTCACATCAGTGCAGCTAGAAGATTAGAGCAGAGAAATCAGAGGTGTGTGTGTGCTCCAGTCGTAATCAGGATGAGTGGTGAAAGCTCGTTGTTTCATGTGAGGCGTTATAACAGATTTGGTGTCTGAAAGAATAAATCGGAGGTAATAAGTAGGAATTATTCATAAAGTCCACAGCAGAAAACCTAGAGTCAGTTTTTGAGTCAACACCGAAACTATAGGAGTTGGTGTGTTTAACGGTCTAGTTTGCTTTTAGCACCCCCTAGTGTCCGTTTAGTAGAACTTCTCTCCTTGCTGTGCGTTTGTTTTCAACACCTTAATCTGTAAAATTGTTTCCTCAGCCATCCTAAAATGTGGAATATGGAACATATTTAAATAAATAATACCTCCACGTGGCGCTGAGAGGTGTGCAGGATGGGCGTACAGTTTTTCCTTTAAAAAAAGAAAATAATTTTATTTGGTTGGGCATGACACCGGGTTCATGTCTACGTCTACCAGCCACTAGGGGGCGCCGTTAGGCTAAAATGATGGTCGGCGAGGCTGGGACTGCAAAAAGAGACTCGACAAGTCAAGCCGCTGATTCGGAGTCCAGAAGATGTCCTAAAAGTAAAAACTGTTGTAAATAAACACATTAGTAGAAATGAGTCGTTATCCTGTACGGTTTGTCTCTGGACGCGGCGATGGATGTCGCAATAGTGTGTTTCATATTCAACCTTTAATGTCTACAGGATTCACTACATTAAACACATCAGATGTGTTTGTGATGCTGGAAGCAGACTGCAGCGCCAGGTGTTTCAGCTCTTTTTTTCCCCTCAGCCCAACAGGTAGCGGGTGCCACTCTGAATTACACACACACAGATCTAGATACACACACACACACACAGATCTAGATACACACACACACACAGATCTAGATACACACACACACACAGATCTAGATACACACACAGATCTAGATACACATACACAGATCTAGATGCTCACACACAAAACTAGATGCACACCCATCTAGATATACACAAATCTAGGTACACACACACAGATCTAGATACACACCCATCTAGATGTACACAAATCTAGGTACACACACACAGATCTAGATACACCCATCTAGATATACACAAATCTAGATACACATACACACACACACACACTTGATCTTCTTAGTCCCTACACCCCCAGCAGGTCCCTGAGGTCCAGTGACCAAAGCCTACTGGTTGTGCAGCACCAGGCTAAAGACCAAAGGTGACAGATCATTTGCTGCTGTGGCCCCCAGACTCTGGAACTCTCTCCCCCTGAGCCTGAGATCAGTGGTCTCCTTTAAAAAGCAGCTGAAGACTCACTTGTTCAAGCTGGCTTTTGTATGATCTTCTTCACCACTCTCTCTTTATTCTGCTCTCCCCACCTATTCCACCTTCCTTAGGATCCACTGATTTCCCTCTTTCCTATTCACTCTCTCTCTTTCTTAACATTTTTTCTTTTAAATCCCAATTGCCTATTTTTGCTCATTTTAAATATATTTTTAAACATTTTCTAAATGCTTTTTTAAATTTTTACTTTTTGTTGTTTTTGTGAAGCGCCTCGTGATTTTTATCCTGAGAGGCGCTATAGAAATGATCTTTTCTTTTTCACAGACATCTAGATTCACACACAAATCTAGACACACACACAGATCTAGATACACACACACACACAGAGATCTAGATACACACACAAACACACAGATTTAGATATACACACACATACAGAGATCTAGATACACACACGCACATAGATTTAGATAACTACACACACACACACAGATTTAGATTACACACACACACACACACACACACACATATATATATATATATATATATATATATATATATATATATATATATATATATATATATATATATATATATATATATATATATCTGGATACACACATACAGATATTTTGAGACTTTTCGCTCCTTCCACTAGACTTTATATTTATACAACGTGCAATACATAATTATGGTGAGTGTGATAATCACCTTTTATTACCTGGACAGGTGACAGAGTCAGAACAACTCACATGTAAACAGCTGACGGTCCGACCACTGATGCCAGGAAAGCAGACACGACACCGGAACCGCTTCCCACCTCCAGACAGACACACGGGCTGGAGACAGCAGCCAGGATCAGTGCTTAGACCTAAACATGGACACAAGCAGCAGCTCGGAGACCAACCTCATCCTCTGCAGCCTCTCTGCGTCTTTCTCCAGCGCGTCTATCAGCAGGAACGAGTCCTGCGCGGGTTCATAAACGTCCCGAAAGTCCCCGCGTCCCACGTGGGAGTAAAGTGGAGTGGGGAAAGCGCTACACATGCTGGGACTGTCCTCATACACACACGTCTCTGTCTGTCCTCCGCGTGTCCATGTTAGGGAGTAAGGGACTTCCGGTAACAAGCAACCGGATAAGCTAGCTTTAGTGCGGGGTGTAAAGTGTTACTCGGAACGTCGTCAAAGTTAAAACTCTTCCTGAAGGAAATGTCCGGTGTGTGCTATTTAGAACGTTTGGTGGGAGCACGCCGCGTCTTCGTTCACAACAAAGTCACGTGACAAACATCATTTCCGTCTGTTTACAGTTAGCGCCCCCAGCGTTCCGGAGGGGATGTAGTTCATTTAACTAGCAGTTTGGTTGGGTAGCAGCATTTTAGATACGAGTAATTTATGAATATTTACTAAATAAAGCCACCGATATTTCACATCAAACCCTAAATACATTCGTTCTACTTAAAATACCTTTAATCAGTTCAAATAGTTTAAAATTCAAACTATGGGCCTGTTTGACAACTGTGGTTAGATGAGATAAAACACACTTCTTTAATATATAGCTGAAAAAAAAATAAGATAAAAATATGTCGCTGAATACAATTTATCTGTCTGTCTGTCTGTCCGTCCGACCCGAGGAACTTTGAATTCATGAAAATAATCTGGTGTCGAAAGAAAGACTCAGTAATTGATCCCGCAGCATTTGTTTAAACTTGCTAGATAAAATTCTGTTATTAGTAACCAGGTTAGACTCGCCGTCAGGAGGTCTGTGTGCAGCATTTGTTTTCTTTTGTGGAAAATTGTATTTTAATAAACTATTCTGTTTATAATTTAGATGTATTAAGTGTTTAAGTGTATGCAGATATGGTAATACGCAGAGGTGTGACATTGTGGCATCATCAAGTCATCTCCATGTCCTGTTTTTGTTCTGCTCATCAACTGAACCAGGTTAATTCACTGTGCTGATTGAAATCACCTGATTTAATTGCTGAGCAGAACAAAACATGACATGGAGATGACTTGATGATGCTACAATGTCACACCTCTGGTAATAAGTGGATGGAAATGTTAGAAAAGACCCTTTAACGCTCAGATTTCATTAAAAATAGGATCTCAAAAGTATGAAACATAAAGCTGTGTGAAAAGATGAAAACTGAAGTGATGAAGGATGTCCCAGGATGAAGATAAAGAATGAAGTGAAGCCCAATCCAGTAACACCAGTTACTGAGAGAGTCCCAAATACCAAAGCATCATCTGCAAAGAAACGACCAACAGCAAAACTCTGGATTAAACAGAAATTGCAGCAGCCATGATAACAAAATTACCATCTGCTGGTCTGACCATAGATATGTATTTAAACACTAGATGCCTCGACCCCACTGTTGTTGGGGGATGGAATGCGACATAGGAACGTGGCGGCCATCTTACCTTAGACAGCTGACCCCTTTCTTGACATTGGGGTGTACGGTGCATGTACTATTTAAATAACTCTAAGTTGCACGATTTTCAGCAGGTTTGATTTGTTATAAATGCCAGAGATGTGTTTATGAAATAGGATGGGTTTGGCCCATAAATTCCTGTTATTTCACTCCACAAAGCATTTAATCTTCCACAACACATATAATTGTAAGCTACAGTAACTTAAAGTATACATAGCCTATTATTATATTATATAGATCTATCTATATCTATATTCTTGGTTTGTGAAATAGGATTTGTGTAAGATGTGATTTCAAGGTTCCAGTACCCGGATCAGAACCAGCAGGGGGCAGTGTGGTGGAAGATTGTCCTACATCACTTAATCTGCATTTTTTCCTTCTTTTATTTGGCATACATTTATTTGTTTAGACTTAAATGGTTATAAGACTGGAGAAAAGTATGAAATGTTTTTGAGAATAACCATTTGAAGCTGGAAAAATGATCCAGTTTCTGGTGAGATTTACATTTAGTCACAATTTAAAGGTTGATGATGACAATTGCGAAGAAAAGGTTAAAGGCCATGAGTTGGCACGGATCCAGAACAGCAGGGATGAGGAAGTAACAAAACAGATGGGTGATAGTAGTAGTAGAAAAAACAGTAGCAATACAAGTAGTGATACTACAGGTATCAGCAGGTGGCACCAGTGGATCATACTCCCAATAAATCCCTCTAAAAGCTCCATCTGTGCTTTTCCAGATCAACTGGGATGTAGAATTCCCAAAGGACTGCCTGACCCACGTTACGCAATCCAGCGCATGACCAGAATGGAGACACAAGTTCAGGGTTAGAGAAGCAGACATCGCCTTAAAGCTCCCCGGTTTTAAGGGAATAGAAATCTAACATGAACACATCAATGAACATCAGTCAGGAGTCAGACGAGGGGGAATCCGCTGCCGGAGTTATGAAATCAGACCCGAGGGAATCCACACAGCAGCTCCATAAACATTCAAGATAAACTATTAATCAACCACTTCCAACACGTAAAGAAAGAGGCTGGAAAACCAGAGATTTTAGGGTTAGGGTACTGTTCCCAACGGAAACACGCATTGTGAAGCTTTTAGTCACTTTTCTTTAGTACATTAAAATGTTTTATTTAAATGTTTAAATAAAATTTCAATAATAAAGACTTCAAATAAATAGAATCAAATGTAATTAAATCAGATTAATAATATTACATTTAAACAGTGAAATTAAATATAGAAATTTCTGGTTTTAAAGTAAACATTTTGTTTTATGCTAATTTACAGAGTTTTCAAACACTCTCTGAGAGTCTTGTTGATAACCGTCAGTGTTCCCGTCCCAGTTATTCCAGTTAAACTAGTAAAAAATCCGATGCTATCTCACCATCAGTGAGACTTTGAGACCTTAGATGGGATCTCTTTACCTCAAGATTTAAATACAACTTTATTTATTTAGATTTACACCTGAATGTTTGGATGCAGATGTATAAATTGAGATTTGATTCTCACATTTAGACTGAATGAGACAGCTGTGGCCCTGAAGGGAAAAACCAAGATTTATTGATTTAGGTAAACATGGTTTCAGATATCTAGATTTAACTTCATTTAAGATTTGAATCTTAGTATTTAGATTTGAACTTGCATTTAAAATTTGACACTAAACATTTATATTTAACTATATATTAAGATTAAAATATAAATATGTCAATTCAACTTAATACGTTTCTATTATGTTTTGAATTTATAACATTAGCTTTGTAAAGTTATGTTTCTATTATTCTGAATATTAGAAATGATTATATGAAACTAAATTTGGTTGTAAATTTTCTGTTATTTGTTCATTGTTTAGATTCTGAATGTGCAGATTTAACTGAACCTATTCTAATATTAGTATGGCTGTTATTTGTTTATTTTACAACTGAAGCACCATAGAATATTTAATCCATCATAAATTATATCTGCCTGCAGATTGTTGCAACACTTCAACAAAACGACCTGAAGACAAATCCAGCATGATCATAAGATCAGACGGAGGTTAAAACCATCGGTGTGGTCCAAATCCAGACTTAATCTGCTCCTCCTGGATTTATTTACTCAGCCTGGCTCTTTTAGGTGAGACAGAATGTGTTGGTGTCCGGTTTTCATCAGAAGATTACAAAACGATGCCGTCTCCATACAGTCTGGATCCTAGATGCTCGGGTCATAACAGAGGAGCCGCCCCATCCATCAGCTCCATAAAACAGGAGGAGCCCTTGAGAAGGAGCACAAAGGCTCTGTTGTGTGGAGCAAAGGCCGCTCTATCTGCTGCTGGCGACAGAATGTAAGAAGAGCTCAGCTGCATTTCATAAACAGAGACGATGTGGAGCAAGAGTCGCTGGGGCGAGACCAAAACGGGTCTGCAGACTAGACCCAGACAGGTGCTGAAGTCGAGCACCGTGCTGCTTCATATCCACGTCTCCACGCGTCAGCTTCTCCAGTGCTGCAACAGTCTAACCTGCTGCAGACACACCTATTCATCGTTTTTTTATGTTTATTATGGTAAAAACCTGAAGATTAGTTAGGAAATTAACTAAAGGAAATCATGAATAGTGTATCCTTCACCCTCTTGAGCAGGAACCAACCAGACACCTGCAGGCTGGTGACCCCGACCCGTCAGCACGCATGCGAGGATGCTCAGTAATCACATTTACTCAAATTCAACCCAGACCCATGCTGAGACTTCCTCTCCTGTCATCTGGAGCTCCACCGGGTTCATGTGATGAAGAGGAGGAACAATGAGAGGAATGTGGAATTCTGCTTGCGCGGATTTCAACATAAAGTGCACAACAAGCAGACACTTGCCACCGCGCGCTGTGTGTGTGTGTGTGTGTGTGTGTGTGTGTGTGTGTGTGTGTGTGTGTGTGTGTGTGTGTGTGCGTGTGTGTCTAATCCTTGAAAAGGCCGGCAGTGACTGGCCCAGAAATCGGATGTTTTCTCATTCAAGCGTTTCCCAGACACACCTCCTCTTCCTCCTCCTTTCTCTCAGTTTCTCCTGCAGACTCGGTCTTTTGTGCCCCATAATTTATTTTACATTTGTTGGTAGCTGCTCAGCCTGGAGAGAGAGTTTCATATATAAATATAGTTTGGACAAAGATGTGAGCTCCTGCTGCTACCCTCCTCCTCCTCCTCCTCCTCCTCCTCCTCCTCTGTAATACTTAGACACAAGCGCTTACAGCCTCGGGGCGGAATAGTTAAGAAGGTATGTGAAGAAAGTCTTTTTTGGGACTTTGAATGAACAAAAAGAAGAAAGAACAAGAGAGAAAGTAAGGAAGGGGGAAGGGAGGAAGACAAAGGTGGAGCTGGATGAAGAGTGAGAGGGAAAAAGCAGGTGTTGCACGTCTTCTCTGCTGCCTAGAGGCACTGGACTCAAGGAGATAAACGTGTACGACAAGAGAAGCGATGAAGAGGCTGAAGATCAGCGCCTCAAATCCAGTCAGGCTAAGGCGGCTTGCCTCTGCAGTCGCTGCAGTTTTGAGAGGAAATAAAAAGAAGAAGCATGTATAATCAGCTAAAAACATCCCTCAGATCTGTCACTCCGCCCACCACTTACAAGCATTTCATTCTTTCATTTCATTCACTCAGCCAGACGCCTGGGAGCAGGAGGCACGTTCACTCTATTTGGACAAGAGGCTCAACTTCTCCTGAAAACTCCTTTATGAGCAGGATTCCTTCCATTCTTCTGTCTCTGATGGTTCTGAGAGGAACCAAGAGCTGAGAGAAGAGCCGCGGCACATTTAGAGAGCGGGCTTTGCCCCAAAGGAGACGGGAGACAAATAAAGACGGGTAGCGATAATCTGCACAGCTGCTGGCTGAGAACAGATAACGGAGCCTGGAGGTGTGAAGGACAAGAAGAGGACGACCAAGGCTGGAGAGGAAGTCAGACACTTGAAAGGGATCATTCAAGTCGAAGGCCACCGAGGACACAGAGACAACGTGAGGACAAACCCAAACAGGGACACCTGACATCATCCCCGAGCAGGAATGGAGGAGCAGCAGGAGAAGAAGTTCCTCTGAAGAGAAGCGAAGGAGCGCCAGACACAAAGCGAAGGTGTCGGTTTCCTCATCATGGTTTATTCAGGTTGTGTCCCTGACTACAACACGCTGCATCGGAAAAACAACTTTGTCCCCAGATACAATGAAGACAGGGACACAGACGTGCCCGCCTGATCTGTGATCACCTTCCTCTTCCTCCTAAACTTCAGCCGCCCCCACTCTCTGTGCTGGTGTCTCCTCTCCCCCTCTCCATCCCCTCACTATGTGGATACCAGCTGTGCTCCTATGGATGCTTAATACCAGCTACTTGTGCTCAGGACAAGACTACACCGACTACTACCGAGCTGCAGGCATGGGCACAGAGGTGAGGCGTCACTTTTCTCCGTTCACGTACCGAGTTTCACGCGTGTTTGGTCAGGATGTCAGTTTAGATCAGCTCTGCCTCAACAACCGGTCCTGTCGGAGGTGGAAAGTCACCTGTCTGACCCCAGAGCCGCTCTGTTTACAGCACCTTCATCATCTGGAATACCTTTAGGAAAAGATGATGCTATCAGAGGCAGATAAGCGTTATTTACTGTGGAGACATCACTGGGATCAAGACCACCACAGGAACATATTACAACACAAAGCAGGCATTATGCAAAAACAGAGGTGGAAACGGCATCATCGCCGTGTCCAGTGGTCGTTATTTCTGCTTAAATATGCTGCTGGAAGGGTCTGAGTGCACGAACAAGGTGCTTAAGTAGCAAAAACTAAGAGTTGATGTTGAAAAGGTCCTAAAACGCACTGTTGTCTACAGAATGAGCACAAAGAGAGGAAGTTCAACAGCATTCTGAGCCTCAGTAGGAGTGGTGGTCCAACATCACCACTGTTGCCAGTTTAGAAGGTCCCAAAGGAACTCGTCAGCTTCTAATCAGCTGATGCTGTTGGTGGGCATCGGTCCAACTTGAGTAGTGTGTAAGGCAGGGCTGCAAGTAGAAAACCACTGATCTGCTGCATTTGTATGAAACATCAGGAGATGTAAGAAGAAACAGGTAAAAGTCAGGAAATAAAGTGGTAGAAAAACCTGGGGAATCAGAGGAGGACAAACACCAAGACTGCAACTCTAGCTCGTTATTAAAGAGTAACCCCAAATAAACATAACAGCGTCTGCTTTACCAAACATGGAAAACAGAATATCGGTAAACATTTAGTCACTGATCAGCATCATTTTATGCTATTCTTCTGTAAACATGAAAACTTAAAATAAGTTATTTTCATGTATCAGATCAACCACAGGGGGCCTAGCACGATCCTTGTGGGACACCTTCAATAATAAGACTGTACATACAAAGCTATAATTCAGTAACTACTAGAGGTGTAAGTGTACATGCATTTGTATCTGGATGATGCAGTTCGGGACAGAGGCAGGACGAGTTTCCACACAGACGAGAAACTCATTGTACTTCAGCCAACAACACATTCAGCTGTGTCCAGATTCAGGAGTTGCATCCTTCACAGAACCAAACCAACAGATCTATCCTTTCAGCAAACGATGGGGACAAATTATTATTTCTAGCAAAATACATCTTTATGTTACCTGAGAAAATGTCAGATCATTTATTCATCCATCCACCCAGTTTCATTCGCTTATCTGGAGTCGGGTCACGAGGGCAGCAGCCTAAGTCAGGAGGCCCAGACTTCCCTCTCCACAGCTACTTGGGCCAGATCTTCCGGGGAATCCCAAGGCGTTCCCTGGCCAGCCAAGAGACATAGTCCCTCCAGCGTGTCCTGGGTCTCCTTTTAGGTCTCCTCCCAGTTGGACGTGCCCAGAAATCCTCATCAGGGAGGTGTCCAGGAGGCATCCTAACCAGATGCCCGAGCCACCTCAACTGACTCCTTTCGACGTGGAGGAGCAGCGGGTCTACTCCGAGCCCCTCCCGGATGTCCGAGCTTCTCACCCTATCTCTAAGGGAGAGCCCAGCCACCCTGCAGAGAAAACTAATAAATGCCGCTTCCGTGATCTCGTTCTTTCGGTCACTACCCAAAGCTCGTGACCATAGGTGAGGGTAGGAACGTAGGTGACCAGTAAATCGAGAGCTTTGCCTTCTGACTCAGCTCTCTCTTCACCATGACTCAACCAACAAAAAACCCATCAACACCTTGGCTGCTCCTAGAAATCCTGTCTATAAAAGTTATGAACAGAATCAGTGACAAAGGGCAGCCTTGGCAGAGTCCAACTCTCATCGGAAACGAGTCCGGTCATCCAGGGACCTAACAGCCCGTATCAGAGGGCCTAGTACCCTATACTCCCAGAGAGAATTTACTGCAAGTTTCATCTTAAATGTCAATAAAGCTGTACCCGTTTACACAAAAGAACAACCAGTGAAATTAAAACCAAGGTACGTATCAAACATAAACCGTTACGTCCCAGTAATTAGTCATATTTATACCCAATGCATAAACTAGACAAGCAGATTGGCTCTAATGAGAAACAAGAACAATGATACCTGGACAGAAAAAACCAGTGGACCTTAGGAACCTAGGAGTTCAATGCATGGAGCATTTTAATAACACGAATGATCGTTTCAGCTGTGGGCTCTATGAATCTTTAGAGGGCATGATTCCTAAAGTCCGCTGAAGTGTAAAACTTTGTTCAGGGTTCTGGCAACAGTGCAGATGAAAGGAGCGCACACAGCGCCGCAAAGGGATGATGTCACATGGACAACGGGTTATTTAGAGGAAATTATGTTTCAAATCCTGCAGCTGAGGGATGTTAACTTTAGAGCAAAGGATCTCAGGGCACAGTCATGGAGAGAAAGGTATCTGCTTTGGGAACCTCAGGGTGTCGGCCATGCTTTTGGAAGGTGACGTGGTTCTTTGGCTTCTTCAAGCCACGACCTTTAGCACTGGGGCAGTTTGCAACTGAGAATCAGCTTCTCCAGAAGAAAAGGAAGGAGCGAGTCTTTGCCCCAGGGAGGGAATTTAAGTATCTTGCTGTCTTGTTCATGAGTGATGGTAGAAGCCAAAAGGTGAAGCTGGTCCATCTACATTCCAACCCTCCCCTATGGCCAAGACATCAAGACTGAGAGATGGGAACCCTGGAAAGAAGCAGCTGAAACAAACCTCTTCCTCAGGGGGGCCAGTCTCTGCTGCGGAGATAAAGTGAGGAGCTACATCCTCTAGCGTGCTCCTCCTCATCGAGAGGAGTCGGTCTAGGTGGTTTGGTCATCAGATCGGGATGCCTTGTCTGGAAGTTTTCCATTTATGCCCCACTTGGGAGGACACCCTGGGGCCTATCCATAACTTGTGTAATCACTCTGGTCTGAGAACGCCATGGACCCCCCAGGAGGAGCTGGAGAGTGTCCCTCCTGGAATGGTGACCCCCATGACCCTGCTGTGGATAAGCACTGGGAACTGGATGGATAGATGGATGCATTCAGGAAAAGGGAAGTGATTCTAAAGTTTAGACATTTATATAAACTAACATCATTTCCTTTCCCTGATGTCGCTTTAACGCGACGAAGGTGACAAGCTGCTGGAAATACATCAGTCACCATATCTCCAGAGGAGGGGGTTATCAGAGCAGACAGGGAATGGTTTGGTTTTTCTGTCAGAATCATCTTTCTACAGGAGCCACTTAGTGGTTTGGAACAAAAGCTTCTGACTTGTTAAGGACAACATCAGCACCGACTCGGGAGGAGGTGTAAAGATAAAAGCATCACTTCCTGGAACGTGCTCCTTTTCCTGTTAAACATCAGTACAGTACTTCTGCGAACGAGGAGATAACAACTCATCGGCCGACGATCTAGCCTGCTGAGAAAAATCTCACGTAAACTGTGTTTTTTAAACAGGCAGCTTCAAACATATTGTGTTTATAAAAGCTGACAGGCTGAGTGATGAATGCACGGGCGGGCGGGTGTAAATATTTGTGTGTCTGTGCCAACAGTATGTAATGTTTAACACACCCCAGTGTGATGGATGAGCACCACATCGTCACCACACCGTCCCTCACACACAAGCTCATGTCATCAGTCAACAACACAACAGAGGAGGATCAAAAACAACAACATTTGGGAAGGCCTAACCAAAATGACCACCGATCAGAGGCAGATCAGACCCTCAGTCACGTCTCTGAAAACTAAAACAAACTACAAGAAGGCTGTAATGTGTAGTGGTGGTGTTCAGCTGTTATGCATGGGGGTGGTGTTGTCATGTTTTGGCATTGTGCTGCTGCAGTACAATATGATATACTTTCTGCAAACAAGAATGATCTTTCTGAAGTTGACAATAAATAGGATCCAAACAAACCTAATCTGTCATGAAGCACCTCTGAGGACCAAAGTGAAGCTTTTCCCACAGCTGCTGCCAAACTATTATATTTACAACCCTGAAATTACTCCCACAACTCAGGTCTCACCAGTAGCGTGACATCAGGGATAGACGTACCAAAGCAACGCTATGGGATGAACTGACAAAAATCATATTCACACATTCATGATGGCATGCTGTGTTCTGACTTTTCAGAACATTATGAGTCTAAAGTCAGTCGGAACAATTTAGTCTCTGGATACATTTCTTTCAAATTAAGAGCATAAACTTGTGTTTCTACAGAAAATGTATCACTGACTTACATAAACATGTGTCTCTATGTGTTTGGTATATATGTCGATGGTTTGTACCATTAGCCAAATATGTCACGGAACACCAGATGTGTGTTCATCTACAGCTGACTTGCCATTAAAGTTAACCCAATTCAAGATGGCGGCTAAAGCAGAGTGAAATTAGAACACAAGAAAGGCTACAATTCAGATGTTGAGCTAAAGGTTTCAGGGGCAGCAACTGGACCTCAACTCCGAGCATCAGCATAAGATCTACTGAATAAAATAGCTAGCTTTCATTTGTTGGAATGAGATGAATTTTTAGAAAAGGGGCATTGCGGCTGCATGGCGGCACTGCTGCCTTGCAGCAAGGAAGTCGCTAGTTCAAATCCTTCCTGCCTGTTCTTATGTGTGGAGTTTGCGTGTTCTCCTCAAGCTTGTTTGGAGTTAGCATATTCTCCTCATGCTTGTTTGGAGTTAGCATATTCTCATGCGTGTGTGGAGTTAGCATGTTCTCCTCATGCTTGTTTGGAGTTAGCATATTCTCATGCGTGTGTGGAGTTAGCATGTTCTCCTCATGCTTGTTTGTAGTTAGCTTGTTCTCCTCATGCTTGTTTGGAGTTAGCATGTTCTCCTCATGTTTCTTTGGAGTTAGCATGTTCTCATGCGTGTGTGGAGTTAGCTTGTTCTCCTCATGTTTGTTTGGAGTTAGCATGTTCTCCATGAGCGGAGTTAGTATGTTCTCATGCATGAGTGGAGTTAGCATGTTCTTCTCGTGCGTGTGTGGAGTTAGCTTGTTCTCCTCATGCATGAGTGGAGTTAGCATGTTCTTGTGCGTGTGTGGAGTTAGCTTGTTCTCCTCATGCATGAGTGGAGTTAGCATGTTCTTCTCGTGCGTGTGTGGAGTTAGCATGTTCTCCTCATGCTTGTTGGGAGTTAGCTTGTTCTCCTCATGCATGAGCGGAGTTAGTATGTTCTCATGCATGAGTGGAGTTAGCATGTTCTTCTCGTGCATGAGTGGAGTTAGCATGTTCTTCTCGTGCGTGTGTGGAGATAGTAGATGGATGAAGTAGATATATAATGTCATACTGAAGTATAGATCTATAGATAGAGTGGACATGATGACAGTAGAATGGTTTAAACGAGATCAGAGCAGGAGGAGATAACAGAACAGGGATCTGGTTTGTGTTTAGCTGATGCCAGCTGTGCCAGTCTGCCTTTCACAGCCTGGGAACATAAACAACCTCTGGGATTCCCTCCAGGAAGAGTTATTAGGCCCCTCAGAAGAACTCTCAGCTGATTGTTACTAACCTACAGATTATCTTGCAGCTTGTTGGTCTTTTATCTTTCATCTACTGAAGCTCTTTGAAGTGAAGCTGAGTAATCAGTCATGACAGCAGAAAATCATTATGGTGACTCACAACAGGAAGGTTTATAAAGTGATATTGACTGTAGTCTGAAATTTCCCATGGGAACCTGCTTCACTACATAATATTCATCTGAGCTGACATGCTCCACTCTGATCATATTAGGCAGGCAGGAAGCTCGAAGATGGGAGGTTAACTCATTGCTGAGGTCACCATTAATTAATTACAGCTCAAGGGCAATGCACGAGAAGCACAGATTTCCTCGGATTAAAGAATTCCTGTGAAAAGGAAAAGGAAACCTGCAGGTTGAAGGAAGGAGATGTTCTTACAACCCAACAGTAGCTAACAGCAACATGTTGCAACACATTAACAGCTGAGGTATTTGTTGTTTTTCCAGCACAAACCAACAGTTGGTACAGTCGGTAAAGACAGCTCTCTCTTGCCTTGCCTCCATCTAAAAGGCTAGGTTATCCAGAGTTATCTCTGTAGTTATGCTGCTATAGGCTTAGGCTGCTGGAGGACATACTGATCACTTTCCACACTCGACTACTTTCTTCTACAATCTGCTTTTTAACTGCATTATTTCCTGATATTTCAGCTGTTAACTTTATTTTTTTCTCTAAGTGTTTTTCTCCCCAGAAGAAGCTACAATGATGTTCTGCTGAGCTGTGGTAGCCTCATGGAGGGGGCCATTGGCTAGCACACTGCTGCTAACCTTAAACATTCTCCCTCTCCTGATAATAACATTTTACTCTCTTTGACACTGAATGTGCTACTACTACCCGTTTAATTATAGATTCACTAGGATAAATACAATAAAGTTTATCTCTGACCAAATATTTACTAAGACATCACAATGTAACCATAGAAACATTACTTTGTGTGTGTGTGTGTGTGTGTGCGTGCGTGCGTGTGAGGCTCCTCCGTCTTCTCCATCCCCAGTGAGTTGTGGTGGATGGCTGCTTATACTGAGCCAGGACCTTCTGGAGGTTTCTTCCTGTTAAAAGGGAGTTTTCCTCTACAGACGCTGCATGCTTGCTTAGTATGAGGATTGCTGTAAAGTCACTGACACTAGTCAGTGACTTGATGCAACCTGCTGGGTTCCTTATATAGAAATTTTGTACTGATTGGCTTAATGAACTGACCTGTGTTGGAACGTTTACTGTGTGTAGGTCCTTGAGACGACTCTGGTCCTGATTTGGAGCTTTATAAATAAACTTGAATTGAATTGAACAGTTTTTCTCCAAAAAACAAACCTGCTAGTTTTCTTAGTTAAAATCCCAAAACCTGTCAGTTTTCTATCAGATTATCCTAAATGACCATGACCTGGATGACAGAGAACCTTCACCAGCATTATCCCAAAACACCAGAAAATGTACAAAATCACCTTTTTTTGTTTTTATTATGTCGTCCAAGCAGAAGTTGATTTCCTGTGGCAGAAAACAATGAAAAGTTTTGTTATCTCCTCGTGTTTTTCTCCAGCCACCAAAAGAGTCAGATGATCAGCCTAGCTTGGACGCCGTCACCAGCATGGATCAGCTTCTGCAGCTCCTCTACCCAGAATACAGTCTGCTGCAGAACTGCATGAGGAAGAAATCCTGGCACGCCTCCTCTTCCTTCTCTTCTTCATCATTCTCCACCTCATCAGCAAGCCCGTTGGTCCACTCTGGCGATGATATGTGGGTTCAGCTGCGGGAGGAGGCTCTTTACAAAATGGACACGACTTTAGAAGGTAATCATCCTGGCATTTGTTCCAGACCGTGTCACGCCTCTTTCATACTGGAATAGATGAGTGGTGATGTAAGCAGAATGCTGTTTTTAGTCTGCCACACAGACTTTACAGCACCCAAGACTAATAAAAGAGGGTGGTTTGGGTTAAGGATGACGATCTCCAGTCCAAACATCTGGACTCAAACTGCAAACAAACTAAATCCAGTTACTCCATTGTGTTTCCAGTCATCCTTGAGGAGATCCACCGAACCTCCTGCCAGCCGAGGGAGGTGTGCATTGAGGTGGCCAAAGAGTACCCAGAGTCCACCAGTCAGGTATACATCCCTCGCTGCGTGGCGCTGCATCGCTGTGGTGGTTGCTGCGGCAACGAGGCGTTTTACTGCACCAACACCAGCTACACGCTGGTCAACAAGACGGTGAGATACACGACTGGATCTTCTGATTTCTGCTCTCACACACGTAACAACATCTGGAAGCTGAAGCCATTTGTTTGATTATGTAACACACACACTGGCGCGCACAATGGCCTGTATTTGATATAGCGCCTTCTAGAGTCCTGGAACCCCCCAAGGCGCTTTACAACACACACACACACAAACAAACATACATACACACACAGTCACACACACACACACACATACTCGCACACACACACACACACACACACAGTAACACACACACACAGTCTCTCTCACACACATACACACGCAGTAACACACACACAGTCTCTCTCACACACACAATCACACATAGTCTCACACACACACAATCACACATTATCTCTCTCTCTCTCTCTCTCACACACACACACACACACACACACACACACACACACACACACACACACACACATAGTCACACACACACACACAGTCTCACACACACATACACACACACACACACACACACACACACACACACACACAGTCTCACACACACATACACACACAGTAACACACACACAATCTCTCTCACACACACACACACACACACACACATAGTCACACACACACACACACAGTCTCACACACACATACACACACAGTAACACACACACAGTCTCTCTCACACACACAATCACACATAGTCTCACACACACACAATCACACATTATCTCTCTCTCTCTCTCTCTCTCTCTCTCACACACACACACACACACACACACACATAGTCTCACACACACACACACACACAGTCTCACACACACATACACACACAGTAACACACACACAATCTCTCTCACACACACACACACACACAAAATCACACAAACACATAATCTCTCACACACACACACACAATCACACGTAGTCATACACACACACACACACAATCACACAGTCTCACACACACACACTCACACGCAGTCACACACACACAATCACACATAATCTCACACACACAATCTCACACACACACAATCACACAGAGTCACACACACACACACAATCACACGCAGTCACACACACACACACACACACACAATCACACATAATCTCACACACACACAAACAATCACACAGAGTCACACACACACACACACACAATCACACGCAGTCACACACACACACACACACAATCACACATAATCTCACACACACACAAACAATCACACAGAGTCTCACACACACACACACACTCACACACATACACAGGGGTGCTTTTATACGGGAAGAAGAAAACTTGTTTTTTGCGGCAGAGAGCAGCAGCTTGTTGTTTTTAGAAACATAAAAGTTGAAAGTTGTCAAACTAAAGATTTTCCTGATAAATGAACAGCAGCAGGAGAAATGTCTGACCTCCTGACAGGAAGTGTTTATTTGTGCTTAAAGTTAATCAGCTGTAGATGCCCATTTAAGGCGGTTTCACTCAAATCCAGGGGTCCAGTTCAGTTTAGTTCTATAGCTCCACATCAGGACCAGAGTCGTCTCAAGGACCTTCACACAGTAAACAATACAGTTCAGGGGCCTCATTTATCAAGCTTGCTTACGCACAAAACGGGGTCGGAAAACTGCATAAGCAACTTTCCATGCAAACTTTGGGATTAATGAAAGAAAACTTAGCGGAAAAATGTGCGCAACTTTAAGTTGACTAAGGACCTGGCTTACGCACATGTTGGACATGGAGAGCACCTGCAGTGCTGCTGCTGAGAAGGATACAATTATGAAATCCTGCAGCATTATCACTTGTACTGCTTCGTTTTCACACAGAACAAGACCCCCCCACACACACACGCACACACGCACACTCACACACACGTGCATGTGCGCGCGCACACACAGCCTGAAGCGCAGAATACGCAGTAAGGGTTCTACGCAATGTTTGATAAATAAGACCCCAGGTCATTAAGCCAATCAGAACAAAGTCTCCCATCTTTTATAAAAGAACCTGAAAAACATCAAATGTGAGCTTGTAATAAATCTTGTTGCATTTTCTCACACTGTTAGACTGACTTAGCATCTCTTAGCTCTACTGGGGTAATCTTATTACCGTACTTAATTTTTAGGCCATCTTAGGTCTTCTCTTTAAGGCTGTTTATAAGTTAGAGCTTGTCTCTCATCATCTGTTTAAATGTGCGTCATTTAACCGAAAATTAACTCAAAGCTGATCATGACTTAGACCATTTTTCACCCGTTTTCATTAATCTAGAATCAGACCTGCTGCACACAGCTGGGTAAAACAGGGCGGTTTTATAGTGTTCAACCCAGGTTAGGCACTCACGTTTATCCTGTTTACTCTGCTTTAATAAGACGGAGAGCCAACAGATATGAAGTCAGTCCAACAGTGACAAATGCAACAAGATTTATTATAAGTTCACTTTTTACGTTTTTCTGTTATTTTAATAAAAGAAACAAATGTATTTTGGAAAACAGGGCATAGTGGTCATTATAGCACCAAGTTCACATTTCCTTTACAAAACTCCTCAAAACAGCTGTTCTGGTGGCAGGAGGACAGTCTGCTCTTAGCGAGGGAAGATGGTTTGCTGCTAAGTAGCCAATGGTAGGAGAGCCCTTCTAGCCAATCAGAGGCGAGAAAGGCAGGATCTTCCTTGGAAATCCTACGATTCCAAATTACGCATCCAAGAAGCATTCTAATTAGACGCCCAAGTCACCTGCACTGGCTCCTCTCAACGTGGAGGAGCAGTGGGTCTACTCCGAGCCCCTCTTGGAGCCCAGCCACCCTACAGAGGAAACTCATTTCAGCCACTTGTATCCGTGATCTCGTTCTTTCGGCCACTACCCAAAGCTCATGACAATAGGTGAGGGTAGGAACGTAGATCGACTGGTAAATCGAGAGCTTCGCCTTCTGGCTGAGCTCTCTCTTCACCACGACAGACCGGTACAACGCCCGCATCACTGTAGACGCAGCACCAATCCGCCTATCGATCCCGCGCTCCATCTTTCCCTCACTAACCAGACCCAGAGATAGTTAAACTCCTCCCAGGACCTCGTCCCTCACCTGGAGAAGGCATTCCACCCTTTTCCAATTCAAGACCGTGGCTTCAGATTTAGGGGAGCTGATTCTCATTCAAGCTGTTTCACACTCAGCTGTGAACCGCTCCAGCAAAAGCTGAAGATCACGTTCTGATGAAGCCAACAGGACCACATCATCTTCAAAAAGCAGAGACCTGATCCTCAGGCCACCAAAACGGATGCCCTCAACACCTTGGCTGCTCATAGAAATCCTGTCCATAAAAGTTGCCAACAGCATCGGTGACAAAGGGCAGCCTTGGCGGAGTCCAATTCTCCCGACTTACTGCTGGCAATGCGGACCAAGCTCTGACACCGGTCATACAGGGACCTAACAGCCCATATCAGAGGGCCTGGTACCCCATACTCCTAGATTACCCCCCACAGGGATGCAGTCGAACGCCTTCTCCAAATCCACAAACACATGTAGGTTGGTTGGCCAATCCGAAGGCGGGGGTAGGTAGAGTTTTCACAGCATCTGTCTGCATTCCTTCGTGGGGGTTTGTTGCCGCTCAAGGCTACCAGGGCGTCAGATTCAGATAACAAGAATTTGTTTGGGTCAGGCTGAGATAATTTTCCTCTCTGCCTTCAGTCTTTAAACTGATCATTCCAGTCTTTCAGTGAAGCCAATTTTGGGTTTTTAAACTTGTCCATACCGTCCGGTGACTCTCTCCGAGATGACATCCATTTAGCGCACTAATACCGGTATCGCAGCTAGAACATTGTCCAGCTTACGAATTCACCTCAAGTAACGTCCCAGTCTGTGAAGTCTCCACACGGACCGTGCTTTCCGTGGGTGCGGGTCGCACTCCAATCGCTCCCGTCTTCCCAAATTTCCAGAAAACCAGATATCCTCCCACTCCAATCAGGAGAAATCCAGTGATCATCAGGCCGAATATCCACACGTTTCCTTCCAGGAATCCAACATATATCCCACCGGGTGTGTCCCCTGTGGACATGTGGGAGCCCCCTGCTCCATTCTCATTGTTGAAAAAATCTTATCAATCGCGTTGAATGACCAATTTATCAAATCCATGGTTAAAAACAGGGTTTTTCAGAAGAAATGCAGAGAAGTGCTCTGTGGGCAGACAGGACAAAGAGCCTTGGGAAAAAAAGATAAGGGAGCGAAAAGAGAAGCGTCTGTACTCCTCGAGTGCCAGGAAGAAACTGTGGGCAATTTCTGTTATTCTTAAAGAAAAGAGTCGGAGAGAGTTTTTCAGTCGAGACAGCGTGGTCTTTTAACAAAACAAAACAAAACATACATACAAAAGTCCAATCAAAAAACACTGCTCGGATTCAGATCAGTTACTCCCAACTCTCCGAATCTCCCTGTCATTGTCCAAGTGAGGAGAATAAAGAAGTCTCCAGAAGGAAAGCTCTCCAGCACCCCATCCAAGGACTCCAAAACAGGTGGGTAGTCTGACCTGCAGTTTAGTGCATAAGCACAGACCAGTCAGGACCCGTGCTCCCACACGTAGTCTGAGGGAGGCTAGCTTCTCGTTCACCGGGGGAAACGCCAACGTACACAAACATAAGATTACCGTGACCAACATTTATATACTGCCGACACTGAAGTGGGTTGGGTCATACAAATGAATGGGGATCAATCCATCAAGCTTTATTGCTGTGCGCTGGACACAGCACAAAAAAAGCTAGAACACATACAATGAATAAAAATAATATAAGAACATGGATTAAGAATGATGACTGACCCAGCCCAGCAAAAACACGATAAACCGAATAAAAACAGGAATAAAAAACCAGACAAGGCAACACAGCTGAGGGCCAATCTGAGACATGATCAGGAAATGCTGAAGGAAAAATATGAGTTTGAAGACGGCTCCTAAAAACCGGCAGGGATGGAGACAGACAGACACACTGAAAGTGGTCGCTGGTTCCAGAGTATGGAGAAGATGTTTTAGGGTCTTGTGAGCTGTTTTAACAAGACACACCGTGACGACAAATCAGCGCAACACTACCGCCACGGTGTGTGCTCTGAAAGTAACGTGGTGGCATCGCGCAGCCAAGCGTGGTGGTAAAATTACCGCAACATGGTGAATGATGATATTGCCTTGGTGCAACACAGGATGGTGTCTTGTGGAGTGTCTGCCAAGCTGCTGCCAGCATACTGTAGATGAAAGTAAACACGGGCAGTAAGTTCAGCGTTAGCAGACAGAATCAGCTGAGATGGTAAACTGGAGCGATGCAGAGCTCCAGGAGCTTCTCTTCGTTGGAGCTGGAGCTTTGATCACCAGACCGTTCATAGGGACAGTGGAGGACAGACACCTTTAGGTGCGGCTCGTCTAAAAGACTTTAGCAGCGCGGATTCAATTGCAATAAAAAAACAAGTTAGTCTAAAACGAGTCTGTGACAGCGCAGAGACTGCCCCCACACCCCCGTCATACCGCCACAGTGTAGGGTGGTGTGAAAAGCACACAATCGCACCACAATACCGCTACCGCCTGACCACTCAGTGAGACGGACAGTCGGTCCTAGCTTTTGCATGTTAGCATCATTGCTAATGTGTGTGTTAGCAGCACCGCCTACATCTGCTCTAAGGAAAGAAAATAAATCATTTTAAAAACACAGTCAGTAACTAGCTGCTAGCCTGAGAGTTGCTGCAGAATGATCCAGATGGAGACAATAAGGAACTTTGAAAACACTGCAGAGATTGGATAGTTGCTGTTGCTCCTGGACGCGACTTTTGGAATTCTAGGGTGACTAAGGAAGGTCCTGTCTTTCTCGCCTCTGACTGGCTAGATGGGCTCTACTATGACTGGCTATTTCATTTAGCAGCAAACCGTCTTCCCTTGCTAAGTGCAGACTGTCCTCTTGCCACCAACAGAACAGCTGTTTTGGGGATTTATTTTACATTTTTTATTTTTTTTAGAAAATAAGAACTTAGCACCATTCTGTGCTGTGTTGCAAAAGTTTTTTTTGTTTCATTGATTAGAAACTGAAAAACATAAGAAGTGAACTTATAAATCTGGTTGCATTTATCACACTGTGGGACTTACTTTATGTCCATGGCACTAAAGCATTGAGGTTATCTTATTACAGCAGAGTACATAGGATAAACGTGTGTGCCTTACCTTGGTATGAAATATAATAAAACTGCCCTATTTTACCCAGCTGTGTGCAGCAGGTATGTTTCTCTTCTAGAAAAATGAAAACTGCATGATCATGAAAATGCACCACACCGATTACATCACAGATTTTATTGAACAAGTACAGAACACCTGTGTGTGTGTGTGTGTGTGTGTGTGTGTGTGTGTGTGTGTGTGTGTGTGTGTGTGTGTGTGTGTGTGTGTGTGTGTGTGTGTGTGTGTGTGTGTGTGTGTGTGAGAATAAGTATATTGAACTGGCAGCTATGTCATCAGCAAACAACAGATTAGATGAACATTTGAGGGCATGCCTACTAGTTTTAACGTGGCATTTGAAAAGCTAATGTTAGCTTTCTCACAAGGACATATTTACCTCTGCTCAGATATCCACATCAGTTGCTTTGCTTGCTTAGCTTTCAGGCAAGCGAAGGCCGCTGTTTTCTGCCGCCCCCGTGAATTTTCAGCCAATTGTAGTAGAGCCCATCTAGCCAATCAGAGGAGAGAAAGACAGGACCTTCCTTGGTCACCCTAGAATTCCAAAGGATGCCTCCTGGACCAAGGACGTAGCCCTAACCCTGTTCTTCACTCACATCTGAACCTTTATCTTCATCACTGCCAGCTGATGGAGCTGTCTCCTCCCAGGATGGACCGCTCGGTTGCCATGGTTACCTTCATCAACCATACCTCATGCGAATGCCTCTCCAAACGGCCGCTTCACTCCGTCATAAGGCGAGCAGCGGCAGATCACCTGTGAGTAAGAGATCCACGCCGTTTTCTACAAATCTGAACCGCAGTCTCCAGTCTTCACAAACGTGTGTGTTTGTGTGTGTGTGTGTGTGTGTGTGTGTGTGTGTGTGTGTGTGTGCGTGCGCACGCAGGTGTTCCCCTCCAGACCTCCCCTGTGCCCCGGGGTCATTGTGGGATCCGGTGAGCTGTATGTGTGTGTCTGCAGACACCGTTAGCTACTCTCAGAGGGAAACAGGTGAGTGAGGCTGATTATTCAGATTCTATGTTTGTTTGTTTGTTTGTTTGTGTCACAAATGAGACACAATCAAGGAAAAACCACAAATCTGTACACAAGAGATTAAAAGCATAATTCTGCTCTGAGGGATTTGTGGGCGACCTGGGGGGTTGCTGGTTCAAACCCAGCCTACATCCAAAATCGCAGCAGGGTTAGAGATTACAGATTACAGCTGAGAGATGAAGTTACCTCTATTTGTTTGAACTTTCATAAACCTTTTTAACCGTAGGTCGGCTTTCAGCTTCACACCTGATGACCTTGCCTTGTCCATCGCCGTGAGCTCTGGAGTGAAATTCATGAAAATTTGCTGTTTCTAATCTAAAGGTGCATCGATGGAGACTTTCCCTCTTACCTGTTTTCAGGGTCGTTCCCAAAAGCAAAGGAGCTAAAGCACCTAACCCTGCTCCAGAGCATTCTGGGATGTGTAGTTGTAGGGCCATGTGTCTGTTTGGTTTGTCGTTTTTGGACATTCGTGTTTCTCTGATGCTTTTATGATTGAGTTTGTTGAACGTGCTGAACTGAGATCTTTAGCTAATATAACGCATAAGGAGGACATAGTGCGTCCAGGCGACACGTGAAGCGAAGCGTAAAGGATAAATAAATAAAAGCTAAATAAAGACCAGAGGACCTGATTTAGTTCTGCGGGAACACAGAACTCAGCTCTGAACTGAGCTTAAGTGCCCATCAGGTGATGATCACATTGGTGCCAGGAGGGCAAGGGAAGGCTCTGGAAACCAATTACCCATGATGCAATGTTGAGTCTACTGTAGCAGGAATGTGTCAGCGGCGTTGAGCCTGTACAATCATGTGCATCCCCTTCCTCTGCCAACGTTGGATTTTTCCGATTCTATAGCAGCATTCCTGATTCATGACATAAACATGGGAGGAGATCGAGTCACTAAAGAGGAAAACTGGGTCGGAAACACAACTTTTAGTTTAAACCTGCAGATCGGCGCCAGACTCAGTTGATGACTCGTCTCTTGGCAACAGCAACTACAGCTTCTGTGGCTGTGTGCCCTCCTGGAGCGATAATCCTAGCAGCAGGTGGGCTCAGGGCCGTAAAGCTGCTAACTAGCAGACAGCCTCCATATAAATGCAGAGGCACCCGTTCAAAAAGGGCCTGAATAAGAATTCTGTCTAAAGTTTGTTAGTTAAAGACGTTTCAGCAAACATCGATAATTGTGTGATGAGGTCATTTTAACTGCTTTTCTGTGCAAATGTGATGCTAATATTCATAGATGGTTCCCTGAATGGCCTCAGTTTGGAGAAAAAACTAAACATCTGAAAGGATTGATATGCTAATGACTAGATGAACTCCAAGACTACTGTTCACCCACAAGCCCTTTGTGTTGTAGTTATTTATAAACCTTTATGCATCACTTTTACATTACCGTTACTTGGAGCTGAACACTAGCTGTAGCGCTTCCTGTGCTGCTTTAGGGTGGTCTCAGTCTGCTTGGTGCTTGGACTAGCCGCTAGCTTAAAGTTAGCCTCAGTTAGTCTTGACAGACAAAGGTAGACAGGTAATACGTTTTCTCAGACAGATTTTAAAATGTTGTAGTTAAATACTTTTATAAATGAAACTAAAAAGGGGAACTGGACTTCTCTTACTGGGGCACGTCTTGTCCAAACGGCTCTGCCGGTTCGGATCCCGGGTCGGTCGTTCCAGTCGTGTAAAATGTAGAATAATCTCACTAACACAGCTGTAAAAGCCACGACTCGTGCCTTCATCATGATCTCCTGATGAAAAGGGAAGACAGGGATATGGGTTCTAGGAATAAGGGCCCAAATGAATCCTGCAGCTCCCAACCCACGATCCGAACCAAAGGACTCGGACTGTCACAGGAAAACAAGTCCAGAACCATCGTGTCCTGAATGAATAATAATAATAATCATCATCATCATCATCGAACTCATATAGAGCTTTATTAGGACACTCAAAGATGCTTGCGTGAGCTCTTACATTCACACACTGCCAGTGATGGTAAGCTACTACGTAGCCACAGCCACCCTGGGGCGGTCTGACAGAGGCAAGGCAGCCATTTGGTGCCGTCGACCCCTCTGACCACCACCGACACATGAATGACGGAGAATCTGCTCCAGCCTCTCCTAAACCCATCAGAACCCATTGTTTGTGGGGCATGAACAAAGAGAATTACCGCATTTCTCTTCCTTTGTCTTCCACAGAGGCGCTGGACTCGAGGCTGCTGGCTCTCTGCGGACCCAACAGGGTTCTGGAGGAATCCAGCTGTGAGTGTGTCTGTCAAAACGGCCTGACGGAAGCCAGCTGTGATCCAGGCTGGAAACTGGACCAGAACACCTGTAAGGAGAGACACCTGATCCAAGCAGCAGTAGTAAAACACACGTTCCCTCTGACCTGCTGACGCATGATGGGCTGCATTCCATTTCTACAGCTGTGGATACTGGTTGTTCTGTATAAAAGCTTCATAATGGAATGCAGCCCTGCATAAGACGCCTGTGCTGTTTGGGCCTACATGAGCGTTAGGGACCGGTTCTGAGTGTTACTGGCAGGCTGATCAGGACAAAACAGCCCGAATGAACTCTAGTTTCATACAAACACGTAGAAACACGATATGAAATTAATTTTGCTGCTTTTGGTCATCATTTTCCCAGGTGAATGCCAGTGTGAAGGGCAAGGTGAGGGACGGCCGTGTCCCGCCGGCCAGCGATGGGACGACGACTTATGTGGTTGTGTGTGTGCCGTTAAATGTCCAAGGAATCAGCCCCTGAACCCTGAAACGTGCCTGTGTCAGTGCAGGGAGAGTCCACAGACGTGTCTGCGACAGGGCAAGAAGTTCAACCCCAAAACCTGCAGGTAAGCGGGGCTAAGGTACGAAGGTCTAACTGAGGTGGCAGCTGACGTCGGACCCATCAGACGTCTGACTAACAGGTCTCAGGTAGAGATGACCCAGAAAGCAGTCTGCAGGTGGCGCTGTTGTCAGGTCACAAATACGTCAACGAGCAGCAACAAAACCTAAAGTTCAGGCTTCTGGCACCGCGGTAAATCTAAGTACTGCTCCCTGTATCTTTACTACAGTTACTTTTCATTAAGTTACTTTTAGGGTGGGAGACTTACACCACAGTAAATCACACCAGGAGTCTGAATCGTACGTCCCGCCGCTGTCACACGTTGATGACGTATTTGGATAACGATTCGCCATGACCCGATGAAGGTGTCCGTTCTCAGGTGACAATCCTTTTAAGAGACATTTGTGATGATTTCAATGGGTCACACAGAGGTCATGTGACTTACCGGCGATGTTAAAGCTGTGAGTTGTGTTTAGGTAAGGAGTGTGCATTAGGCTGGTAAACAGAGCAGACTAACAGCTTAACCACGTAACTGGACGGCTCTTCCTAATATGTACATTGCAGTAAAGTCAATAAAGTTTAGAGCATCTATGGCAAGCACCGATTACAAATATTTTAGTCGTAAACAGGAGTCAGTTTTGGTCTCAAGGCTGGCAGGGATCCAGATGAATGGTTCAGCTACAGGTGTGTTTTCCTCTAGATGAAATAATCCGTGTCCCACCTGGTTCAGCCGACCATGACATGAATGTGCAGATGTGGGCGTGGCTATCAAAGCACAAACTATCAAAGGAGGCGATGTCATGTTTGTGAGTTGTGGTTAGTTTTTATCCAAACAATGCAAAAAGCCTCCCATCCATCTACACAAACCCAGAGTAAGCTAGCTGAATAACCTGAGCAGGTGGGTTGTGCTGAGTGATGATCCAGACGAGTGGCATGTCATTAACTCTGGGATGAAGGAGGACTGAGAGGAATTACTCTCGATGGACATGTGCAACATTCCACTGAAGAAAAGGAAAACATTTTTTTTAATCTTTCACATGTTGCTCCTTTTATGGACATCAGGCATCTTTAACATTTGCACGGGTTTAGCATGTGTGTCGCCGTTCCCACAGCCAGCGTGCACAAGGATCGACCTTCCTCTGACCCCAGAGGCCTACAGAGAGACGGATAGAGAGACAGGCTGAACTCCATGACAGTGGGACAAGAGGACGGCTTGGAGACAGACAGAGCGACGGGCACCGAGGAAGCACATCAGCTGATGTGATTTATACTCCCAAGGTTTACATGTGGGAAACTTGGAATATACAGAGTAAAATGACCGTTACTGGCAGGTCGCCAAACTGTTCTCAGCTTGATCAGATTCAGGATCTTTACTCAGAGGACGACACAGCTGAACAGCGCCCTCTGTGGATAAAAAACATTATTTACACGTAGAGTCACTAGAAATTACTGTGTAAATTTAAAACACATTTTCTTTCCATAGCCGAGGAGTCAAACAACTCTACAGGCTGGTAAACCTTTCTCAACAGCTTCATTAATTAGGAGAGGATTTATTTGACTCTCACGTAATCCTTCAAGCCTCCACCCATACATTAACCACCATGTCTGAACACATTACAATAAAACAAGTTTCCTCCAACCAATGACTTGCAGGGTGCTACTCAGCTGCTTGTTGGGACAACGTTTAGGACATAAATCACCACAGACAGATGTGTTTTATTGGAAATGTTGGTTTAAGATATCCCAGGACCCAGTTCTCATGTCGTAGCTTATCTTTAAGGTCAGGTTCACATGGAAACATTATGCCGATTGACTCGATTCTCTGGTTTCAACAATGTGCCAAAACCTACAGAGGCTCTAAAGATAATCTTACTGTATAATCCTACCGTGTGTGGTGTGCTAAGGGTAATCTGGTCTGCTCAGAAGTACGTCTGGACCGTAGATATCAGTGATATTCAACATGTGAGGTTGTCTTGGCCCGGTTTGGAGGATAAATGAGCGAGCTGCTTGTTGAATGTGATGTGTAGCCAATCAGAAAGCGAGGTGACAGAAGCGCTGCGCTCCTCCACCATGTTTGATTCCTTTGTGGTGGGGCAGTTTTTACATTGTTTAAATGTTTTTTCTATAGATTATTATTGTATCAATTTTTTGTTCACATTAAATTTCAAACTTATTTTAATCTTAATGACACATTTTTATGTGGTTCTGCTGCTGCTGGACTCAACAGCAACATGTGACACTGTTGACCATCAGATCTTGTTGAATCGATTGGAACAAATGTCAGATGTGTATACTGGAAAGAAATTTATTATCAAACATACTCACTTAGATAATTATTCAGTCAGAATTACATCATATAATCCATTCGTTTCACTGAAAAAGGAGCAGGCAGAACTATGAACTTGTTTAGCCCGTCCAAGTAACATGGAATAAAAAATACATGTATCTGTATGTAAATGTAGTTTAAATGTCTTCCCACAATAGCTCATGTAGATTCTGTCTGAGTTATACCATAAAAGTCCTGCAGTTCCACTAAAAGAGTATTTACCTGCAAAACAGCCTGTTAGCTCAGCTTTCTGCTGCTTCCTCTGTAGCAAGTTAGCAGTACACAGGTTAGCTCCAGTAGCTGCAAAGTCTCTGATGTTCCACAGGTTCCTGAAAAATTGGCAAACTTATTAACATAAACTGCAATAATTAATTCCATGAAACCAGTAATGAATATGTTAAGATGAGTTTTTAATACGTCTCTCTGGAACAATAGACCATTGTCCTGAGGTAGCCCAATGGCTTGCTTAGCTGCTAGCTAGTGAGCTAACGTCTGGTTAAAACCAACTTAAAAAGTAGCTTAACTTACAGATTAACTAAGAAAAGATCAAATATATTATCAATACTCACTTTAGATCCTCAGTAGACACCACAGATAGCAGAAATAATGTGTTTGGGGCTCAAAATTCATGTTGTTGACCAGATGGGGGAAAAGAAGTCTTGGAGGCTCACTTCCGGGTCACCGAACTGTCACTCAAGAGAAACCACTGTCCTATGGGAGAGGACTTCTCAGAAGTCCCACCCACCCGAAAGGGTTGTGTCAGAATTGCAACCAAAAACCGTATATTAATGTCGATACCAAAAACTCAGGGATTGCAAAGGAGAAAGCCAGACAGTGTAAGTGCAAATCTGGTAGTGAGAGCAAAGCTGTGAGCAGCGAGAACGAAACTAAGGAAATTGATAAAAAAACATAGAGGCAAACAGAAAAAGGAAACATACTTTGTTACTCATTTTAAGAAGTTGATTCAGATCGTAAGTTTTTCTTTTGGAACAATTTTTTTTCTCTCAATGTCTTAATATTTGTTTGATCTTCAAAGTGTTTTTCTTGATCCTATTGGCACAAATCTAATCCGATACACAAGAGGCAGTCCAGAGGCTAAAATACACCTGCTGTGATTCTGAAGAGATCAGCTACCCGTTCCGGAAAAATGCTCCATTTGTCACAGAGAATCTTTTGATGCACATGCAAATAAAACTTGGATCTGGCTTCATCCAAAAGGGATGTGGCAATGTGAATAATCCATAGCATGCAAGCCAAAAGGATCTAATCTTCCTTGTGTTGTCTCTTTTATTCTCCTTTCAATCTCACCCATCTCACTCTTTCCCTCCAATCCCCTTTTTGTCTTATTCGCCCACATTTCTTCCTTATCTACTCTTTTTCTCTTCGCCCTCCCTTTCCAGTTGTTACAGGCCTCCGTGCAAACATACCAGACGAGCGTGCCAAGATGGGTTTTACTACAGCTACCATGTCTGTCAGTGCATCCCCAAATACATGAGGTGGAATTAGGCAGAAAGGTCAAGTGGACGATGACCATTGACCTCTGCCTTCTTACCCTGAACGTGTGGGAATGATGATGGAAGTGATGGTGGTGGTGGTGGGGAAGGGGGGGTCTTTTCATCACTTTTCCAGGGAAACATCACAAAGCTCGATCAAGGATGGTTAAACGAAAAGGCAGACAAGTCTCACATATAAGAGAGAGAGCGGACTCTCGGGAACAGTAGCTTTTCCCTTTCTTCCAAACACTTCTCACCTGGAAACCCCCTCAAAGTTGCTTGTGATGTTCGACAAGGCAGGAGGGACCCAATCCATGCAGGACGGGCATTTGCCCCACCGAGGCGTGTTGCAGCAAGAAGAACGCTAACCATCGAGCCGCCGTGGAGCTTACGCCTTTGTAAAATGGAATGTGAAACCAGATAATAATAGTCCACTTTGAGCTTTTCCAAAATAAGTTAAATAATCTTCAGGTGATGTTGCATGTTTGATGACTAGAGAGAACATACGAGACTGATGTGTGCTGCATATACCCACCGCCGCCGCCGAAGCCAGTTTAAACTGAACATTTGTTCACTTTGTTGCTCTGATTTACTCTCAGCATAAAAAGATCTCCATCTAACTTATCTTCACATACTCCAAGTGTTTTATTTGGTTTTCTTCGTATTTCAAACAGTGACATTCTGACTGAATTGTAGGTAGTTGTAAAATATTGTATTTAAATCACTATAAGAACTCCAGAACAGCTGTTGTTTTCAAATGGAAAAAATTCACGACTCTTTATTCAAGTGGAAAATCGGAATTACGACTTTGCCTGCACTGATGTATATTCATGTGAATAAACCAATGACAGTCACCTAACTACTTTAATACTTGTTCTGGATGTCTAGACGTTCATCTGAAGCGTTATCGTGGCATAGACGATTGATACTGCTAAAATGACATTGGTACCATTCATTTACACATCCAGCAAGGAAATTAACAAGATTTTGAGTAAAAAAGTACATTTTTGTCTTAAGGAAATTTGAATTAAACTTCAGATTAGGGGTCGGCAATGTAGCAAAAGTAGAATTTATGGCAAATATTAGGTCATTTAATACAATTACATTAACATATTTAATATTGAACCATTTCTCAAATATAGCCATAACTAATCTATGGCTGTCCTATGCCAACTCATCCCAGTAATGCTAACATGATGCTTTCGCTAGCAGCTAACCTAACCATGGTGTCAATCACCATGAGCTAAAAAGCTAAAGCTAAAAATAGGATGTGTCTGTATCCGGCATCCTTTGGAGTATGCATTTTAAGGCCGATTACCTACATAATTATAAGATTGTCTGTTTTTAAGATCAAATATAAAGAAATTAAATATGATTCAGCTGGAGAGGCAAAAGTGGTACAATTCAATAAATACACAAAGCCCAAAATATTCTGCTTAAATTATATTTATATATAAAATTAATAGATTGTGTCGTTAAAAATACTTAAATAATTTTCAAAAAGCATGTGTAATTATTTCATGATTTCATTCATTGTTTCATGGTCTGTTCATCAATATTTTTTTGCACCCATCAAAGTCAGTGGGTGGAGCTAATTCTGATAACAAACATGGACGCTCCAGTTGGTGAGATATTTTAAACCTAACAGATAAAACAAAATCTGGTAAAACAGGAATTCAATGAGGAATTTCCACAGTTTGATCAAGATCCTGACAGCAGTGCTTCATCAATACAGAAATATGTAACACCGTCTAAACGGTGTCCCCACTTCTCTGAACCACACTACAGCTACAGCCTGAGGGTGTTCTCCCTAATAAAGCATAAAAATATGAACGTATAATAATAAAAATGTCTCCCAGTGAACACAGGAGAAACTTTAATAGTGATGTTGAGCCATCCAGATGCTTTTACCTGCTACAGCGGACTTAAAACAACATTTTCTGTTTAGCGGTTTTCTTAAAAACACTAAACCTTAATCACAGAGAAAATAAAAGTATATATTTTTTGTATGTCCACTGGGCACCCCCTGTAGACGAAGCCCATGCAGGAGTACTTCTACAGATATTCTGTAGTCAGTTATCTCTATCAGTGAGGAAACTCCTCTTGTACTAGTTTACCACTGATCCTGAGTCAGCTACTGTTCTATTTGTTAGGTTTAAAATATCTCTAACCAAGTCAATAAAAACCCTCTTAACATAGCATCTCTAGTGGTTTTATCCTCGTAAAACATAAATAAATAACACGTAAGCTGATGTTCAACCTGAGCCTTGCTCATTGTGATGGTTGTTAGATACAACATGATGATGAACAAACCATGAAATAATGAAATAACTCATCTACCGTAAATCCTCTAATACAGGCCGCTGTAGCGTCGGTACTGACACGCGATCGTTCATGTCGGTTCATTTCCTTTGATGTTTTCTGTCTTTTATTTGCGCCTGATGCGTTTCGCTGTGGAGCGGGGCGCATCAACTTGTCATCCGGTGACGCACCGATCACTGATGCGGCCGGCAAGCAGCGAGCACTCCGCTGTTTTTGCGGTCGGTAGATCTTTTAGAACTGCAGTTCAAAGGTAACTCATAAGGTGAATATATATGAACCCAGGTAGCAGTTTTTCTTTAGGATTGAGAGGAGATGCAGGAAGATAATAAACAGGCAGGACAGAAAAATAGTCAAATAAAAACAAGTTAGTTTTTGTACCTGGTGGTTGCAACAAACAGACACCATTGAAGGTAATCAGAAGTGAGGAACAGAAAATGAAATAATTATTTTAATGTTTAGAGCAGCAGGAACTCCGAGAGGCTGCAGGCGCATCAGTGAGTTTGTGGCCTCTGCGCAGGGGGAGGGGGGAGATGGCTGAAGCAGAAACTACCGTTGTTAAAAGAAATGTGTTTAACTTTGAAAATGTGGGCGCAATTTTAATTGTCAAAAACTCCAGCGAACCATTAGTTCATTTTGCTCAAATAGAAATAGAGGCCTGCCTCTAATACTGGCCCTCCTTCCAATAAAGGCCCGGAGCTTGATGAGCTTGAGTCAAATACAGGCCCGGGCCTGTATTAGAGGATTTACGGTAATTTATATTTCTATTTAAATCAATATTTTTATTTATGTTCATGTCATTAAATATTTAATGACGCACCCCTGGGGGTGCGAGAGCTGCCGCTATGGGGTGCGCGAGGTGAAAAGTGTAATGGCTGCGGAGCTCAGAGAAGTCTGTCATATGTCACCATTAGCGTAGCCAGAAACTCATTTGTGGGTGGGCCTAAGAAAAAGTAAGTGGGCCCAATAAATGTAAGTATCATTTCTATAGCGCCTCTCAAGATAAAAATCATGAGGCTCATGTGCCCTAGCTTCATAATAACAATACGCCGAGCTTCAGCACTCTGGCCTGCGCACGCCGATATGTTCCGTATTTGATCATTTTTAACGATGTAGGAGGAATCTGAAGGTGGTCAGTCATTCTGGCAGATTGTAATTAACACCCTGTCTCATGCAGGTGTTCTGACATTGTAAACCTCACACACAGAACATTGTGGATGTAACAAAATAAATCAAGAAATGATTCGCATCTGAGCATTTTAGCATTATTATATTATTATATTAGCACACTGACTGTGGGACAGTATTCTAAACGTGTCAGGCTATTAACAGTTCAGAGTGCGTCTGTCAGAAGTCAGACGCGTTCCAGCGGAACCACGTCTCACAGGTGCACAAGTGAGCACATCTGGGCTGGGCAGAAGTAATTTTAAAACATTGGTTTGAATAGCGCCAATAACGAGGCGCGGTGACTGGAGCGGCTCATGGAGCTGTGCCGCACACACACACAAACACACACACACACACAGATTCAATAAGCACTCGCTGCGCGGCGTTGCGCCGCGCCGTCAGACTGAAGGCAGAGATGAGCGCTGCCTCCTCTGTGATAAAAAAAACTTTAAGAGGTTTTATAACATTTTTCATTCCAGGTCAAATTAAGATATTAGCTTCTATTTTGGGATGACGTATGAAATTCGAGTCCATTCCAGCCAGTGACTCCTCATGAACCTGACTACAACTCATGTTACTGCAGCATTTGTTATTCCAAATCGCGGATCGCAGATTCAGCCACACCATAAAACAGCAGTGAACCTCATGACTATAGCTTTTCCATCTTTCTCCCTATGGACATTTGATTACGCACAAGTAGGTGACCAGTTCAGGTTTGCGCAGAGCAGAAGGAAGGAGAGCGCTCTGGCCGCAGGTTAAACGTTCCTACTTTAAGAAAACCGTTAAATTGCATTGTTTATGTACTACCTGGGCACTCTAAATATTTATTTAAAATAAATCAAAGGAAAGTGTAATGGTATCGAATGTTTATTAATTACTACTTAAAAAATGAAAATGATGGGGAAAAAGGTCAATCATATTTTTTTAACCCTGTCTGTAGTGACTGTTTAGCTTGACGTTTGATATATATATATATATATACATATATCAGATGTCATGCTTGTTATTAATTAAATAATTAACAATCCAGTTTTTCGTAAAGCATTACAATGGAGGCTTCACATTCCTGTGATTACAAGGAATCTATGGATCCTAAATTTGTCCTGATCCATGACTGGGAAGGAGCTGGAATATCCACACAGAGCAGACCTGTTTTACTGTGAGATCCGCGGTAATAATTCAAATAATACTAATGAATTTATAATTGATCTTGATGGTGTAGCTAATATCAGCTCAACCTGCTCAACACTTGCTTCTGCTCAGTTCTCCTTTCCCGGAAGCCAGATTTCCCTTTCTGGGGAAGACATGACTTCCTCCTGCTGTGGGTGACATCAGTCATGTCTCATTAGCTGTACCTGCAGCCCCTACAGGTGTGGACTAAACCACTTTGCACGTTTTGAAGGGGCAATAGATCCTCAGAGATAATTCAGTTATTATTTTTAAGGCAAACTTCTGTTTCTTAACCTCTTCCTGTAGGTAAAGAGGAGTTTATTAAGACAGTAAGTAAGTCGGGGAAAAAAAACATTTTATTCAAGGCTGTCTCTGGGCCCCTCCCTGCAATAGGTCATGACCATCTACTTCAGCATCATGAGGACCCAGTAAAACGAAAAAATGAAACGCAACGGGTCCAAAAACGCTATTTTCTAACCTGCTTTGCCCTGGTACCCTGGCTTACTGCAATTTCAATCAAAACTAATGATGGGTGTTTCGACCACGCCAGTCACGTACTTAGACATTTGTCAGCTTGTAAAAGTTCGTAATTAGCATGACTACACACCAGAAATTGACACGTCCATATGTGACGTCACCACATAATCTCCTCTACCCTTACGTAGCTGCTACTTACCACATGACCAGATTTATGGTGTTTCTTTCCTTCTGTCGGAAGTTTGCAGAACTTACAGACCTTTTCCCTCAGTTTTCTCCGTGTCTGGTTCGATGACGTCACTTTCGTGAAGCGCATTTATAGTCCTGGTCTTATTTTCACACAAAGCCTAATATAGCGTGCCCCCCCCCCCCCCCCCCCCCCCCCCACGTTAGAAAATAAGCGTATTCTTGGTATCAAAATGCATCTTTAAAATTCACGGACATCATGTGTGAAATCCATGGCACAAAACAAGCGGGATTAGAAAATAGCGTTTTTAGCCCCATTGACTTTTTCTCGTTCTTCTGGGGACCCGTGGTCCGGAAGTAGGTGGGCAGGACTTAAGACTCCTTAAAGTTGGTTTATGCTTGACGCGAGTTTTTTTTTTTTTTTTTTTTTAGCTTTTCAATAAAATTTTATTGAAAGGTACAGGTGCACAAGTGTGTCAGATGGGGCCTTCCTTTGACCGTTTTGAACTCTAGAACACTATTACTGTCACTAGCAAAAACGTTCCAGGCAGGGAAACAAAATAAAATGCTGAACAAATTCCAAGCTGCATTCCCATGGCAATGGCAACTTTTAGTGAACTAAAACTAATTTCAATCAAGTGGTGTCCACAGAATCTGAATTCAGTGAAAACAACTTAGGTGTTGAACATTTCAGTTCAAACATAACGTTAGTCACGAGTGACCGCGTCACCACTCGTTCCACTTCAATGGTCTAAACCAGGAGCGCTCCCTCACCTCATCAAAAAAAAAATCATCACCTTGGGTAGGAGTGTGCAATTCAGGACAGCTTATCAACCTAGGGTGGGAGTTAAGGATCTTAATTGGGCCCGATTTCTTGGTTCCGTCTTTGCTGTTCTCAAAATCCTTCTCCCTCCTCTTCCACATGGTGGACTGAGGACCTAGGTGGTTCAATACTTTAAGCTTAAAACCAAAAACCCATACCAGGGAATACCAAAAACCTCAGTACAGATTCAAACAGGTACATAAGTGTACACCTGTGCAGGCAACACAACCAGAAAAGCTAAACTCAACAGTGTGGCGGCAGATCCACCTCAAAGGGACTAATAGTGTGTTTAATCAACCTTATAGGTAAAAAAAGCTTTTCCCTAAAGAAATGCATCATCGTTGATGAAAGTCTGTAAGGAAAATAAAGGGTTACTGGGTGACCGTTACAGTGAGGACAACTGTGACGTCACCCGTCCCTCTGCCCCCGGTTTAACTAGCCGACTCGGGGATGGTGGGTAGATGAGCGATCTTGTAGTAGCTGTGCTTCAGCTGACGAGCAGTTCTTCCTGAGATTGTCCAGCGGAGTCTCTGGCCGATGGTTCTGGAGCACTTGGTGGTGGCGTATTCAGCTAGACCCTTTCTGACCAGCTCTCAGACACACACCAGGTCACCGTCTTTCACATTCAGCTGCTGCTGCAAGTTTTTCAGAGCCTCGAATACTTTGTTTGCGTGCTCCGGGTCATGCTGTTTCTGTGCCTCAAAGCACAGCAGAGCAATGGCAAAGAGAGACGGTTTAATTTTAGAGAAGACAAATGAGCAGTGGCACGCTTTTAGCTGGGCCTCCAACCTTTCAATGCTCAGGATCTTCCTGCTCTGAGTGTCGAGCTGCTCCTGGATGTGACTGTGAAGCAGGCGGACAAAGTGCAGGGATGTGGGGGCTTTCACCTTCCAGTAGAGCTTCTCCATGATGTTCTTCTCCATTCTGATCATGTCGGACACCGTAAAGCGATTCTGACTAATGCGGATCAGATCACTGGCCAGCGGCACGTTCTTCTCCTCTGAAGACTTCACAGCAATGTAAAAGCAGCACAGTCCAACACAGGACAGGTGCTTGGGTTGAATCTTCATCACAGAGAGGAACCGATCTAGCAAGCTGGTGGCCAGTAAGAAGGTCTCTGAGCTGAAACCAAAAAACCTGGTGAGGGAGAGCAGGTCCTTAACTTCTAGTTCTCTCAACCTGGTGGTCATCCTGAGGTTGTTGTCCTGGGCACTCTCGATGAGCCTCAGACCACTCAGCGTTGGTTGGTATCGGCCTTCCAGGTCCATCAGGGCCTTCAGCTGAACTGCAAAGGGCTTTGCTCCAGGTGTTATTGCATCAACCATCTTGAGAGGTTACTGCTTTTATATTTAAATAAAACTGCCTGAAAAAATCCTTACGCGCGTTGAAAATGCGAATGTAAAGAAGTAAAATAACACAAAAGTGTAAGTATGAACTGTTACTAAATCAAGGTTTAAGCATAGGTTAACTTCTGCCTATGCACACCCCCTACCCTTGGAGTGGGGAAAAGGCGACGCGTCCGCGAGGTCCGCAGTTGCGTCATTTTAACAACCACACCCCTCCACCTCGCCTCCGCACGGCCCAGAATTTCCGCAACGCGCACCTCGGAAAATTTTCTAACCACGCGGACGGACGGACGCGGAAAAACATGGCGGACCGGCAAGAACTAGTATGGCAGAGGTTCGTAAATAGAGACATTTGTATGATTCAGCTCTCAGAGATCACCGTGATCAACACGTTGTTAATAATTCTTGGAGAGAAATAGCTCGCACTGTCGGAAAAGACGAGGACGCTGTTAAAAATGCTGAAATGCCATGTTGTAGACAGCAATTTCTACTTCTACTATGGTGTGGTGTTGTACAGCTCCATGCTGCCCCATGCAGTTTGGGAGAATATTGGCTCACCGCAGAGACAAGCCGCACGAACCATAAATGCTACGAGTTGCATCACCGCGCGGAAAGTGAATGCGTCAAGCATAAACCAAGCTTTATGTGTCCTGGGTAAACAGTGCCCTTTTCCCCCAGTTTGACGCAACCGCAGAAGAAGGGTTAAGTACAGCAGCCTAGGGGGCCCCTAGTGGCTGGAGGGGCACCTAATCACATATGCTTGTTATTAATTAAATAATTTGCCGATACACAGACAAAAACACAGCTGTTGTTAAACACAGGAAATGCTGACTAAAATATTTTTGCATCGTAGCTATGGCACCCCTATGCATCGTGCATCGCCCACTTTTTGCACCACTGCTGACGGGTAAAGGCTATCCCTGGATTCATTGTGGGCAGAGAACAAAAATGAAGGTCTTAGCGATCGAAGAAGGACCCGACCTACGGGGAATTTTATCAATCCTCGATAAAGCGATCAGGCTTGGCGTGTGTTACACCTAAAAAACGGTCTGGACAGAAACAACACCCTACTCTAATAAACAGAATTTCTTCAGGATTCCACCCCTACCACAACTATACCTCATGTTTAGATATTTTTTCCTAACAGCGAGGAGCTGAGAAATGACTGACCTTCACAGTGATGGTCATTTTTGGACACTCTGAAAACAAAACAACCCTTTGAAGCACAAAAAAAAACCTGTTTATTACAAATTAACTGTTTCATGATAAAATCAAGACTATAAAATACAGTGATAATTCACGTAGCTGTTTCCCTAAGCTGAGGTTGTTCAGTCATCTGCATCAGGTTAAAATATTTATTCCACAGAAACACACTACATCTCACCACCTGTTGTGGTTTCTCGTACGTGCACTCTCGATCACCATAAAATAAAACTTGGTCCAAATTGGATTCCTCACTATCCAGTTTCGCCCCGGCTCCTTCGCTCTCCCACAACAAACAGCCCTGAGCCAAAGCAGATCAGCTTTCTGCCTCTGGAAGCATCTCGGATTAAGTTTTAATTATCCGTACAAAAACACACAAACTGATGAAAACATAAGCGTGACATTTATGTTGGTAATAAATGAAGAGTTCAGCTCAAACTACACGGCTTTATCTGGTTCCTGAAGGTTTGTTTTGGTTCTGATGGAACAGACAAAACAAGTTAGAATTGGAAACTTTTATTTTTTCCTTAAAGAACAAAATAGAAACTCGGCTCCTGCACTCCCATATTTAATAAGTCATTGAAACTCTTGATATTTATTTACAAAAGATAGAAAATAAAAGATAAATAAATAGAACCTGCTGCTGCTCTTCGTGGAAACCATCTGGGACGCGAGGGCGGGTCTCTTCAGCGTGTTTGAAACTACTCTCTAAAAACCGCTCTGCTTGGAAACCATAATTAAAATGTGAGAAAGCAAACATCAGCAAGTGAATCATTAATATTACAGATAAGTGAGACAGTGGCACAGTTTATAATTTGTTAAATTAAATAAAACTGATATCTTAAATTAAACAGATTTGGAAGACTGAAAGCAAAAGCCTACATCAAGTAAATGGTATTTAATGTGCTGAAGGGTGCCCCCTACTGGTTACACGTAAGGACAAGCAGCACAGAATACGTGAGCACCCCCCCCCCAGGGCTCTTCGTTAATCACAATTAGACTTTTAACAACAATTTACACATAAAAGCTTCTTACAGAAGCCTCTGATACAGCAGACGTACGTCTAAACCAGCTGGGTGAGTTCTAAGCCATAAAACTGGATTTGATGCTCGTTTTTGTTTAAATTTTGACACAAATCAATCTTTTGAGTGGATAAGGCAAACAAACATGTTCCTGTATGGCTTAAGGTCATGAACACTTTGTAGCCTCGCAGATTTGTGCCCGTTTCCTCTCTCCAGAGCTTTAACCGATGCAGCTGGAGAACAGCACGACGGGTCCAGAGCAGGCACTTCAGCACGAGCCGTCTCCACCAATCTGACTGGTTCCAGGCCAGTAGTTTCACATCTGATCGCGGTGCCGTGTGACCTGCTGCTCTCGGGCTGCCTGCACACTGCAGGGAGCTTCCGGTAAAGTTTTATGGTCTGCATCGCAGGTGTACAAGTCTCCGCCCCCACGGTCGAGGTGCGATTCATCCTCAGAGAAGGTCCACAGGTGTGTTCTCCATCCAAAACCATAGCAGACTCCACGTCAACATTTACCTGAAACAGCAAAATAACACGAGGAATAAAACAACAAAAGCTGCTTACGGAGATTTTTATCTGGGGGATTCTACCAAACTGGTTCCAACACTAAACGGATCTCGGTTAGCATCAACTTGTTCCGTTTCAACGCCGATAGATCTGGTTCGGGTTAAAGGGTCAAAGGACAAAAGAAACCTACGGCCAATAAAAACGTGTACGTGCTCATTTAAAAACACACTGATGTTTCTCAGTACTTGTTTGTGGAAAATCACCAGTAAGTCACGCCTTAAGCCGGGCGTACACTGTGCGACTTTTTCACTCGTAGCACTCAGCTTCAGCTCAAACTGTACGACTTCCTCGCAGGGCAGATCTCACGAGTCATGTGCTCACACTGCACGACCCAGTTCACGGATGCGATCTGACTGCTCACACTGTACGTCTGGTAGCAACACGTCGGCCCTAAAAATATGCTAAAAATAGCAGTTTTTACTCAACACGTCAAAGTTTTTTGTCTTGTTTTGCCTGTTGTCCTTGGGGAGTGCTGCAGGAGGACACAGGGATTTATGGGGGTTGGATGAGGAAAACGAAATAAAGTAAATCTGTGTTTTGTGATCAGTTTAATTTGACATGAACACGACAAACACGCTTTCTTGACAATCTTTGTGAGTAAAAAAACATGTAGAAAACGAACGTGTGTTATTAGGGAAATAGCGGGCGAGCAGCGTTGATGCAGGATTGCGCATGCGCCGTGAGCGGTTCTGATACTTTTTGGGTTGCAGCTGCTCGCAGCGCCGCTTCAACAGTGCGATACCCTCACGAGGAACGAGCAAAATATTAAACACGCCAGAAGTTTGTGCGAGCTCACGACTGCTGATCGGTAGCTGGTCACGTGGTGTTAATCGCCTCTCGTAACCCCCTGTACACTACACGACCGCTCGGCGCAAAACTCGCCCCGATGTCGTGGATTCTCGCACGAGTGGAAAATCGGCTCAAAAAAGTGAAAAAGTCGCACAGTGTATGCCCGGCTGAAAGCAGGTCACACTGCCCAAACGCTAAAACGGCTGGTTTTTACTGACAGGTTGCACCAAAGGCCGTTTTATAGAACTCAGGGCTAAGGCCTAGCTTGGCCGGCAGTTTTCACTTTAAAAACTAACAATGTTTACGTCATCGTTAGTAAAGCAGATGTTTTAACAGGTTATTAGCGAATAAATCCCTTATACATACACGACCTTCTGATTTGTGTGTTTTATTGAAAATTAAACGTATAAAACTACATTTTGCCATTTAGATCTACTTAAGTCTGAGTTACACTGATAAAAATAAACAGGAGCATTGTCTGGAACTGGGATGCTGGGCTGGAATTTAATCTTCAGTTTGTGCAGACTGGTTTGGGCTAGTTGGGGTGCAGACTGGTTTGGGATGGTTGGGGAAATCCACGTTTCATAAAGAACGTTTCAAACGTTGTTTATAAACAGCGCTAGCTGTTTTACAACCATCAGTGGGCGTTTGTGAATTGTGCTTGGTATTTTTTTGCAGTGTTTACTAAACAGTGATGGTGACTGCTCTTTACTGATCTTTAAACACTGACTGGTGTTTAAAGTGATGGTGTGTAGTTTCCCTGGCGAGAGGGGGCAATACATATCTAAATTATTGCAAGCAAGCGGTACTTTTGTGTTGGGGTAAGGTGTAACCAACGAATGGCCGTTAGGGTGTAAGATCACTGGGAGAACAACCTCCAGCAAAATGACAGACTCCCTTTCATCACTGGCAATGAGTGAAGAGGTAAAGGGAACAGTAGTTGACAAATCAGCAAATGCATTTTGACCTCATGGGCTCTCGTAGAAGAAAACATGGCATCACCCAGAAATTTTCAAGTATTTTAGACCTGGGGTGTTTCTCAATGCCAAGGAACTTTGCCTTGATGTCTTGGCCCCGCCCCGGTTGCCTAGGAGATACGTCATCAGGAACCGCCAAGACGTTTTCCAATGTTTATGTTCTACCGAGGCGTGTGTTCTGTTTGTTAGCTGTTTAGCTAGCTGAGCAAGGACACACGGGAGGTGTCTTATAACCAAGCATTGGTCAAAAATTACCCAGAATACACCGTGGTATTCTCAAAAGGACGGCGGATCAGAAGCCGGCAGCTACTTCGGGGACAATTTCAAGTTTAAAAGTAAGTCAGCTAATTTTAAATGTTTTTTTTTTAGATCCAAAGACGTTATCTATTGTTGGTTAGTTGCTTAGTAGTTGCAGCTTCGGTGGCTAGCGGGTAGTAACTCACTTACATATTTAACAAATATATACGCAATTTAAAAAGTAAATGTCTCGTTATATATTTATATTGAAACTAATACGTATAAAATATAACGTTTTCTCCCGTGTCATGTGATGCAAGTCTGTTCCCTTTTACCGTTTTCTTTGACTTAGGAAGGACAGTGTCCTCGTAAGCAAGGCGCCTAGCCTTGCAAGACATCGCCTCGTAAGGCCAGGCACACTGACATTGAGAAACAGCCCTGATTTTTAGGGTTATATGTTACAAAGCTGCCGATATTTATCAACAACTGGGCATTGTTTAATTCATTTGACAACATTTCATTGGATAAACAGTAGAAACTACACAGTCTCTAAAACGTTGTTTATAAACTTGGTATAAAGACATTAGCCCTGGAACCTCTTTGGTGGAACGACCCCATCAGACTCACCCTCATCGTCCGAGTCGAACCCAAACAAGTTGGAGCACTTCTGCAGCTGAAGGTGACTCTGTAACTCCTCGGTGCTGCTGAAAGTGGTGAAGCAGTTGGCACACCGATGTCTCTGATGAATGGTTTTCATAAAGACTGGTTCAAGAGGAACACCAACAAGACAGCGTTGGACCAGCACTTCCTTCCTCCGCTTTGGCATGGTGGTGTACTTCTCATGCAGGTATGCCGTTGGTGGCAGACGCATGTGTGGCTTCTTGCCGTACTCGGCGAGAACTTCCTTAGATGGCGTAAATGCTGAGTCATCACATGTTGGTTCTTTGTTAATAAGCTGAGAGTGACTAGAAATGTCAATAGTAAATTTTTGAGGGGAGCTTTTGTCTGCCTTGCCAGCTGCTGACTGACCTTTAGAAGAAGGCTTTGTAGACTTTTTCGTCGATGTCTGATCACGACTTTTGCACTTTTTCTTGGCAGGTTTTTCGGAATCATCTTTACTGGTTAACCTGCGCTTCTTGCTAGCATCAGGCTTTTTTGATTTCTTAGGTTTGTCCTGTACCTTGGGTTTGCTCTCTTCTGGGTCTGTGGAACGGGTCTGCTCTGCCACATCAGTAGGTAAGGACGAAGCAGGTGCTTCATGAGAGACCTCCTCTTTTCTCTTCTCCTTCTCATCAAGGCTGCTCTTTATTAACCTCTGCAGACCCTGTAATATCCCCGCTGCTCCTCTAGCCTTATCCTGGCCTTTGGGGTCAGATTTTGACCTTTTCAAGGCAGAAATGTTGCCTTTACTTTTTTCTGACGGGTTTTCTTGAAACGTTTGTTCCAGTTTTTTCTTCAGCTTTGTTGCATTTCCCGATTTTAAGGAGGTCTCTTTCTTCTCTGTGATAACTGGGATCTTTGGGTCCTCCAGAACTTCCTCTGTGGTTAAAGGTTGGTTTAAACTTTCCAGTGCTGAAGCAAGCACCGAGTTTAGAGTTGAATCTGGGTTCTCCCTCGCCGTTACCAGCTGGTCACCAGCAGAACTTTCCAGAGCTGTGTTTTCTACCTGTGGGGCAGCTTTGGACTTGGCTGGCTGTTTCGAGGGTAACGGGATGACTTGTTTTTTACTCAGTTTAATGGCCTTTTTGATGACTCCGACTTTTACATTCCTGTTATTTTTGGACTTGCTGGAATCAGAAGTGTGATGGTTCCTCTTGAGACCTGTTTCCCGTTTGCCATCACTAGACTCCTGTCTGAGTTCAGGGGCAACTCCAGTCCTTGCTTGCTTGTCGTCTGATGCGGAGGACTTTGAAGAACTTGTCTTCTCCGTAGTTTTGTCTTCACCGTGCATCTGCTGCTTGTTCTTTTCTTCTTTCAGCCTGATGCTGGTTCTTAACTTGACTGTTTTTGGACCGGTAGCGAGCTTTTCATTGAAAGCTGCTTTATTTAGCCTGAGAAGTGTTGCTCTTCTTGTAGAACATCTTTTGTTCACACCGATCTGCATTTTCCTTAATCTATACTTAAATTTGCTACTGTGTTTTAACGATGGTGTGACTTTTTGGACTCTGTGAGAATCCAGGCTCTTGTTCGTTTTTCTGACGTTCCATAAGGTTCGTCTTAATCTGAGATGGCGGAGGGCGGGTTGCACAGAAATGTCCTTTTCTGAGAGATTTAACACGTGTGACTCTGTGCTCTTGCTTTTCTGCTTTGGTTTGCTTTTCTTAGCTCCTGTGATAGCAGTAACCGGATCTTTTGTTTCCTGTCCCCTTAACCTAAGAGTAGGTTTTACGCTCTCTGTACTATTTCCAGCATTGGGTTCAGCGTTATCCTCTGAAGTCTGAGGATTCTTGCTAACTGGTGTTTTACAGAGGTTATCAGCCGATTGTTCATTTGCATTCTTCATTTTGACCGACTTGGAGGAATAATGCTCTTTTTCATGAAGGTTCAGAGCCCAAAGACAAATAAAAAGTTTGGGGCACCCGGGGAGGCAGCACGTTGCTTGCAGTGGATTGTGCTTTCTGGTGTGGCGCCTCATGTCATTTCCAGTTTTGAACCTTTCCGTACAACCCTGATGGAGACACGGGTAACGGGGAATGAGTCTGTGTCTTTCCACGTGATGCTGAAAGTGTTCAAAACTCCATAAAACCCTCATGCAAATGCTGCACTTGTTCTCAGCAACTCGGAACGCCAGCTCCAGAGGTTTGATGTCTCCGTAATGCTTCTCAAGAGTGTGGTACAGGAAGGTGACCTTGTTCTTGGAGAGGTCTGTAAACCAGGAGCATCCATCCACAGGACAGCAGAGTTTTTCCACACTTTTCTTTTGAACCGTTTGTTTTGGGGACTTTTTCAGATTCTGGACTGAATCTTTTTTCTTTCTGTCCTCTCTGGAGTTGAAGCCTTTGTCCGGCTGAATGGATGCAGAATCGTCCGACTCAAGCTGTTGGTTTTCTTGAAGGCTTGAGTTTTTTACTCTAGCAGGCTTTCCTTGAGAGCTCACTTCATGTCCCTTCTTTTCCCTTAAGTCTCGTTTCAGCCCAACATGTCCGTTTAACCTGTGACTGGCTGCTTTAGCGCTCGCTGATGGTTTCTGCTTGTCTGGTAACGATGTACCGCTGACTTGTTTGTGACTAGATCGTAATGCTCTGGATTCCAACGGAGTATCATTGGAACTGCTTTCAGGGCTGTCGGTGGTTTTCTTCAGCTTCCCTTTACTCTGATGTCCAGACGGAGTCTTTGCTTTGGTTTTAGGGGTGGAGGCATCTTTGGTGACCTGGTGTTTCTGAGCTTTGCCACCAGCTGGAGGATCTTTGATTCTCTTTAGCTTTTCTATATGTTCAGACAGGTGCATCATGGCCAACAGGTCGTCTTTGAAGATAATCCTACAGAAAGTGCACTCGTCTTTGCGGTAATGGAGCATAGCATGCTCTACAACACGAGGCCCCTTAAAGTCTTTATTGCAGAAAGTACAGAAGTGATCCAGGTGGGTTTCTTCCGTTTCTGGAGGCGTCTCCAGAAACTCTTCGGGTATGTCTGAATGAATATTGTCTATGTTTGCTTTCCCTTTTTTCTCTTGCTTGATAACAACTGAAACATCTTCTTCTGACACCGAGCATCTAGAAATATTCTCTATGTTTGCTTTCCCTTTTTTCTCTTGCTTGATAACAACTGAAATATCTTCTTCTGACACCGAGCATCTAGAGCTAGTTCTGATTCTCGGACCTGCTTTAGGTTGACGTTCACCACTAGACTCTTTGGGCGTACCGCCGTCTGAAACGATACGTTTGTCTACTTCTGGATCTGGATCAAGCAGCTTTAGTGAAGGTTCCTCAACCATCTGAGGTGAAGTGTCCCTTACTCCAGCATCGCTCTTCGTTTCAGACGGTTTACACATACCAAGCACGTTTTCCACAGGGCTGCTGTCGTTGTTAGAAGGCACGTTTAACTCCATGGCATCCATACAGGAAACACCCTTTTCCGTGGAGTTCTTGGTGCCATCATCTTGAGATTGCACAGAATTTAATTCTTGCTCCACACCTTCAAGATGAAGATCTGGACAGTTTGACAACACAGAATCAGCATCTCCACCCACTGGAACACTGGGACTACTGGATCCTGGATGGATCTCATTAGTAGCCGTCTGCTTATTCTCATCTACTGCAGAAGTTTGGCCTTTAGACACATCTTCTTCCACTGAGGCTTTGGATGTTGTGTCTACAACTGGAGATTGTGAGGCAATAGTGACCTTCATTTCCACGGCTGGCTCCTCAAAGTGCTCTCCTCCTGTAGCAATGACGGGAGGTTGTGAGGTCTCTGATAAAGTCTTTAAAGACACTGAGCCTTCCACCTCAGCAGATGTGTCTTCCAAGGCCTTGCTTTGGAGAACATTTTCTGAGGTGTGAGGTGAGGGTGTCCTATTAGAATCAGTAACTTTGATTATTTCGGGCTTTTCAGAGCACTCTCCGGCTGAAGAGGTTTTTCTCACTCCTGCCTTTGGACTTTGATGTTTAAGGACATTGTCAGAAGCCTGAGATCCAGCATCCTTGTCTACATGAGGGGCAGAACCAGGCTTCTCAAAAACTTCTCCTTGTGAATCCCTGGATGGAATTCCCTGCACCGATGAGCGTGTGATTGTTGACACGGACACATGAATACTCGACCCGTTACCTTTTCCTTTTTGCCGTCGAGCGTAGCAGTGCAGCTGTTGCACAAACATACTAGCATCGCGAGATCGCAGAATCACCTCTTTGCCGTGTGCCGTCTTGCTGGGCAGTGATGTGTCGGGAAATTTGACTGTAGGTTTATAAAGAAGCACTTGGGGGAACCCCCGATGTCTGTTGCACGTATCTTCAGAAAACGACTCCATCAGTTCGTTGTCTGGCAGAGAAAGCTCCAGGATGACTTTAGGGGGGGGCGCGGGTTTAATGCAGTCCAGAGAAAAGCCGTTCTGATGCTTTTTGTTTTCCCTCGCCTTCAGGAGAGTCTTGACGGAAGGTTTGTGTTTGGCGTTCTTGATCTGAGCGGTTTGAGATCGTTTCATGACGCACGATCGAAGATGTCTTTTTTGTTTCAACATGTTCTTTTTCATCTTCAGAGGAACATTCTCTTCTAGAGCTCCCGAGTCCTCCAGCAGCCACCTGGGCTTTTTAATTCTCCTCTTTGGTAGGTTTTTCTCCGAGCACTTCGTACTCCGTTTATGATCTTCATACCTTAAGGTTAAACTGCTGTGTATTCTGTCCAGCTGCCAAAATGAGCGCCTCAAAGTTGAAGAAGCTTCCTTTAAAGGTCGTGTTCCGTGCTCTCCTTTCCTCCTCAGGGAATGGTCATGCAGGCGTGTTTTTCCTGTGCCCATCTTCAGTCTTTTGGACGCAGCGTCTCGGTCTTCTTGGTGTCTCCTTTTAGCTGCAGCTTCTTTATGACATATGGATGCACGCGGGCTGAGAGCAGGCGCTTTGGTGCAATACTTGGAGATCCATTTGTCCTCCCTGATCTCATCCAGGGCAGCATTGACCACCTTCTCACTCAGCAGCTTTAAACAGTTGGTCCGCAAAGCCACGAGGCTCCAAAGCTCCGGGTCAAAAAACAGATCCTTCTTCAAGACCTGAGAAAAGAAAAACAGCTGTTAGAGAAACTAACATTGAACCCATAAAACAGCGCCTAGACCTCAGCTTATCGTTCTATGACTCGCTTCAGTGAGTTTGAGGTTCATCGTGCCGTCGAGCGTCTCCGTTTCACGTCGCTGGTGGAGACATTTTTCTTCCCGGCTGTATCCGGCCATTCCCTGTCCGTTTCTAGAAACTCCATAGCACGGATCCTGCTTAAGCCTACTTTACACTTCTCCGTCTGGGTGGATGCGGAGACCAGCGCTGCCACGATTAGTCGACAAACAAAATGGTTAACGACACATTTAATAGTCGACGCGTCGTTTATTCTATCCTGCTGCGACACTTTCTGTCGCTTTCTCCTCGAGGCTCATGCGCAGCAGTCGCCATCCGGGTCAGCCTTCGGATCACCGTAAAAACGTAATGGCGAGTCGGCGACTTTGCTCAAAAGTTTGGGAGAATTTAACAAAGACAAGAGAACCAAGTAAAGTGCAAAACCTGCAAAGTGAAACTCTCCTTTCATGGGAGCACAACGGCGATGCACGAACACCTTAAAAGGAAGCGTGTCGTGGTGGAGAACGAAGAGTCGGCTCTGTAAGTTAGCTACCTCCTGTTAGCTGCTAACAGTAACTTGTAGAGATGGTGGTTTTATTACCTTTAGCACACGTATGCCACACGTTTGCGCTAACGTTACAAATCAGGGTTTCCCTTACACCGGCAGCGCCACGGCTATGACGGACATCGCTTCCTGTAACTTCATCACCGTCACCTCCCCTCGAAACAATAAAACCAGAGCCAAAGTTATCTAGCGACAGACATGGAAGAGACTGAAGATCATACGATGATATAAATGTTAATTGTGACTGAAGGAGTACGAAGACACGCAGCAGACTTTGCATTTGTGTCAAGAGACTGCAGGAGTTTAGACTACTGCGTCACAATGTACAGTAGCACTGGCAAGCATGACAGGAAAAGACGTCACACCATCCAAACATTAGAACTCTAACCATGCACAACCCTAACCCTCAACCTTTATTTTACCAGGTCAAAAGTTTGACATGAATTTTTATTTGGTTCTTTCTGCACGCATCGTAGTAAAGATTTGTTTTTACGTCTAGGTTAACTCCGTAGTCTTCCTCAGAGGACGCTGATGATACGAGTTGGGCGAAACGCGCCTGCCAACGAAGGTAAAGACAAATCTTTATTACACCGTGTGCAGAAACAACCCAATAATGGAACCTGATCAACACAGAACAACGTACCAAAGGAGTTTCAGATCATGTTCTAGTTTACAAGCATGACCTGGCAGACGCGACTCGCAGGTAGTGGCAACAACAACAACAACAAAGGGTTACTGAAGGTAAGAAATGTGTTTATTAGTTTTCCTGGTGCTTTACTAAGCCACGCCCCCAGAATGTGACATCCCACATGTAAACTTAGATTTTCTGTAGCGCTGCGATGGTTTGGCCACCAGAAACATTCCATCAGGGTTTGAAAAGAAAAGAAGTCGCACCTTCACGTCCATTTCAGGTTATTACGGTAAATCCGGTAAACCCCTTTCTGATACCACAGGAAGCGAGCGAATGAGTTTCTCTGTCGCACAAACGGCGCTGAGTAATGGGCTCGACACACGGGAGGCGACATCGCCTCTCCTCCATTCATTTTCAATGAGACATGCACGACAAAGCGATAATCGCGGGTCTCTCTCCTACCAAGCGAAACGCGAAAAACGTGCGTGTGAAATTTTGCGCTCGTGCACGTGTCGTGCACGGACGACCCAGCGACGCGATCCCAGAAAGTTGAAAAATTTTCAACTTTTCATCATTGTCGCTCGGACGAGGACCAATCAACGGAGGTTTCATTCACTGACCAATGAGCGGACAGGATGCTCCGTACATCTCCGAGCAAACATGGAGGAGAAGTTGATTACTATTATGTTTTATATAGTAAAATCAGAAGTAAGATTTCACATAACTCTAGCAGCACCTTGTGAAACATCATATCTACCGCTTTTTTAACTCTGAACCGCTTAAATAACCTTAATTCCCTCCAACCTGACACAGCCAAACAAAACAATGGAAGTTTCGATTTCGCCATGGAACAGAACGCGTAGACGGCTTTGCCGCTGGCCGCGGATCGCCTCCCGTGTGACAGGTAATAAAAACGACAGCGACAAATTTCGCTGATCACGGTCGTTTGTCGCCTCCTGTGTGTCGAGCCCATAAGGGGCAACTGATGAGCGACAAACGAGAGCCTTGGGTCTAATGCTAGGAGCTACAAAGGTTCTGCTAAAACGGTCTGAAAACAATTCTAAACAATATTCCTGAATCCAGAAATCCCGGAGCTCTTTTCTCAGATCTGCAGAGATCCTCATGAGAGTCGGAGCAGTTTAAGCCTCACCAAGGCGGTTTCATTTTAACCTCCGCTGATATCAGGAAAGCAGTTTCCCTCAAAGACGAATACTGTCTCATAACTGTGATGCAGAGAGAGAAGTCGTCAAAGCTAAGCTAGGTGAATATATGATACAACGATCTGCCATACCTGCAGGGTTTCAAAGCGAACGCTGTTCCCGATGGGGCTGTCGTCCACGTGGTATTCCTGATCCGGAAGCATGTACAGGAGGTACACCATCTTGTAGGACTCAACCGTGCGCTCGCAGAAGAAGACCAGGAGAGCACAAGCTCGGCACACCTCCAGGTCGTCGGGCAGCAGGCCGGCGATGGTCTTGTAGATACAAGTCTTTGTGATGACATCACAGGGCAGACGAGACCGCAGGGCACTGGCACAGAGCTCCACACAGAACTGGACCCCATCATCGCCCACCTGCAGGACCAATCAGAAGTTAGACGCCGCATCGCATCCGATCCCATTTCAAACGGATATTTACGTTTTTGTCCTACTTCCTGCAGGACGGCTCTGATGAACGGGAAGATGGATTTAACGTTTGTGGCAGAAAGCATCAGCCGACGACATTCCTCCAGGAAAGCCTGCTTGGATCTGTTCACGCGACCGTGAAGATTCGTCCACACACACACCAGGTTGCTAGGAACACAGGAGACATGTTATTGAACATGGCTGCTTGGTTACATGAACATTTCTCTCATGTTTTTGTGGGAATCTGGATGGACTGGAAGGGATAGATGAATAAACAACCACAAGTAGAACACGTCGCCCCTCTGGAGCTGGTGAGACAGGAAGGCAGCGCTGAGGGACAAAAGCACCTCGTCGGTTTCTTCACGCTCGAGATTGCAGATGATGTTTACGGCGTCCTTACCGCTAACGCCAGCCACCTGCAGATGGTAAGCACACGGTAAGAACAACAAAACAGGAGGGAATCGAGCAGCAACGGCACCCGGCGTACCTCCTCGTGAAGGCGTTTGTGCTGGGATGTTCTACAGAGCCATGAGAGGTAGACCTGGAGGAAGAACAGGTGCTGTCTGGCAGCAAGATGGAGCACACAGCATTTAGCCAGGGCCATGGCCTCTGCCAAGCGTCGGCGGGACAACAGGTAACGCACACGGAGCTCCAGGAACGCCGGCAGCTCCGATGTGATGCAGCGCTCCACTAAAGGAAGGAAGGTGGGAGTTTTATTTCCACGATGGAAAAACAAACGACATTTAGTCACAGGACACCAACATGAGCCGACCTTCAAGCTGAGGTAATCTGGACTCGCTGAGGATGGCCTGTAAGGCTGGACTGGCCCACGGACCGCCGTCCCGGACCAAACGCTCCACCTGGAGCAAGTACACATTCTCATACTTTTCCAGAACCGAGTGACATTCCTGGAGGAGAGCAAGGACAACAAAAAGAGTGATCCTACGAGCCTTTAGGAGACCCAGAAATGAGGTTCATCTAGCAGACTCACCTGGAATGTGATCCTGAACTCTTTCAGCGGCTCCGAGCAGAACTCCTTTTGGTCAAAGAACAGCAGCAGCTCAAAGATACTCCTGAGACAAAGGAAAACAACCCGTCCGTTATTAATGGCTAGGGTTTTACTCTGAGCTTCTGGAGAGACAAAGATGGAGGCTTAGGGGTGAAGTCAGGTGAAACTTATGAGAGCAGAAAAGTGATGAAACGTTAAATCTACTCCTGAGAAGACAAACCCAAGATCCTCTCATCGGAGACGTTCTCACCACATTGAAGAAACTAGCCAGAGGCAAAGCTTCCAGTGCTTCTAAAAACTGAAGATAGCTCCGGTGTGAGAGCTACACACCTGCCGACGTAACACAGAGGACTCATCTCACACAGCTAGCATAAACACCCTGTAGCTACGGCGTTTCTGCGTTTGCATAGCGGACGACGGTTCCTCAGTCAGATGTAGCTTCCGATTGTTTTTTCTCTGGAATACGACGACGAGAACGGCTATCGGAGACCCGGAAGGACGCAGCTAGGTCACCAGACTTGGACTCAGATTAGCCACGTGCCGGTTAGCCGGAGAGGTGAAGGCACAGCTGGACATTTTTAAGACTCAGACGACCTACAAGTGGATCTGGAGGCTGATGGCAAAGCAGACATGGAAGGAGGTTGACGTCTGCAGAACCAAAATCAGCAAGGTGTATGAACTTTGATTGTGTACTTGTGTTATTTCTGAGCTGCTAGATGAGCTAGCAGCATTTAGAGCTTCAGTAAAGTCAATGATCTAGAGAAAATTAAAACGGCGTGCTAACGCTGCGTGTACATAGCGAGAACATAAGCAATAGCTTACCAGAAGGATCCGTAGTCCTGCGGTCTCGCTAGCTTGGGTCGATGTTTGGGTACCGGTCTCAGGAGGACATGTTGCTGACTCGTTTCTGCAGATCCCACCTCTGCATGTGTCGTAGCTTTCCTGAATGACTTGTTTTCCTTACTGGAGCCAACACGATTAGCCGCGCTGCTGCATCATCTGCTCTAAATGATCACTGATCTGACAGCGGCTAGTGTTGTCTGCCTGCTAGGATCCTCCTCACGGACAGTTTCCACATGTTAGTCAGAAATGCCTGTAGGACTCCGCCCTTTTGCTGCAGCTATAAAAATAATCATCGAAGTTGAACAACATACTGCTAATCATGGAGTAGCGCCAGCAGCTAGGGCAGGGTTGGGAACCCTGGTTCTAGAGAGCCGCAGTCCTGCAGGTTTTCCAGCCATGCATGAACAGCAGCTTCTAATCGGCTGGACACACCTGACCCAGGTAATCAACAGCAGGAACAACAAAGATAGATGGAAAACAAGCAGGACTGCGGCTCTTTAGGACCAGGGTTGCCAACCCCTGAGCTAGGGCCTTGTAGGAGGTCTGAGTGATGAATGCAAACACAAGCTGCTTCATTTTCTTTGTGTTTACTTTATAAACAGCTGAGTTCTCCTTCCTGGTGCTACCGAACAATAAACGCCATCAGTCGCGATTATTACAAAAACACCTGCAGCCCAAGTCTCCTCCTCTTCTGGTCGGCTCATGGGTCCCTGAACAGGGCTTTGCCTTAGACCCTAGCGTTTTTAGCCCCGTTGACTTGCATTCGTTTTTTCGTTCATCCGGGAACTCGTGGTCCGAAAGTAGATGGGCGGGACTTAGGCTCCTTATAATGACTTCTAAGAAAATGGCCTAAAATGAAGAACTGAACCCAGTTTATCTTGCTACGGTAAAGTTCAGTTTCACTGGATCTCTACAACCTTCATGCAGACTCTGGCCAGGATCTTTAAAGCAAAACCAAGAAATGTGAGGCGACTGGAGGTAAAGTCTCAGGTGTGTCGGAGCACTCACAGAGCCAGGCTGCTGATGGTCTGCTGCACCTGCTCACCGCTGGTGGAGAAAAAGGCGGAGCCTCGACAAAAGTAGGAGAGAGCCACGTCGAGGATCCTGAGCTGGGGTAGCGGGGCGTCGCAGCGGGAGGCAAACTCCTCCACCACCTGCTCGGGGAGAGGGGACGACAGAGACGAGGATAAGGACAGAAACAAAGAGAAATTAGCCAAAAAGTTCAGATCTGAGCAAACAGCATCTTTGGCCTGGAGCCAGGTGTGCTGGTTACTAACAACACTTTAGTACCAACGACGCTGTCGTTCTACAGAAGCTGGAGACACTGTTTAAACTTTGACAAATTTCTGTGGTTTAAACGACGATAAAGTGAAACGCTTATTTATTAAACCCCGAATCAAAACATATTTCTTATAAATCAACAGCAAAGGATGCAGAAACCTCCAAGAGCACCTGGCTGCAGACCTCCAATGTCAGGCTGCTTCTGGTGGAGGCTCCACTGTCAGGACGGTCAGGACAGGAAATGCACGGGATACATTACAAAATAAAACCGCAAACGTACTTACGCTTGTAATTGATAGATTTTACATAATATTTTATATTGAAACCTATCAATTATTTCTCTATAGTTCATATGTAGTTGTCATTTAACATACTTACAGTTGTAATTTTTCTAAATGAATTAACGAATGGCCGGGATAGGTTTCAACATAAAACGCTAACATACTTCCGGTCGTCATATTTCTAAATAAAATCCCAAATGCTGTGTCGGTTGAATCACTCCCCTTACAAACGAATTCATTTTTTAATATTACATAAAATCTATCAATTATTCATATATAGTTGTCATTTATTTAGTAAACCTTAGTTTTGTTTCTCATTTTTGTTGTGTGATTTCCTTTACTGTTGCACAACGTGGTCATTATGATATATTCTGTCATAATCTAAGATGTAATATAAAAAAATTAATGCGTTTGTGAGGAGAGTGATTCAACCAAAACAGCATTTGGGATTTTATTTAGAAATATGACGACCGGAAGTATGTTAGCATTTTATGTTGAAACCTATCCCGGCCATTCGTTAATTCATTTAGAAAAATTACAACTGTAACTATGTTAAATGACAACTACATATGAACTATAGAGAAATAATTGATAGGTTTCAATATAAAATATTACGTAAAATCTATCAATTACAAGCGTAAGTACGTTTGCTGTTTTATTTTGTGATGTATCCCGTGCATTTCCCGTCCTGACCGTCCTGACAGTGGAGCCTCCTCCAGAAGCAGCCTGACATTGGAGGTCTGCAGCCAGGTGCCTCCCGAAACCTCCCGAGCATTGCAGCTGCCACGATCTGGTCTGAAGCGGTTTAAAGGGACACTACGCTGCTTTTTCATATGTATGTGCTGAAATGACCCTAACAGGGTTAATGGAAAGGCCACCCAGCCCCCTTTTTCTTCTTCCGGCTCTTGGAGAGTACAGACTAGGGCTGGGGGTAAACGATTATTTTTAAAACGATTATTCTGACGATTATTTTATCGAATAGTCGACTATTCTAATGACTATTTAGAAAATTAATCTAATGATTATTTTTCTATTGCACAATTAACAAAAACCAGAAAATCTCAAATAAATTCCTCAAAAAAATTGATAAATTGTTACTGTAAGAGAATAAACACTACAGGCCTTCCATTTTGTAAAACACTGCGTTTATTGTGTTGGTTGGTTATGTTCTGGTGACATGTAGAACTTGGGAGTGCAGGCTGCTGCCTGAGAGGTGGTAGAAGATGGAGTGTCTCCATGCTGCTTTGTTTTGGTCACTTATGTGCGTGAGGCGAGTGGTCTTACGGGTTAAACCAAACTCAGGTGATATTTTACACTAAACCGAAAACCCACAACACTCTAAATGTAATAAAAGGGAGATCTACACCACAAAAAAGATTAACTCTAAACCAAAACGTAACAGCTTATCCCAACGCAAGAAGCTGTTAGCGAAGATGCTAACAGTAGCTTTACCAACGTTAAGTTCAAGTTACCAAGTTTAAATAAACCAAAAACACCCAGCAGCAAACAGACCAGCACGGAGGAGAGACTGCTACCACCAAAACAGCTCTCCTAATGTCTGAAAGAAGCTCCTTAATGAAGGGAGAAACGCTCCCGGTGATGTTCTACATCTGCGGTAGAGACGAAGCAGCGCATCTGACCCCGGAAGTTGTTGTCCGTTGCTGGGAGACGAAGGCGGGCAAAACAGGAAAATAATCTAGTAGTGGACGGACGTTGTTCCGGGTCTTTGGTATTTGGCGGAGATGTTAGTGAAGGCGGAGAAGAGGGCGAACTAGAGGAAAAACAGGCAGATTCCTCCTCTATTTACAAACTCCTGGGGATGCAACAAGTGGGCGCGGTGCGTCGACTTCCGGATCTGACGTCGACAAATTTTTAGAATCGAGCCGTCGACTTCGTCGAGGCTTCGCTACAGCCCTAGTACAGACTCTTTTTTCCTCCTCTCCTCCCTATCTTATCCTAAGGCTCTTTGTCTGTCTTTGGGTGGACGGCGCTTCTGCATTTTTTCTGTTAACTGGAAATTATTTAAAAAATGGACCTGGTCAGCTGGTCTCTCCACAGGATTGACAATTTTTTCAACAATGAGATCGGGAGAAGGGGCTCCCGGTTGCCCCTCTGGGACAGAGCCAGATGGGCATATGGACTCCTGGAAACATTGGAACCTGATCTGCCTATCTCAGCTGTCTGTAGAGGATTCTGAAGATGTCTGAATGTTCGTGGTGTTGGTGTCAGGTTTCTTGCTCTTTGACCTGAGTGGTTATCTGGCTTACCGGAAAATTAATGAGCTGTCGAGGAATATTGGCTCAATCCCGGAGCTCAGGGATGGATTACACTGCGCTGTGAACGCACAAACTCATATAATTGTCGAGATGAGTCGTAAGTTTGGAACTTTGGCTGAGATTCAGACTCTGACACAGAAGGTGGATTCGATCAAGGAGAAAGTTGACGGATCAGCACGGATTGGGATTGATTAACTACGCCATTATTGGAGTTAGAGGGGTTGAGGACCAACGGAACTTTAAGTCAGAGAGGAAATGATCTCTGTCTGGCCCCAAAACAAGTTCTTATCTAAATCTGGTGCCCTTGAGCCTGTGAGGCTGAAGTAATTACTCCCCCTCAGAAGAAATGTGGAATGCTGCCGTCACCATGGCAACTATGTCTCCCTATCCCAGCCTGGGTGGGACTGTGACCAGTGAAGGCCGTTGAATCGTTTCCAGGAGTGACTGTGCTTTCTAAACCCAACTACCTCCCTCCCCTGTCCAAACGGAGGCGACGAGCGCTGCTCATCGCGGCTGCATGCACTGATGTGTGGAGAGTCCCCAACCCTACCTCCCCACCTAGTGGACACTTATGTTGTGTGATGTCTGAAGTCTGTTGCATTTCTGTCTGAGGTGTTTTTTGAATAGCAAAGCTATCCTCTCTGTGGAGGGTAACTCTGAAGTGCTTTTTTTTTCCTCCACCTGAACCAATCCTCATATGTAAACCCTCTGATCTCTGTTAAGGTAGCGCGACTCTGTTTGCGAATGACCACAGTCACCAATTCCTGTCACGTGTCTATGCCTATGTATGTATGTATGTATGTATGTATGTATGTATGTCTGATATCAGAATTGTGTGTACTGAACCTCTAATTTCCCTCTGGGATTAATAAAGTATCTTTGAATTTTAATTGAATTTGAATTGAAGGGTTTATTACCACATGTGTGAGAAACCACAATATTAGGAAATGGTGCTTGGTGCAAAAAGAAAGATAAAAATAAGAGACTAGTAAATACAGGAAGTGAGAATATAATCATGATAAAACAACAATATAAAGTGGCAATAATTAGCGAAGCGAGACTGCGTAGGTACCGGTTAGAGCGGATCAGATCAGGTACAAACACAACACCGGGTCATGTGACTAAAACCAAGCGACTGGAGAGGGCAGCCCTACGATTGTTCTTCCTGAGTCCAACAGCAGAGGGGAAGTATATCGCACTTGCAACTTCAGAGTGCCAGTCCAGTCCCTGTCGGTAAAGTGGAGCCGACACCAGAGCTGCAGCCTGCTTCCAGCACTTTCAGATCGCGTTCACAGCTGATTTGTTTGATTTAGTGAAGAACCGCTCCTGTAGAATAGAACCACTGCCTCTTTGTAGCCTCGATGAAAAATAATTAGGGCTGTAGCAACGCCTCGATGACGTCGACGGCTCGATTCTAAAAATTTGTCGACGTCAGATCCGGTAGTCGACGCACCGCGCCCACTTGTTGCATCCCCAGGAGTTTGTAAATAGAGGAGGAATCTGCCTGTTTTTCCTCTAGTTCGCCCTCTTCTCCGCCTTCACTAACATCTCCGCCAAATACCGAAGACCTGGAACAATGTCCGTCCGCTACTAGATTCCTTTCCTGTTTTGCCCGCCTTCGTCTCCCGGCAAGGGACAACAACTTCCGGGGTCAGATGCGCTGCTCCGTCTCTACCGCAGATGTAGAACATCACCGAGCGTTTCTCCCTTCATAAAGGAGCTTCTTTCAGACATTAGGAGAGCTGTTTTGGTGGTAGCAGTCTCTCCTCCGTGCTGGTCTGTTTGCTGCTGGGTGTTTTTGGTTCATTTGAACTTGGCAACTTGAACTTAACGTTGGTAAAGCTACTGTTAGCATTTTCGCTAACAGCTTCTTGCGTTTGGATAAGCTGTTACGTTTTGGTTTAGAGTTCATCTTTTTTTGTGGCGTAGATCTCCCTTTTATTACATCTAGAGTGTTGTGGGTTTTTGGTTTCGTTTAAGATATCACCTTGAGTTTGGTTTAACCTCCCAGTTTAGAGTTGGACCTTTGGAGATTCTTATTTTGGTCCAGAACCCAGTAATCTTTGCCCAGTGGGACATCCCTAGTTATTTGTACTTTTGTTTTAATTCCCCACAGGCAGAATTAGTTTTATTATTCCCAACCTGTGGATGGAAAGGTTTATGTTTTTTTGTAGTTGTAAATAAACCTGATCATCATTTTAACTTTTAAATCCCGTTATTGTCCCTTCCTTTTTGCACATGAGCCAAACTCCCCAGGAAGAGTCGTAACACCACTCGCCTCACGCACATTACTGACAAAAACAAGCAGCATGGAGACACTCCGTCTTCAACCACCTCTCAGGCAGCAGCCTGCTCTCCCAAGTTCTACACATCACCAGAACATAACCAACCAACACAATAAAAGCAGTGTTTTACAAAATGGAAGGCCTGTTGTGTTTATTCTCTTACAGTAACAATTTATCAATTTTTTTGAGGAATTTATTAGATATTTTTTGGTTTTTATTAACTGTGCAATAGAAAAATAATCATTAGATTAATTGTCTAAATAGTCATTAGAATAGTCGACTATTCGATAAAAATAATCGTCAGAATAATCGTTTTAAAAATAATCGTTTACCCCCAGCCCTAAAAATAATAGAAATTATATTCCTCCATTTCTGTAATAAACACAATATAAAGGCTAGTATTAACATCATCTAACCAGATAAGAGATGAATCTGTTGCTGCAGTAGCCTGTTACTTCTCCTTTAAGCAGGACTCTAAGGGAAATAAATCACTGCGTCTGCTGCACATGACAGAAATAAGGCTTTCTGCTAAAATAACTATTTCTTCTCACAATAAGGTTTCATTTAAAAAAAGACTTTTGTGTAAACAAAGGGCTTTGTTTTTCTTACAAGAAGCTAAGTAATGTTTAGGTTTGTGTAATTATCATTTACTACTGAAATCTAAAAATAAAGGCCTTTTGTACAAATACAGGAACTACAGACACGCAAAGTCATGTATTCAATTAAAAAGGTTATAAACAAAGGAAATGGTTATTTCCCCCTTAATAGAAACTGAAATGTTTCTTTGACTAGATTTAAACATGCAAAAAGTAAAATCCTGTGTTAAAACGCCAACTTCTGCTCATTATTGTGTTTAACACAGCTGTTCGTGTGTAGGATGATGTGACTGAACTAGACTCTCTCCAGGGTGATGTGCTACAGTCCTGCTAATAAACACCTGGATCTTTAAACCAACTGGTTTCTCATCTCTTTCATTCCTGCAGACAAGCAGCTTCTGTGTTATTTACATAAATATACACGCACCTGTGCGCGTGTGGCTGCATTACCGTAATACCTTTATTAAAAGGATTTCATCCCGTTCTCAGCATTTACCACTATGAAATCATTAAAAATGTACGACAGTAGTAATTAAAGAAAAGACCCATCCATCCATTTATCTACCTACCTACAGAATCTGCCTAGTGTTGCTTTATTTGTAGTTTACATCATGAAAAAGGAGAAAACAGTTTAATTTTAAGCCTGGTCAAACATCGAGACCAGTATTTAAAACTGGACGAACGTAAGACATTTAAAAGTTTGACTCTAAATTAGAAAAAACAATAAAACGTTGAGAATACGACCTAACTGACTTCCATCGCTGAGTACTGGCCACATTAAAAACACCAAACAGCTAACCTGAAAGTACATTCTGAGCTAGATGGGCAGCTAGCTCAGAATGCTACCATACTTAGCTAGACATTAGCAAATATTGTCAAGTTTAACTCATTTCCTGATTATTTAAGTGTGGGGGTTGGTTTTCAGTCACTGATAGTTTAAAATGGGCATTCATGAGCTGTTTGTAAAGTAGCTTAGCTCCGCTGCTAGTAGTAGTAGCCGTTAAATGCCAGTTCTGGGGGAGGGGAGTCGGCTAACATTTCTTCCCTTATCTTCGGTAACAAGCCTTGGCATCGGCCCGCCGCAGCTGTTTCTTACCTTGCAAAAGTCAGAGCAGAACGGTTCGCTGTCGACTCCGAGTTGGCCACCTGAAAAGCGGCTTAACAGACTCTGTAACTGCGTTTCTAGCCCCTCTGTGTCGCACGTACTGCTCCCCTCCGCCATACTGACTGTCTAGCCCTGCTCGTAGCTGCTACCACACAACACAGACATCGCCATCATTCACGGCGTTGATTGGATGCTGCTATCGTTTAGGGAGGCACTCCTTTACCACATCACGAGAGCTTTAGCTGGGCGGTGTGCCGAAGAACTGTTTCAAATTCCTTTATTTTTTAAAGTACCCCCCTACTCAGAGATCTCCTTATATTAAACATGCATCTCCAGTCGCATTCTGAGCGTTAATTTGAGTTCACGTTCTGTTGTAAAAATGTGGAAAAAAACAATGATTTGATTCGTGTTAAGGTTAAAATAAACGCGTGGCCTTAGATAAACAAAACTAAAAAAGCGTGATTCATATTACATAAATAAAAATATGAAAATATGTATAAAATTAGATTTGTTGAATGCCATTTATCATTGTAAGTGTTGTGTTTCGGAACGCTACATTCCCAAACGGTCTTAACAAAACTACTAGCTTTGTTTTCTAAAAGACACAAAATTAAAGCGATCTAAACTTCCATACAAACTGGTGTTATTACATATGTAATAAATGCATGCATAAAGATGTACCAAAATAGTTCAGGCAGCAATAATCAATAATTGATGCTACTGATGAGATCAAAATAAATATTCTTGATGCGGATGTAATTCTGAATCTCCAAAAGACAAAAATAGTCAGATAATTTTACAAGAAATACGTTAAAATTAAATGTATGAAGTGGATTTTCTAGTGCAAAAATGCACACTAACCCTATTGGAATAATGTAATAAATCATTCAAACAAATGTATATTTAAAGTCTTAGTTTTTTTATTCATTAATACACATTCATCAGAGAAAACCCTGCAATACAAAATGTTTTCTTTGAGACAAAACTATTAAGACCTCTTCTCTTAGTGCAGAAACATACAGTAACACCGACTACACGTGCTTATATACAGAAACCATTATTATTAAGATGATCGTGGCTTTAAAACACCATTTCCTTGTGTTTCAAACACAAAGCCACACCTTTACAATCATGCCAATCAGGAATCTCATCTCAACTAAAGCACAACTTAAAGGTCTCTACGGAAAGTAATGAAATGCCCACCAGTCATTAATTTACTAAACTTTTGCCTTCCATAAGAGAACTACACATCGTAAAAACGACCTGCAGCAAACACACAAACAGAAGAAGAGTTTCACTTCTTAAACCTTCAGACTCAAAGCTGAACCAATAAAGCATGAACAGGAAATGACCTCAGCCCCATCACAGAGGTCCAACAGCATGATGGGTTGGCGTGATTACACTCAGATGTGTTGCTTCTGAGGGCTGAGAGTAAAAACGAGCCGATCACAGCTCGTCGGTTGACTCGGACATGGAGCGCTCTCTCCTCTCCACACCTGTGACAAAGTTGAGCAGGTCGACCGCCGTCACCACGCCGAACACCATCTGCTTCAGGGCGGTGGAGCCGTCGGTCAGGTCTGACAGTGACACAGGAGAGATAATGAGAGGATAAACGATCTGCTGCTAAAGGAACCAAGAGCTTAGCTAAACGGTGGAGTTGTTGGAGAACACGTAAGATCAGATCCTGCTGCTTCAGGCTGCTCGCTCCTCTGGTACCTCACAGGTTCTGATCCGGTTTCAGTAGACGTCCTTTCTACACGACGTTCCTGCTGCAGCGGTGTCTCGCTCACCAGGAAACAAGCTGCTTCAGTTTCTTTGTGTTTAATTTATAACAGCCGAGTTCTCCGTTTCCCAAACTGAACCTCCTGACGCTACGTCACAATAAACGCGACTGGTCTTGATTATTACAAAAACACCTGTTCACAGTTTTAAGTCAGACTTCAAACGGACGAGCCAAGGCCATCCGTACCTCCCTCCTGCTGACCCGACCCGGCTACTGGACTTTGATAAATGATCAGTGGCTGAACTTGACTGACGCTGTAACAGGTGTGGGTTTGACTGGTGCACAGGGTCACCTGAGGTCACCGGAGACACATCACTTACACTGGATCTGCTCATGCACCACCAGAGCAAAGTGGTCGGTCTCCAGGATGCGGGACAACTTCCCCAAACTGTCGGTCAGACGGATCTGTGGACATCAGGAAAGACAAAAGGGTTTGGGAATTCAATAATCAGCTGAGGGGTTTGACAGAATTAGCTCAAAGGTTCAGACAACTCTGAGCAGCTTCACCACAAGGGGGAGCCAAACGACAAACGTAGGCCCAAACATGGGATTTAAGAGACGATCCCAGATTAACCAGCTGGTTTACAGCAGAGACCCTTCTCTGCATCTCATTGGCCGTTGCTGTCAGCCAATCAGAAGACTGAAGCTCAGGTTTAAATGGATCAAAGTGAAAGCGCGTCTGACCCGTCTGAACTGCTTGTAGAGGACTTTGCTGACGGGGTCGGACAGCCGGATCTTTCCCGCCAGAATGGACGACAGCATGTTTCCCAACGTCACCATTCCCAGGATCACCCTGCAGAAGCGCACACGGGACTCAGGATCACCGCGATTCAGACAGAAACACCAAAGTACCACGGCGCTCACCCGGAGTCGTCCACCACCGGCGCCTGGTCGAAGCCCTTCTCCTTCAGGATCTTGATGGTTTGCTGACAGGTGACGGTCGGCAGGACGGTGAGCGGAGCGGACAGGTTCAGGCTCTGCAGCTTCAGGTTCCACCACCTGAGAGGGAGAGGGTCACATGACTAACAACAGAATTCACCTGCAGAGCTCTGTCACATCAACACAATGCTGCTCAACATCTGTCCACAGGGGGGCGACAGGGAGCGGCACGATGACAGACTGGTTTCTACAGAAACCACCGTGACCTGTACTTGGTGATTCACCAGGTGAGAAGTTTCCTGGAAGCTCTTCATGTGGGCAGCTCCCTCAAACATCTCACGGTTGAGACTACGTGATGTAAAACTGATGGTTCAGCACGCTTCCTCAAGTTCATCATTACAAATAAAAGTGGACACCAGCCCCTTAAGCCGGGCGTACACTGTGCGACTTTTTCACTTTTTTGAGCCGATTTTCCACTCGTGCGAGAATCCACGAGATCGGGGCGAGTTTTGCGCCGAGCGTCGTGTAGTGTACAGGGGGTTACGAGAGGCGATTAACACCACGTGACCAGCTACCGATCAGCAATTGTGAGCTCGTACGGACTTCTGGAGTGTTTAATATTTTGCTCGTCCCTCGTGAGGGTATCGCACTGTTGAAGCGGCGCTGCGAGCAGCTGCGACCCAAAATGTATCAGAACCGCTCACGGCGCATGCGCAATCCTGCATCAACGCTGCTCGCTATTTCCCTAATAACACACGCTGTTCGTTTTAATTTCTACACATTTTTTTTACTCACAAAGATTGTCAAGAAAGCGTGTTTGTCGTGTTCATGTCAAATTAAACTGATCACAAAACACAGATTTACTTTCTTTATTTCGTTTTACTCATCCAACCCCCATAAATCCCTGTGTCCTCCTGCAGCACTCCCGAAGGACAACAGGCAAAACAACACAAAAAAGTCTGACGTGTTGAGTAAAAACTGCTATTTTTAGCATATTTTTAGGGCCGACGTGTTGCTACCAGACGTACAGTGTGAGCATTCAGGTCGCATGCGAGAACTGGGTCGTACAGTGTGAGCACATGACTCGTGAGATCTGCTATGCGAGGAAGTCGTACAGTTTGAGCTGAAGCTAAATGCGGCGAGTGAAAAAGTTGCACAGTGTACGCCCGGCTTTAGTCTCTCTGAGACACGTACCACGGCTTCTTCACCATCAGGTCCTCCTCCCTCAGGAAGCCCTTCTGGACCATCCATTTGTCACTCAAGAACTTCGACCTGAAGAGCAGAAAGCATTCGTTTAGGAATCCCAACAACAGAACGGACCACAGCTTCCTTCTTCTCACATGTAGTTACGGATGGAGTCTGGCAGGATGACCACGCAGCGCTGGCCCTCCTTCAGCTCCTTGGCCATGTTCACAGCTGCAGCCATGGCGGTTCCAGAACTTCCTCCTGAAACAGGAAACAGAACAGTTTAGTCTGGATTCACAGCTTCTCCGGAAGCTCCAAACAGGGAAGCTCACCACAGAGCAGGCCTTCGTCTCTGATCAGCATCCGGGACATGTTGAAGGACTCCTCGTCGTTGGACTTGTACCAAGTATCGACAACCTGGAACCACGAGAGGAAAGGTCAGACACTCGGGAAGCCGTGAGGAGAGGAGAGAGGCTACAGGAACTCACCGATCTGTCCAGGACCGTGGGGATGAAGTCGTATCCGATGCCTTCCACCTCGTACTGGGTCTTATCGGTCTTGTTGAGCTCGTCGGGCTCAGCCAGGATGGAACCTTCTGGATCTACACCAACAATCTGCACACAGGAAAGCCTTTAAACAGGAAGCTCCTCGGGAACGTTTCAGCTGTTCCGGGCATAAACGTTATCATCAGAATTCCAAACAGGCTCTCACTTTGATGTTTGGGCATCTTTCCTTTAGCTTACGGGCGATTCCGGTGATTGTCCCGCCTGTTCCGGCACCAGCCACCAGCATGTCCACTTTACCTGCGTGGGAACAGAAACTTGAGTGGAGATGAAACAAAAACCATTCCCAGCCATCGTGACGCTTTACCGTCGCACTGCTCCAGGATCTCCTCAGCCGTGGTGTCGTAGTGAGCCAGAGGGTTGCTCGGGTTGCGGTACTGGTCCAGGATGTGTGAGTCGGGGATCTCGTTCTTCAGGCGCCAGGCCACGCCCACGTGAGACTCGGGCGAATCAAAGCGAGCGCTGGTGGGAGTACGGACGATCTCCGCTCCGAGAGCTCTCAGGACATCCACCTGCAGAGACGGTATGAAGGCTGGACCTGTCAGGTGGCGTTCTCATGAATCAGGATAAAGAACTACGCCTCGGCCTTAATTAAGAAGCACATCTGAATAAAAATAAGGAGATTTTAGGACAATCCAGGGTAGAAAAACATCACTTCACTAATTCCCTAAGTGGAGCGCCTTCTAGTGGCAGAGCTAGTAACAACATGGAAAAGCAGAATCCCAAATAAGCAAAAAGAGATTTTTAGTACAAAATAATTATAAATAAATGACGTTTAGCCTTTCATGAAAATTTAGCATTTTGACAAGTTTTCAAAACAAAAAGAGATTTTCTGTGGTTTGGCCTGTCGTTGCACCAAAAGGCACAAAAACGATTCCTCAAAAACTCCAAAGTGGAGATCTGCAGGTTCTCGTTTACGTCTGGCAACGCCACTGCTCGTAGAAACATGCTCTGACATCACGCGTGTGACCCGTGTACACTGGCTTGTTTCTGCTGCTCTACAGGTGAAGGTTATTCCAAGACGGTTTGTGGATCTACTGCCACCTACAGGCTCGGCATACCCATGAATGTGTTTCCTGATGCTCTGGATTTAACAAAAAGGAGGTGGCGTGGACCCGTTTGTGCAGGGAGAACGTTCGGCTCCACACAAACCCAGCTACGAGGGTACGCGGCCTCAGCTGTCCGAGTAAATGCTCTAAATAAATGACATCATCACAACTTGACATGGAGCCGAGGGAGATCTCTAACTAGAGGTTAGCGTGTCAACCTGGTCAGAACTGAACCACTTCTGTAAAAAGTTCTTAAAAACATCCGATCATGAAGGAGCTGACCTGAACCCTGCGATCATCTCACCTTCTCCATGCTCATCTTCTCCGGCATGACGATGATGCAACGGTAGCCTTTGACAGCTGCAGCCAGAGCCAGTCCGATTCCTGAGGGACGCAACAGCAGGTTTTAACACACACACACACACACGCGCACGCACACGCACACGCACACACACACACACACACACACGCACACACACGCACACACACACGCACACACACGCACACACACACACACACACACACACACACACACAAACCGGTGTTTCCAGACGTGGGCTCAATGATGGTGTCTCCAGGCTTGAGAACTCCGGCTCTCTCAGCATCCTCGACCATCCGCAGGCTGATCCGGTCCTTCACGCTCCCTCCGGCGTTGAAGAACTCACACTTGGCCACTAAAATAAAACCACATGAAAGGATTTTAGGAGCGGAGTCGTTAGGATAACCTCCGGCAGACGAGTTTACGAAAGGATATTGTGTTTAGTGGATGTGTCTCGGCCTGAGGGACGCATGACTCACGTATTTCACATTTGAGTCCAAATGCTTTGGGGATCTTGTTGATCCGTACCAGGGGAGTGTCTCCGATCCGGTGCAGGATGTTGGGTAGGATGGTGGGAGGCGCAGTCCTGGAAGGAGAGGGAGGGGAGGGTTTAATCGGAACTGTTTTATGGAACAAAGTTGAGAGGACACGTGTCTCTGCACGTCTCCCGGGTTGGGTCACACCTGACTCATGCTTGTTTATTAGTTAGAGTGAAAAAGCCAAATCTCACTTCTGAACTTGTGGATGAGGGGAATCTGCTTTGGAAGCCCCAAGGCTCCACGTGCAGCGGCTGGCAAGGTCCGGTCGGATCCACTTCCTCTCAGGAGACGTGTGCGTGGTGTCCACGCCGTTCAGAGGGAAGGAGGCCTCCTGGAGCTTGGCCTCCCCATTGCTCTGGCCCAGCAGCTTGGCAGCGTGCGGACACACAGGGCTTTTCACCACAGCCTCCTTGGAAGAAGGAACCGCTGGCATGGCTTAGGCTGGAGAACAACAGGAACCAGGATTACGTAATCTGATGAAGCTTAATCTGGGAGAGAAATTCAGACTAAACAAACGTAAACAGACCCGTTCTAACCCTAACCCTGTTCTAAAGAACATGAGAGTCCCAAAAAACACAAACCAGGTGGGTTGTTGCCGCACATTCCCCACCAGACCGTCCATTTGCCTCTGCTTACCCGGGTTTGGGTCAGGGGGTACCAGCTCCACCAGAGAGGTCCAACCTACCCCCCCACAGCCACTTCCACCAGCAAGTTCTGGGTTGACCCCAGGACCTCCTGCCAGCAGGAGATGCCTGGAACTCCTCAGCTGGCTCCTCTCATCATGAAGGAGCAGTGGCTGTACTCTAAGCCCCCCACACACACACACACATTAAGGCTGACCCCAGCTGCCCTATGGAGGAAATCCTCATGACCGTAAGTGTCACCAGTAAAGCACCTCCATACCATCACACTGCCTCCACCGTGCCTTACACCTGGAACCACAAGTCTAAACGTGGACCAGAATCCTGAGTCTTGACCTTCGTGATAACGTTTCTGGGACTGGGCTAACCCTGACCCTGACCCTCTGATGGACCCGTCCTCTGGAGCAGGTGTGTGAGCTCAGAGGGTAACCCTAACAGTAAACACTCGAGTCTACGTCAACATGAAACAGAACAAGCCGTAACACCTAAAATACAGAGCCACTTCCTCTAATTAATGTTGAGTAATGACAGCACTGATGTCATCGAACAGATGTTGTTGCTCCTCCCCCTTTACTTCCTCCTTATGTGTGGCAGAGGGTTTCACCTCGTCACCATGAGACGACAGAACTAGAACCGAGAGCAGCCTTCTCTGATCACAGGCTCAGGAGAAAGCTGCTGGCTGGATCTGGTTCTGCTAATGTTGCATCAGTCAGAAAGAAGGAAGAGAACCGAGTAATCTGCTTTACACCTCCGCAGAATTAAAGGTTCAGGGGGTTCTCATTACAGATTTACTAAAGAAACGCTGAGATTTGAGCTAGTCTGCAGGTAGGGTTGTTAATCGAGGGTAACGTGAGCCCTAGAACCACTGATAGTGATCATCCGTGGTGTAAAAGTCACTTTTATACCTTAATACTAAAAAATCAAACTACAGAAGCTTCACAGCAGGTCATTTAGTTTTATAAAGTCCCTTAATTAAAATTTACTATTTGTTTATGCCATTTATAACACACACACACACACACACACACACACACACACACACACACACACACTTGACTAAATAAATTCATAACTGTGAATCTTATTGAAAATGAGCACTCTGGGATAGAAACCACCTGCAGACACGATTTACTAACTGGGTGATAAAACCTGGAAGAGGACCAATCATGAGACAGAAATTTGTTTGTATTAATATAAACTACAGAATAAAGTTTAAGAGTTTATGGAGGTCATGATCAAAATTAGAGGTGGGGAATATTTTCCACAGTGAGCTGCCAGCGTGTTTTGCCCTTGTTCTGCCATCTTTACTCACACTGACATCAGGAGGTGCACGAGGGGAGGGGGAGGAGGCTTCGTTTGGGCTTTACTGGAGTAAAAGGTTACAGCCTAATGCCCTTGTGTGTTCACAGTTCTCTGAGTATTTGTGCAGCTGTGGGATCAATACAGGGTATTCTAAAACGTACAGAGGAAGTGTTAACAACCCACACACACACACACACACACACACACACACACACACACACACACACACACACACACACACACACACACACACACACACACACACATGGTGTAACCCTGCTGCTCTGACAGCTGTGCTCCAGCTCATTCAGTAAATGCACCAACATAAAAGATGTTCAGGCTCCTCCACATCTCAGCTAGAACAAACCTAGGTGAACCTTCACTAATGTGCAGGACACACATCAGGACAGCTGTCCAGGCCCGGCCCGGCAGAACACACCTAATGGCTGCAACTTCTAGGCAAACAGCAAATCCACTCAACTGTTTGAGGTGGTCTCCAGGTTAGAGCAGAGAAGAAACCTCCCCCTCCTCCTGTGGGGGTGGGGGGTGGTGGGACTGACAGAGTTCAACAAGGTAACCCGACCCCTGCAAACCCCATCCAGCCCGGCTGAAGGCCAGGAGTTAAGCCTCTAAAGCACTGGTCCGACTGCCCAAACTGGAATGAAACCATCACCTGACCAGTCTGGCAACATTAAACCAGATCGAACAAAAACCTACAAACTTTCAAAGCTGCTTTATTTCTAATGACCGTCGGTATGTTTGCAGCTCTGCCAGCAATCAGGACTCAGCTTCCTGATCACACCAGAGGAAGAGGAGGCTTTATTTATCCTCACTCAGCCATGAGGAATGGCTGGAAAACCGTGAACAGCAGGAATGTTGGTGCCTTCCACAGCCCGGACACCTCTGCTTCCACTCAGGCTGCAGGTTTAATCACCTTTATCCTCAGGTGTGGTGCACTTATTACAGAAGTGATTTTTTTCATGTTTTATTGATTTAAAAAGAGAAAAATCACCAAGCAGAGCTAATCTGCATTAACATTTTATTCTTTAACGTAACATGAGATTAAAACCCTCATTTCCACAGGAGTCCTGGCCAACAAGCAGCTAGTTAGTTATTACAAGTCAGGGAATCCGTCTCGGATGCATATAAATTACATTTAAGCTCCAGATTAGATTAATTTAAGACGTTTAGAAGCTAGAATTCATTTTCATCCACCTGCTAAATCAGAACTATAATAAACACCTGAGACCATCCGGGCTGGTCACGTGACGACCAACCAAAAACCTGATCTACGCAGTCAGTCAGAATGTTGCATCAGCTCTGGGTCCACTCATGTTTTAGAGAACAGATTCCGGTATAACACCCCGGACCTCCGTACTACATACGGGTTCTCTAACCTGCTCACATCCACTCACCTGGAGCTCTGAAACGACCTAAGGACCGTGATGAGTGAGGCTCTCCCGGCAAGGACGTGCGATGCTGCAGACAGACCCGAACTGGAGCGCTTCCGCACGAGACAGCGGCTTTTTTGGAGGCGCGAGCTCACGTGGAGGACGTAGCTGGAGACGCAACGCTATTGGCTGTGGCGAGGGCGTCTGTTTGGACGGCTCGACCAATGGCAGACGAGATTTCTCAATAAGGGCTTTTTGGGGAAAGGCCGAGGTAAAGTCGTCCGCGCCAGTTGTTTACTTTTAAATGACACGCGGAGCAGGAGGTTCGGTTCAGGTGACACCTTTAGACCTTCTCACGAGCTGAGCTGTTCCCAGAAGGCTAGTGAAGACACCTGGATGACGACTTGGCAAAGCTAATAGCATTAGCTTAAAACAGTAACAGATAAATGTCTTCTACCTCCGATGACTTCAGTGTCCAAGTGTTATTTATGTTATGTTGTTTTCATTTTAAATTTACTGCATGGGCGGAGCAACAAGCAGCAGGGCCAGGGGCACACAGAAGCCCCCTGGTGCCCCACTAACAACTTCAGGTTTAATCTGAGCCTTTATTAACCTGCCTGTGACCAGGACAATGACTTCCCATACCGATGGTCTCAACTTCCCTCAGCCTGGACTCCTTTTTGGAAAAGATTCCAAAATGCCTAAAATAATAAACTGCAATCAGACAACGGCCAGATGATGCATCTGCTGCATTTTACAAAATATAGTTTTGTGGGCATGTTTGCTTTCCACAACACAAATCTAGCATTAGCCCTGATCGGTCCCAGAGGAAAATCCACTCAACGATTTAGCCTCTAAACTATTAAACAGTCTGGTTGTTCCTGACCGCCTTCAGACGTGTTTAGATCTACCAGTGTACCTCGTTATGGTAAACGCAGTTAAAACCATAAAGTATTGATGAAAATACGTCCACATCACATGAACCAAGCAGCAAAGAAGCATGAATAAGTCATCACACCTCCTCTACTGACAGTTTTATACATAATTATTTATAATTAGTGATAAAAGGAGGATTTGTTGGTGCAGAATTACAAATTTGTTTTATTGAGAAAGCGACACAAGCTTGTCTTAAAAAAAGGAAATAAAAGAGAAAAGTTCCAACAATTCACCAAAAAAAAATGAAAATAATTTTTTATAACTGCTGGATGTAAAGGCGGGGAGGGTCGTTCTTGGCTTCTTCAGAATCTCCCCGAGCGCTCGCGCTCCTTCGACCTCCTCGGCCTCTCGCGTTCCCGCCGCCGGTCCCTGGAGCGGGAGCGTCGTTCTCTGGAGCGGGAGCGGTGCCTGGTGGGAGAACAAACCCACTGGTTAAACTGAGACTCTACCCAGTCTCTCTCTCTCTGAGGTGGCGCCTGTACCTTTTCTTGCGGCGGCCGTACAGCTCCCTCCGAAGTTCTCGTGAGATGGGTTTCAGATGCATGAAGTTGCAGAAACCTCCTCGAGTGCACTCTCTGTAAAACAGCAACACCATAAAGGGTTGGCGTCCAGCCACACTCACCAAGCCTAGCTCTTATCTGCTCACAGGCAGCACAAACACCAGAGCCCAGTGGAAAAACACAGGACGCCAAGCTTATCTGGGTTTCTACATGAAAACATAACCATGTAAACAGAACCAGTGCCTTGCTTAAGGGCAGGGAAAAGCTTCCCTGTTGCGGTAAAACCAGTTAAAGCTTTAAAAGTGCTTCAGCCTTAGGTCAGGGAGTAACCCTGCCTGAGGTCAAAGGTTTGAATGGTTAAACTGGAGACCTTTCACTCCAACACGACCACCAGACACTCGTTTCTGCACGTCCCTGGTCTCAAACACTAAATCTGTACTAAAGTTTAAGCGCTGCACAAACAAACCCAAACCATGGGCTTGTGTCTGGTAAAGAAGCGAAAGTTTTTGTTGTGATTTTTCTCAGAGGAGATTCTTTATCTGGCAGGAGATTAAGGTGTGGCGAGGTTATTATTAACAGGGGTGCACATTAATATTTTTGGGTTGGTACTCAGGGGAGAACCTATGGTTGCTGCTTGGTCTTCACATTTTTTAATGCACTTAATTCTTAAACTCAACTCACAATAGGAGCAAAACAGAGTAACGCATTGACAATGCAACATATCTTAAATTTGTCTGAAAACAAGTACAACAGGTACATACTGCCATAAACCTTCTAATTTTCTAATAACATGACTGAATTGTCTGAATGTAAAACACAATGTATAAACAGCTGCTGTTGTGATAACAAAAATCAAATAAACTAAATTTTAAAGCACTTCACAAAATTACTATTTCAGAGCACTGAAGTTTTTTTAAATGGCATAAATGCCGTTTTTATTTCCACAGACTCTCATCATCCTCATCATGGCCCTGACTGCGTTCAGCTTCATTACTGACTTCCCGAACAACTTTCTGATGTTCTCTGCTGTTGGTATGTTTATCAAACCCTGGATGATTGAAGTTTTTAGTGCCTATGTAAAAGGCGCTGTTTTTGTCTGCAAGGGTGGGATTTTCACAGCGTAATCTGCACCAAATCTCTGTGCGTTCATCATTTGTTTGAAGCCAGCTGACCTACTGCAGCAACTTCTCTGCAAATACTCTTCTCTTGCGGTTCCGACTCAGTCTGACGTTTTTTTGGAGGCGGAGGAACACCAAAATAATTAGCTTGCTTCTTGGACATCTTTAAAATGCTCCAGAAATGTCTTCCTTCCTCCACAAAGTCTTAGGTGCGCAAATGCGTGCTGCAGCTTTTTTTCAGGTGCGCACTGTTTATTTTGACAGCGCATGCGCACCACTTATGTGCACACCTGATTATTAATAACTTATTAAGGGACACCAAAGGTGATTAAATGTGTCACAATCAGACAGAGAAGGTCAGAGGTGAGGCATCCATTATCTGAACTAGGGCTGCAGCTATCGAATATTTTTGTAATCGAGTACTCTATCGAATATTTTATCGATTAATCGAGTACTCTAATAAATTACCCTTTTGCGTTTGTAAACCATTATATCAAATAGCATGTTATAAAATATGAAAGACCTCTTAAAATGAGCACGCAATTGCCAGTTATTCTTCAAGTTTTATTCAAAATTAGTTTTCAAAACTTCAGCACTTCATCTTTACAGTAAACAAATGCGAGCGGCTGCGGCCTAAACAGCACCAGAACTGCTCACGGCGCATGCGCAAACATGGCTCGCCAGCTATTTCCCTATTAACACACGTCCGTTTTAATTTCAACACTTTTTTTCCCACACTAACAAGGATTGTTGAGAAAGCATGTTTGCCGTGGTTATGTCAAATTATACTGATAACAAAACATTTATTTACTTTATTTCGTTTTCCTCCGTCTCTCTCATAAATACCTGTGTCCTCCTGCAGCAATCCCGAGGGACAACAGACATCAATAACAACACAGTAAAAAGTCCGACGTGTTGTAAAAACTGCTATTTTTAGCACATTTTAAAACCGACGTGTTGCTACCAGACGTACGGTGTGAGCTGAAACCAAGTGCTACAAATGAAAAAGTCGCACAGTGTCCACAGAATGTATAGAAATACAGGCTAAAATGCATTATCTTGTAGAGGCTCCGAGTCCGCTTGCAGAAGTGACATTTACATGTGGATGTTTCCTTGTCAGGTTGCAGCATCGAGGAATATGGTGAGGTAGGCTTAATCCATTTTACAGTATTTACTCTGGACTACGTTTTCCGCCTTACGACGTGAAAAATGGTCCCACACCTTTGACATTTTCTGTCTTTTTCGCACTCCACCGGAGTCCACATTGTCTGCCATGGTTTAAGAGAAAGTTAAGTTACATTCGCTACTCGCGTGTGCATTCAGTGCAGTATGTATGTGCGTCACTTATTTCGGTCCGGGTGAAACATGACCCCGGGCGATTGCTAAGCCATGAATTAATTAAACATGAATTAAACGAAGCTTCGAGGCAGAGAATTTGACTCGAGGATTTTTTGTACTCGAATTATTCGAGGTACTCGAGGAATCGTTTCAGCCCTAATCTGAACGATCTAATAGGGCTAGGCGATATGGCCTCAAATCTATATTGCGATATAATCTGAAGCATGTGCGGTAATGATATATATTGCAATATATTTTTTCCTTTGTTTATATATGTCAAAATGACATGCTTGTAAATATCCTCATGTGGCAAATATATGCCACTTGAGGCATATAGGCCTCCTCCTCCGCCCACTCCATGCTTGCAGTCACTGCCATTCTGTTGTCCCAAAGTCAGCAGGGTGCACATCTTAGTGACGTTGTTATCGTGATATTGTGATTTAGCCAAAAACTCTATCATTACCCAATTTTATATAATTTCTACCTTATATCGTTTATATTGCCCACCCCTACATTCTAATGTCTAAACAAGAACCGGAATAATATAAAATAATGACTTCCTTGTTGTCCCTGAGCCTCCGTGAGCCTGGATCACCAGGATAAAGCCCGAGGACTCTGTTTGGTCTAGAAGCTCCAAGTGTGGAGCAGGAAGGAACTGTTCCTGTCTACAGATAAATTATTCAAGGTTAGTCTGGAAACTGACCTAAACCGCTTAACCCAGCGGGACAGAGCCAGGAGAGGTAAATGTGTTAAACAATGTTTGTTACGATCAGATAATGCGTTTTGTCCTCATGGGCTCCCGTAGAAGGAAACATGGCATCGCCCAGAGACTTAAACGCAGTTTTTATGGTTGTATGTTACAAAGTCACTAATATTTTCAACACCTGGTCATCATTTGATTCTTTTTCAACAACTGGATGGATATTTCCAGAGATTAATGGTAAAAACTACACATTGTCTGCTCAGCTGGACTCCGGAGGAATAAAGAAAAGATAAAGACAGGTTAGAAATCTAGGTGTTATTGACTCTGACACGAGCTTCTCTGGACATATTAAGGTGTAACGTTCAGCAATGGTCAGTTTTCAGCTAAAAACTGACCTACATGCCACCGGTCACCGGAAGACATAAATTCCATTCTCTAAGGTGGATTTCACATTCTACCTTCCAACAAAAGAAATTTTTTTTATTGTGATTTGTCTAAGAAAGTCTTGTATTAGTACAAATCTGAACATAAACATGTAAACAGAGTCACTTCACCATCAGCCCGCGGGTACTGACCACAACTTACTAGGGTTGTCACGGTGTGAAAATTTAACCTCACGGTTATTGTGACCAAAATTATCACGGTTTTCGGTATTATCGCGGTATTTTTTTAAACGTAAATTTTCAGACAACTAAATAAACCCTGTATATCAGGAAATATTGTCCTCAGTTTGTGTCCAAATTTTGCCTAAAATGTGTTATTTTGTAATTATGCTGTTTATTTGTTTACATTTTTCCCCTTTAGTCTTTAAAATACCAATATTTGCCCATAACTTCTTATTTTTTGTCTGTTTGATGTCTCATTTAAAAAATATTAGATCAGATAATACTCAGTACTCAAGTAGCCTTCTAATTAGATACTTTTTTTACCCTTACTTGAGTAATAAACCCTATATCAGGAAAATATTGTCCTCGGTTTGTGTCCTTCCAGTGAGCTTTGCAGATGTGGGAAAATATCATCAGGCAGTAATCATTGTTAAATTCATAATTATTCTCGGAGAGAGACCAACTCTTATCTGCCCCTGGGAGCCCCGTAATGCATAGCGTCAGTTCAACATGGCGGTGTCCGCGACACGGTTTATATGCAGGTAGCGGCGCTGCGGCTGCTTTATATAGCCCCTCGTTGCATTCTCCCTCAACCCAAATCCTCGGATCACGCATTTTAGCTAAAACGCTAACGTTAGCTTGCCTTGCGTTGACTGTAGAGTTGTGGGTGATGGTCACGCAGATGTGTCATGAGATTTGAAGCGTTGCTGCCTTTCACAGACACTTTTTCTGCACGTGCTGCAAACAGGATCGCCGTCTTCTATCAGCTGTCCCTCGGCGTTCTTCAAATATCCAAAAAATGCCCGTACATCCCACTTTGTCTTCTTTGAGGGATAATAAATGTCCTGAGTGCTGCCGTCTCCTCCTTTGGCCATTATTTCAGCTTTAGCTTCAAGAAAGTTTTGGTTGTAAACAACAAAGTGCGCGTGTGCCGCCGGCAACTTTAGCAGATGATACGGTGGCTGGTAAGGGTCACCGCGCCACACCGCAGCCACGGTAATCCACCGAGATAATATATATATATATTTTTTAAAACACGGTTATTTTTATTGTCAATTTTTTTACCGGAGTTTACAGCTACACCGGTTACCATGACAACCTTACTGCTTAGTCAGAGCTAAAAACAGGACATTTTCATCCAGATGAGCTGTGGTTTTGATGATGATGAGCTGTGGTTTTTGTGGTTGTCTTGCCAACACTCACCCCATCTCATACTGGCGACAGCAGGCCTCTCTGAAGTCTGTAACGGGGGAGAGCTCTGCGTGGATGGGCTGGGCGTTAAACCAGCGATTGTTCAGGTCCATGACTGCTTTCTCTGCATCCTCCTCACGACGAAACTACACACACACACACACACACACACACACACACAGCTTAGATGCCACAGATGGAGGCTGGTTCCATCACCAGGTCAACACCCACCTTGACGTAAACGTTACCAACTAGATGGTCGCCTAAGTTATCACACACGTTCATCTCCTCCACCTCTCCGTACTTCTCCTCCATTTCCGTGAACACCTCCTGAAAGATTCATAAAGGTAAATGATCTAAAACCCTTTAAACAGCAATCGTCAACAAACACCCCTTCATTAGTATTTTATTGACTTAAAGAAAGCATTTGGGTTAGGGTCAACAGGCTGAGCAGGTTGTCCGGTGGACCGGTGGCGCCAGCCTCGCCTCTGTCAGTGCGCCCCAGGGCAGATGTGGCTACATTGTAGCTCATCACCACCAGTGTGTGAATGTGTGTGTGAGTGGGTGAATGATACACTGTAAAGCGCTTAGGAGTCCTCTAACTCTGAAAGGTGTGGGTGATTTATCATTTACCATGCAAGGTTACTTCAAAAACTACAACAGTATGGAATAGGAGGAGCGGCTCATCAAGGGTTAGAAGCTATTTAGATAACAGGAAACGGTTAAATAACAAAGTCTGAACTGAGTGATATTTGTTGTGGAGCGCCACAAGGGTTGGTCCTTGGTCCTAAACAGTTCATATTGTTTATTAATGATCTTGTAAATGTTCTAAAATGCTCTGTTCTGTTTTGTTCGCAGATGATACAGCATTGTTTTATTCTGGGTCAGATATACAAGTAGTAATTCACGTGATAAACAGGCTTGACATAAATAGATTAGCATTAAATCTAAAAAAAAAAACGTTAAATTGCTTAACGACAAAAGAAATAATGAAGTATCTTTATGGAAATTTGAAGAGTGAAGGAAACCAAATGAGTTCTCTTGGATGAGGATCTTAGTCGGAAATCACATTTAGGATAAATAAAGTCGAATCGCCAACACGGTATTCCAGAGTTCAGGGTTGTTAACATTATATAACTCACTAATGGGGCCTTGGTTGGCCTACTGTGTAGAAGTCTGGGATCAACATATAAAACCTATTCGACTGTTTATTTTACAGAAAAGAGCTTTGAAGGTCATCAGTATCACTCGTGTTAGCGATCCGTCTGACCCTTCACTTATCTAATAAAATGTATTGAAATTTCTGGACTGAAACTAAAGCGGAGTGTGACATCATGCCGCCCGACAACCCCTGACAAGGTGGCTCACCTCGAAGAACTCGTCGTAATGTTCCTGCATTTCCACATCGCTGACAGCACCTACAAAGTACCAACAGGACAGTCAAGCACAAGCTCGTTAGGCCGTTTCAATCAACCAATCACATGATGATCTCAGAGCCGCAGACGCCTTAGTGTTCTGTAGCTTAGTGTCACAATTAGAGTTTAGCTCTACGAGAAGTTTTACGTTAAACGACATATTCATAGTTACTGTAACCATCGTGAGCCTCTGCTGGGCCAAAGACATGCAGAAGAGCATGAGGCCGGCTCGGTTTCTACTCAGAGCCAGATTTATTCAGCTTGGTGTAATAAAAGGTGCAGTCGGTGCTGGAGGGTCCTGCAGATAGAGATAGAACTTACAGTGGAAACCATCAGCAGACTGGGCAGTTTGGAAGGTTATGAAGGTAAATGTTCAAGAGGGAAATGGTCTGAAATACAAAACACAAGCTTCTGTGATAAAAATCAAACCAAATACAGAGCTGGGGAGGGAAGCAGGTCGTTAGATATGTGCTGGTTGTAAACGGAGCAGAACCGACCACGCCAGCGAGGGCGGGTCAACGCTAGAAAACGCCTCAGCTGTCGGGATGTGGACATCCTTAGCCTTGAGTGCTTTTGGTTCTAAATGGTCCAAAAGTTAAACATCTATATTCTCGAAGCCAGCATGAAGCGTGTTTCCATGGAAACGTCTAAAATAATGAGACTAATAAAGGTTTCAGGGTCTAAAAACCTCTATTGAACTCAGTTTTACTATAATTATTATTTCAATAAAACTGTGAAAGTCCGTCTAACTCTGACCCAGAGGTGCTTCTTTAGGCTGCTGGAGTAAATAACCAGAGAATCCACGTAAACAAATAAACATAAAAGCTGCTGTTTTAAAAAGGATCTGAGACATTTTCTGGTTCCAGAAAGCTGCTCGACTCTGTTTGGTTCATCCTGCTGCGGGAGGTTGGACGGAAGAGCCGCTAAAGCCACACGAGGCGTTTGGACTAGCCGTTAGCCTATCAGTCCAGCAGGTAGAACGTGGATTATTTATAAGTTTAACACAGAAACACGCTTCAAAGTGACAGAAAAACACCCTCAAAGTTTAATCTGAGCCTTTTAATCCCAGAGCCGGTGTTCAACAAGCCAGTGTGAATAAAATTTTAGAAGAGCCACAAGAAACCTTATTTAAAAACAGCTCCTGTAGCATAAAAACGTATCAGCTTTTCATTATTTTAGCAACATTTTAACCCTCCCACTGTCCTCATGGATGACCCCGCCAGGAAAGTTGGCCATTGAGGGTTGATGGTTTATCCCTTGAGGACCACGTGGCAGGGGGTTAAACCCTGAACAGGAGTTTTTTTTTTACAAAAACAAACAAATAAATTTTTTTGTTTTCATCAGCTCTCTGAACGACGACATCATCTAAAGCTCAGGCAAACACGAAAAGTGAATTAGTCCTGAAGCCCTTAGATCCAACAACACACCTACCTGCATGGGGGGGTTGTTTCAGGCTATCACCCCGGCTTTCCACAGGAGCCGTCAGCAGCATGTTACTGCAGCAGCACGTCATAGCTGCTGATAGGAACCGCTGTGGTCAACAGAACCTTTTCCACTGGAGCCGTCAGCAGCACGAGTCGGCCGCGTCTCAGGAGCAGCATGTCGCGGCCTTTACGCGCCGGTTCTATTTTCTACGCGCGACGCCTCTGAAACGGGTCAAGTTCGATATTTTTGGGGAAGGAAAGACAGGAAATCGGACGCGGAAATGGAGAGAAGCTCCCGAGATTTTCAGAATAAAGAACGTACTGCCTTCCGGTTGCTTTACTTTAAAAAAAGGTTACTAACTGTGCGTCCCCGTGAGAAGTTATCACCTAGCTAGCGGTCTCCTTTGTTTTTCAGGTCCGTATTGGCGATTATAAAACGGACAGAACATAAAACACAAACCATGTTGTAATTTTCTCCTGCTTGTTGTTGTGTTTACTGACGAACTCACTCGTGTGACTTCGTGCTCGGTCGGTGACAGCTGCTCCCCTGCTGCTTCGCGTCTCGTGGGAAGGGCCAAGCAGCAGCTTACGGGAGCAAGACGTGCTGCTGCAGTAACGTGCTGCTGACGGCTCCCGTGGAAACCCGGGGTCAGACTCAGCGCAGGTATTTACTGTACACACACACACACACACACCACCCCCTCACTCTGTGGTTCCTAGTATGTCAGAGACAAGCAGCACCACCAGGAAACAGTGTTTGCTTTAGCTTTCCAGCTCGGAGTCTCGGTACGGCTCAGATGCTAGCAGGTGTTTGGGGGTGGGGATATTTCACGGTCTCACAGGTACGTGTAGAGGTGTTCTCTCTACTTACAGCGAGAGGAGTCGGCCGTCTGAGCGCTGTTCTGGGGATTTCGATAGATGTTCTGAATCAAGATGGTCTGCAGGAGTCAAACATACAAAACAAAGCTGCTGGTCAAACTGGACCCTCCATTTCCAGTAACACTTCAGATTTACCTGTGTACAGGTTACCCAAACACACAGCCTGGAAGAGTGTGTCATTTCATAACATGAAGCTAAATTTAAATATAAATAACTGACAGAACAGGTGGAGCAAGTTCTCCTAAATAAGCCTTCACATGGTGGACTCAAGGGTGAACAGCCAAGGAGTGGGCGTGTCTGTCTCACCTGACTGAAGGTGGGCTTGTTGTGTAATCTTGAGCAGCGGTCTCCATGTCTGCATGCTCCAATCTTGAAATAGAAGGAACAGTTAACCCTGTGGAGGAGAGTGGTTGTTATCACAGGAACTAGTCTGGTTCTTCCTCATGGACATAACAGCTGTTGGACGACTAACTAACACTAACTAACTAAACCGCCCTAAGACCTGGGGTAGAGTAAAGCTGAAGGTGTCTAACTGGTGCTGGTTCTAATCTACCCACTTTAATGTCAATTCACCTGAATAAGACCACAAAAACACCAAATAGATGAGAACTGGGACACAACAAATTAGCTAACAAAACCAGAGGACATTTTGCTCCTCTACACCGGTGCAACACAGAATTCAGACCACCAGACTGAGCAGCTACCAACTAGCTGAGCTGGCTGCACGTTACCGGGCTTTCTGTACACGTTTCTGTGGACAAACGTGTCATAAAAACACCAAGTAATCAATAATCTACACGACGATGCATAAACACCAGGGCGCAGGTGAAACTTTGCTTCACGGTAACTAGCAGGGCTTCATGAGGTTCATTCAAATGCGTTAGCGGACTTAGCTTCCTCCCGCTAATGTAGCATAACTGGGACTTTCAGCAGCGCTACAAGAGGGTAAAAAACCGCAGCTGGCAGGAAACAACCCGAGAAAATAGCTAACGTGGTATAAACGTCACCACTGAAGCGGCTGATCCGCTAAAAATGGAATTAAAACTTACTTGTCTTTCTCTGTGCCGAAAATGGATGCCAGATATTCCGCCATTTTCGCCCCGTCCTGGACGTTTGCATTACGTCATCACGTACAGACGCTTGCGCAGCGGTGCTGACGTTTCCAGATAGCCCTGAGCCTAATAAACCACAGGAGGGCGCTGTTGTTGTGCATTAACACGAAATTAAACTTTCATATGCTAGCGAATATTTTTATGTAAATAAAATAAAACATGATCATTCTTCTATTATTTTTACATTAATAAAGTTGTTTTTATTTCTCTGAATAAATATAATAAATGCAATTATTTTTCATATTATTTAAATCCATCCAGTTGTTTTGTTGACTGCAAAATAAAAGAAAACTAATAAATAAATAAAAATGTTACTTAATTTTTTTCACGTCCATATAATGGTTTTATGGACCATGAATTAAATGTAATTAAATTCTTTTTTTCACTAGTTTTTAATGTTTTTAAAACTGTTTAATGTGGTTAATCTTTAAGAAGATAAAAGTTTATGAACAGACATAGCTAAATATAAAAGAGAAAACAGCTTTGTACGACAACAGTTGAAACAAGGAATCTTTTAAAAGGGACCCTGCTAAACAACAACAACGTCAAACTTTTACATTGGATAAAAACTAAACGTAAACAGCATACTAAACATTAAAACTGTATTTGAAATTACAGGAAACTACCCTGGTGTAAAGGTGGGTTGATCAGTTTTATGTTTCCTACCATTTCTAGATGTTTTTGGTCAACAGACTAGGTTATTAATAATTAAATATTAAAGTAATTGAATCAGGCTTGAGGTCTGTTCCATAACACCAATAATCAGCTGTTTTCTCTAAATGGTGGAACAAACCCAGAGGACTTCTCTAAAAAAGCAGTTTTCTACACAGATGGGCCACTCATCTCACTGACGGCGTTATCTAACGAAAACCACAGAGAGAACGGTTATTGAGGCCTTTAAAGAGCTCAAAGCTCCTCTTCAGAGCTCTTCACGCTCTCCCCTGAAACCACAGCTCACTGCTCAAATCTGCAGAAGGTAACAATTAAAGAAACAGGAGAGTTGAGAGGAAGTCAGCTTGAAGATGGCAAACCACAGACAAACTCAAGAAATGATGAAAGCGGTGTTAAGGTGCACAGAGTTAGAGGTCTCGGAAATAACAAGAGTGCATGAACGTTGGGGAGTTCAGTGGATCTGTCTGCAGAAGAAGGATAACGTGGGAAGGAACCCCTGTGCAGGACCTTTTTCAGACCCCTCACTGACTCACCTCCACGGCTGCCATCCCCGTTTCAAAGAGGAAGAGGCTTAACACCAGAAAGAGGAAGCAGAATGTTCAGACTTTATTCACGTCTCTGTTGTGTTACATAATAATGATGAGGTCGGTGGAGCAGTTCTCATGTCAGTCGGCTGCAAAGGAACGACGTTGATGATCTTCATCATGGGGCCTGAATCCTGCAGGAACATCCTGAAGTTGTTCATTTTGGCTGAGCTGATTCTCGCCGTAAACGCTGACCGTGAGTGGATCTTTGTGTCTGTTTGGTATTCACTAAGAATCAAAACTCAGCTTTATCTGACCACAATCAAATTCTCATAAAGTAGAGCAGCTGATCTATCTTTGACCTCCCGAAAGTCTGCCTCTTCACGAGGAAGGCTTTTCACCACGATGATTTAGTCTATTAAACATCGACTTGTTAGTGTTATCAGAAACCTGGCTTAAGGTTTGGAGCGAAGGTAAACTACCGGACTTTGGTCAGCTAGGCTGGTTTTAAATTTGTCCGGAAAGTTTTTTTATTCCTCACAAATTTCACAAAAAGTAAAACAAAGTACGTAAACATGACAGAAAAGGGTTGTTCAGCTGGAAAATTAAGCTGAAAGCAACATGTTTCATGTCATTTCTTCCATGTTTGTGGGAGGCTTGACGGAAACGATGAGATTTTATGTAAAAAAGGAAAAGACGCAGAAATGTTTATAAATCAGACCCATATGAACCAGTATTTTTCCAGGAGGGTTGTCCCAGTGTTGTGCAGGATGTTTCCTGTAGAAGGCCTAATTATTAGTTATAGTACCATCATACCATACCATACCACCTTTATTTATATAGCACTTTAAAAACACAGCCATACGGCTGACCAAAGTGCTGAACAGTCGCACAATAACAGAGATAGAAAACATAAAACAGTACTATGAAATACAACCAACAATAAAAAAGACAAGCCGATAAAAAAGTACCAATAAAAACCTTACAATAGATGATAAAATAAGAGTAGTAAAAGCCAAACTAACAGCTAACTGTTAAAAGCAAAGGTAAAATAGTGTGTCTTTAGTTTAGACTTAAAATCTGCCAAGGTGGATGCCAGTCGAACTGTGACTGGAAGTTCGTTCCACAGTTTAGGACCGGCAACAGAGAAAGCTCTTTGTCCACATGATTTGTAACACGCTTTCGGGACCTCGAGGAGCAACAGGCTGGAGAACCTGAGTGTGCGACCAGGAGTATAAATTGAAATAAGGTCAGATAAGTACACGGGGGCAAGACCATGGAGGGATTTGAAAACAAAAAGTAGCATTTTATATTGGACCCTGAAAGTGATGTGCAACCAATGAAGGGATCTGAGAACTGGTTTTATATCTAGCGCCTATCAGTATGTGTTAGGAATCTAGCAGCTGCATTTTGAATGAGTTGAAGTCAGGCAAGGGTTGACTTATTGACACCCAGCAAAACTGCATTCAAGCAGTCGAGCCTAGATGTGATGAAGGCATGAACAACTGATTCCAAATTTTTTCTAGATAAAACAGCTCTTAATTTGTACAGATGGCGGAGTTGGAAAAAACAAGATTTTACAGTGGCATTGACCTGGGCGTCCATCCTTAGAGATGAATCCATCTTCACACCCAGGTTTGTCACAACGGTTTTTAGATATTGAGAAATAGATGAAAGATCTGGGGTTTGGAATGAGCTAGATCTGACCGGATTAAACAGGATCAGTTCAGTCTTGGAATCATTGAGATGCAGAAAATTTGTGGCCAGCCAACATTTCACATCACGTAGGCAATCTAGAAGAGGCTGGATGGATTGCTGGGGTTTCACCAACATGTAAATCTGACAGTTGTCAGCATATAAGTGATATTGAACACAGTGTTTTGTTAGAATTAAGCTGAGGGGAAGGAGGTAAAGACAAAACAACAAAGGGCCCAGAATAGATCCCTGCGGGACCCCACACAAGAGAGGAGCAGAGCGAGATGAGAGGTTGTTCAACACCACCCGTTGGGACCTGTTAGACAAATAAGACCTAAACCAAGTTAGGGCTGGACCATGTATTGCAGCAACCTCCTCTAAGCGTAATAAAAGGATGTCATGGTCGGCGGTGTCAAAGACGGCGGACAGATCGAGAAGTAATAACAAAGCATAGGAGCCAGAATCAGTAGCCATAAAAATGTCATTGAAGACATGGAGGAGAGAGGATTGTGCAGGGGTTGAAAACCTGACTGAAAGACATCCATTATGTTATGATCGGCTAGATGAGTTGATAGCTGATCATGGACCACCTTCTCCAGAATTTTTGCCAGAAATGGAAGCTTGGAAATAGGGCGATAATTAAAAAGAACCGAGGCGTCACGGCCTGGTTTCTTTAGAAGCGGCTGAACCACAGCATGTTTGAAGACAGGGGGTACAACACTGGAAATAAGACTGGTGTTGATAAAGTGTAGGATTTAATGACCTATAGCTGGGAACACCTCTTTCAGGAGGCGCAGAGGAAGGATGTCGTCTTGGGAACCAGATGGTTTCATCGACAGAAGCAAAGATTGCAGGCATGGAAGAGAAATAGGTTCAAAGCTGAGGAAGGGCGCTGTATTAAAGGTTAAGGTAGGAAGGGTGTGCAGAGGGAGTGATAAGCTAGCCCTGATAGAGGAAACCTTATCAGAAAAGAAATCTAGAAACTGATCCGGGAGATTTGGTGCAATAACTGAGCAGTTGGACTCATGAGGGATGAGAACCAAATTAATAGTTTTGTAAAAACCTTTTTGATTGGACAGGTTTGCAGAAATAATTTTAGAAAAGTAATAGCTTCTGGCAAGCATAACTTCTTGTTGATATTTGGACCAGAGGTCTTGCAAAATCTGATATGAAATCTGAAATCACACGGCCTATTCTCGGTCTCCTCCAGATCTTCAGTAAAAGGTTTTGCTCTTTCTTTGATTCCTGATGTTTTTGACATTCAGTATAACACATATAGAAACTAGAACAGGTAAGGTGAAAACAAACGATTATCAACTCCTACGTGACTTCAAGGAAACCCAAGTCAATCATGTAACTTCTAGTTGAGTCGAACCGGCGAGTCTGACACTAGTCTGGCTCCACATAACAAAAACAGGTGAATTTCTTAATAAGAGGGTGAGAAACGCATAATATCTTTTGAAGTTGTGTACGTCCGTAGTGTTTATGGGCTCTAGGTTAGCTAGTCTCCTCTCAACAGAACCAGCGATCATCGTGTGAAAAAAATGACACCTTGACGATCTGCTGTTTTTAATCTTGCAATAAGAAAATAAGTATTAAGAAAATGTTCAGACTTATCCCACAAACGCTTTAGGTCAAGAATAAATATTGTGTGTGATACATATAGATCCCCGTTTAATGATGACTGGAGCCTAAATAAGTGTTTTTGAAGCAGCTTGGGTAGATCAGAAGCCACTCAGGACACGTTTGATTCTGCAGCTGTGATGCAGCTTCAGCTCTAACTTTGTTTATTTTTAAAATGGTAGAAGAATCAGTGTTAGCTGGGAGAGAATCGAACACCAAACAGTTTCTGAACAGCAGGTGACTTTCTATCCAGACTCCGAGTTTTTCTGTGATCTGCACTGCTAAAAATAAAGGTTCCAGTTAGAACCAAAGACAGTTCTTCACAGTGATGCCTAAGGGGAACCTTCTTCGGTTCTCCAAGAAACCTTTTGCCTATTGGTTCCTCAAAGAACCATTTATAAATTAGTTCTTTAATGAACTTTTATTTGGTTCTCTGTGGAACCTCACATATAGAACCTTTTAGGGTTCCACAAATAACCATTTATCAAAAGGTTCTATGAAGAACTAATGGGATGGGATGGGATTGCATCGTCGGAGAGGGGACAGCGGGCAGCAGGGGGCGACAACATCCTCTGCTGCCCGCGGATAAACGGAGAAGGAAGTGACGCCACCATCAGCGTCAGCCTGAGGAAGTTTGCAGACGCAAACGAAACGTAGCGGGAAAACAGGGAAACAAAAATGCTCTGTGTTTTAAAAAAGAACTACAGCATGGAATTAGAGATACGACACAGCAAGAACACACCTAAGAGGTGACTGGATGACCCCTCCCTTCAATCCACGATCTGTGTAACTCCAGGTTCGAAGACACGTAGGTCAGATAACAGCTGACCCCTCTCACCCTGGTCATGGACCTTTACTATACCGTCAGGGAGGTTCAGGCCCAGAACCTCACGCCACAAAAACAGCTTCTTCCCTTTTGCTGCTAGACATCTGAACAATAACCGTTTCAACCCATTGACATATATACTGGACAATTCATTTCCATAGGCTCCAATAACACGTTTTTGAGGGGAAATGGGAGGTAGCCACCACCGCCATTTTGACCGTGTCACAGGTTCCGTCAAGCCCAGACAATTCCACAAAAGGGAAGAGAGGTGGAGCTGAGGGTGGGGCTGTAAGGCTGGGATCAACTGATGACACCCAGTCGAACTAGCTACAAGCTAACCTGAAGCTAACCCAAAGCTAACACGGAGGTGGGAGCTAAGCTAACGGAGGTAGCAACCTAGCTACAACCGGAGTTAACTGTGCACAACACCAGAGCATTTGAGTCAGAGATACGCAGAGCTGCCACTGGGGAGAACCGGGTGGAAAACATCGGTTTAGAGCTCCACAAGCCGGCAGCCCGCGCAGCGGACGGGAGCCGCGGCAATCAAAGATGCACCGAGCTGGGGGGAGGGGAGAAACGGGTGGAAAACAGAGGTCTCCCGAGAGCTCCACAAGCCGATAGTCGGAACCCGGCTCCACCACCATGTTAGCCTGGCAAGCCAGACTAAATAAATGTATTATTTAGTCTGGCCACGCTTCATTGACGGCTCTCGGTTGTGGGGCGGGTTTTACCGTTGTCTTTCAAATGATCTCCGCATTCCACTGGACAATGAATGTGACATACTCTTGTTTCACTCTGTTGCATCATCCCACCAACCAGGCATATAGAGTGCCCTGATTGGCCCACAAAGCGGATAAAGCTCTGTGATTTGTTCACTACGCAGATAGAGCACTATGATTGGCCCACCATTATGGACCAATCACAGCTCTTTATGTGTTTGAAACCCCTCTAGAGAGCTGTGATTGGCTAGCCAGAGTCCTGGTAGGAGCTGCGGAGGTTCCAATGGAGCATGCCTAGACCAAACTTTGCAAAGCAAGAATTTGGTCTAGTTCACTAGGCTACCAACATGTTATATTTCAACCCATTTTCTAAAGTGCAGCATTATGTTAAATGCACTGGGTTTTACCCTATTACATTTAAATTTCATGGTTAAACAGTACATGTTAAAATCTAAGCTCAGCTCAGCAGTGACCTAAAATACATAAATATAATTTTACTTACCAAAAAAAATGAAGTGGAGACTCATTGGACGCTCTATTAGTGCAATTAATGCCACAGCAAGTCATTTTGTCCAACAATTGCACAAATAATATCCAAAAAAGAACACACAAATGGCACAACTAATGGTCTAAGTTGAGAGACTGAAAATGACGAAACAGTTTTCAGGTGAGACCGAGGCTCAGACTGAGGCCTTTCCACGGAGCTAGCTCTGCGGACACGTGGGTCTTATACTCATTAATTATACAGAATTTTAGGCATTTAATATACTTAAACAGAAGAGTGAGAAAAAAAATCACCCCCCTCAGAGTTGTCATGAGTGTAAACTAGATCATTTAAACCAAAAACATGTTTTGGTACCAGGCTGTAAACATGTTTATTTCTGCTGTGAAATTGGTATTTTTAACATGGGAGTCAATGAGGATTTGCTCGCTTCCGACACCAGCCCCAGCGGATGAGGGTGGAACTGCAATTAATTTCACTTCCGCATTGGACTCAATTTCTGTCCCGCATTGTGGGGGCTTGTTTCAACCACAGAGATCTGCACCAGCCACCTGTATTGCTGCTTGTGACTCATTGTTTTTCTCGCTGTGTTTTCTATGTTGATTATTTCTGATGCATCCTAATCTATTTCCTGCCTGACTTGGAAAACACATTCCTAGCAGATGAGTCTCACCTACATGGCAATAAACCTGATTCTGATGCTGCAGCTTCTAATGTAAGCTCTCTTCTGTCCTGTAGGTGATGAGTGCGACGTGGAAATGAAAGTGCGCCGGAACACAGTTTACGAAGCGTCTGTTGAAGGTGAACTCAGGATTAAGTGTCCCGTTGTGTTCTGCAACAAGTCACCTCCAGCAGTCACCTGGATTAAATGGGAGAAAACTTTTGTTCCTGTAACCATCAGCGATCGGGTTCAACTAGAGTGGACAACTAATCAGCAGGAAGGAACCTCCTACCTGGTCTTCCATAACGTCCTCAGAAGTGATGCGGGAACATATCGGTGTGGAAGTGGAGGCAGTGTGAGTCATAACATCTACCTCATTGTGAACGGTGAGTCATCTTTTTAATTATTCACCATTGACTCCAGGGGTCTCAAACTCCAGTCCTCCAGGGCCACTACCCAGCTTGTTTTAGTTGTGTCCCTGCACACCTGATTTAAATCAACCGGTGGCTGAATACATGACTCCTCTACTGAATCAAGTGCTTAAGCAGGGAAACAAGTAAAACATGCTGCCCAGAGATCAAGACCCCTGGTTCTCTTAGTTTAGCCTGAGTAAATTAGAATCCTAATATCCAATAAAAACACATTTTTTAGCTGATTTTACTGTTTTACAGATGGGAAAGTAAACGATACAAGTACAGAAAGAGCAAAAACCACAAGTAAGACAATATACCTGTTTATGAAGTGGTATAGCGCTGGGGTCGGGGGTGTTGTTTATAACATGTTTATAACAAGTCCTACTTTACAGCAGACCCTGGAACTAAAGACAACTTCATGATGTGCATGTACTCTGCTGCTGGGATTGGTGCATTCATCGTCATGGTGATCATCGTGTCTGTGGTATCCATGAGAGGGTGCAAAGGTGCGTTTCTGCTTCATTAGAAGTAGCTTTTATAAAACACTCAGTCATTTACAGAACTGTCTCTTTTTAGGGAAATCAAAGAAAGAGCCAGAAAAGGAAAGTCAGGTAAGTCGAGGAAATCTTTTAAAACTCACCAAATGTTAATTATGGTTTTAATCATTTTAAAATTTCCCTACAGTACATCGAGCTCCCCGCGGTAGAATGGCCCACCGAGCACCTCTCCGGCCGCGAGCCCTCTCCCAGAGGAAGCCCCAACCCGCCGCCCTCTCATAGATCCAATGAGAAAAAGACACCGAGGCAACCTGAAGAGGCAACGTCAGGAGATAACGAGCATCTTTATGGGCAGACGAAAAAGATTAAAAACAGTAAAGGCAAGGCAGCACCGCCACAGGAACCTAGTTCTGTTGTGTATGCTTCTCTGAACCATCAGCTGCCACCTAGGACAGGTGCTCGGGCTCAGATACCGGTGGAACAGACAGAGTATGCAGCCATACGTCTGGGTTAAACTTTCAGGAGCTCAGGATCTCCTGACAGCAAGGACTTTTGGATGCGTTCTCCTTGGATGCACCTGCAGGGTCGGATTCACTCCAAACAACACAGTTCAAACCAACAACTTAATGTGTGGAATTATGAGCCCCTCCACCATTTACGAGTCAAACCTGACCTGAAATTAAAGTGTTTCATTTTATTACTTTAGCATCTATCGTTGTCTACATTTCCCATGGGGCGCTCTTTTGGTGCTGGGTAAGCGTTATGCTAGTGGTCTAGCATAACGTTTACCCAGAGATAAACACATTGGTCCTTTTCAGAAACTGACTGTTAGTTAATGTTTTACAGAAAAGAAATGTGCATTTTACTCTCCAGCTCAGTCAACAGAGAAGGTTTTAAACAGCAATCGTTTACATTGTAATGATCGATTAATTACCTTTAATTAAGGAAAAATAAGACATTAAAATATAGTATGAATTCCATCTTATGGATACTGGGTTATTTAAATCAGAAGATTGGATCTTTTTATTATAGGGATTTTAAAATAACACTTTGCATTAACTGAGAGACAAGAGAAGAGAGAGAGACTTTCAAACGTTTAAGCAAATTTAATACTAAATAATTTTAAACAATTTAACAAGACTAACTCTCTAATGATGGATGTTCTGTTTGAATGAAGTGTGAGGTGAATGGTGAGTGTGAATGATGTCAAATTCAGAACCCTTGCATCCGGCGAAGCAAGTCTGAGTGGGAGATGATGTTTTGCTCCTAACTGATCAGAGTTTGAGACCCGTAATCATTAACACATGAGACGCCATTGTGTCGCATCCACATACCCTCAGTGAGAGGGATGGATCCAGGATGCCAGGTCCTCGGACCTTCCTTCCGGTACTGGAGCCAATGGTACTGCGTCACAGCATGACAAACTAGTCCTTGGATTGTCTCCAGGTAAAAGTGACAGACGTTTCACAGCGTCAAAAAGGGACCCTCCTTGGGTCAGCGAGTTCAGCTTTTATTCTGAAGGAACCGTTGCTTGTTGGTAAAAACAACAGATTTTCCCAGCTTGAATGGTTCTCAGCTTAAAAAGAGAAGTATAGATGACCTGTCCATACTTCACTCAACATGCAGTGAACTTCATGGGAACTTGAGAAGAGATCTTGAATACTGACTTAAGATGGCGTCGGAACTGCTTTATTAATCTGGATGTTTTTGATTCTGGAAGAATCAAAGCTGACAGATTTAATAAACACCACAGAGACTCTGCCACGCTTCAGACTAGGAAGGTTCTGATTGGATCAGTACAGCAATGTGTCATGTGATTATTTACCTTAGTGTATCAGCGTGTCTAGTGACTAGAACAAGTCAGTTACTTATTAAAAACATATTAATCATAATAATGTGATTTCACAGATTGATCATTTTGTATTATTGACTAACAGTCGTTTTGATTAGCTTTATTGAAAGTAGAGTTCTTTGATTTTGATAAAAGAAAAGAGTCTTCATCTTCTGTCTTCATTGCTGGAAAGTAAACAGTTTAGAAGCGAATGCATGACCTTGAGGCTGTTTCATGCATTCTGGCGCTGTGTCAAAGGGAACTGTGGAAAAGATTGAATAACCTTGGAGGAATAGCTCCTTCATCACGTTGCAACATGTTAATTCAAAGGTTGAAGGAAGGTACATATATGGTTAGCTATGCTACCAAAAATAAAAGGCATGCTATGAGGAATGCTAACTGCCCAATTTACAAACTGTTTTCTGAACGTTTCGTCTTTGTTTTCTACTTTTAGTTTGATAAATAGTGTTGGGAAAAGAGGAGCTAATATGCTGTTAGCATGTAGCAAAGGCTACAAGACGACCAAAGAAAATGTAAAAAGTTCATTGGTTTTACTGGTTTTACACATTCTACTAGCAAGCTTTCAGTTTGTACTTGATTTAGCAAGTAATTAAAATATTTATACTGTATTGGATACGTTTAGGAAAAAAATGTTTCTATAGACACCATTAGCTCATTATTAGCTTCCAAACTGTATTAATCTTTGTTAGCACAGCTTTAGTAAAATTCATCAACAGGAGTTTCACATTTCATTTAGCGCTGGTCTAATTTTTTTTTTTGCAGAAAGTGTTGAACAAAGGTTTTCGATTCCTCCAGACCTGTGTATTAAACAAAAGCAGTTCTGGATTACAGTACCTCTCAATCTGTGTGTTAATAAAACCAGGCTGCGAGGTCAGAGAGAGGTCTGTGTGTGTATGATTTGACTCCTGATCTCCCAATGTTGTAAATAATGGATGTGCTTCACTACTCTGCTGTTTTTGGTGAATATATGTTGTGGCTTTAGCCTTTTACTGACCTCTGTGGGGTCCAGTATGCAATAAATATTCAGGGTAGATGCTGTCTGGGATATGTTTATGATTGGCTTAAAGCAGACCGCTGGAGTGGAGAAGAGAAGGAAAGGGGGTACCCTCTCTCTCCTTGACTGATGACCAGAAGAAAGAAATGAGGTAATGCCGGAAGGACACCAAGCAAGAGACGCTGGGAGGAGTCACAAAGGCCGGCAGAGTGTTTCCTGAAGCTGGAGTTGTCGTGGAGATAAAGAGGAGACCAGAAGGAGGGGGAAGTGAAGGAATAAAAAGGGGGGCACAGAAGAAGTTGGGAGTTCTGAGTTCTGGAAGAGTTCTGTACGAGTTCAGTGGAGCTCGGTGTTTTTGTCTGACCCGCTGCGATGGGGTGATTCTGTTTCGATTAATCTTTTTTCATCCTATTAAAAAAAAAACCTTGGTTTCTTATTGTAAGAAACTTAAAAGGATTTTCGGTGCCTGGGGTCTCCGGTGGTGTTGTGTAAACGAAAAGGTGAGATGCTGGTTACTTGTTATCCCACTCCAAGAGGTTTACTCCAGTCAGTTTAGAGTCATTAACCTGAGCAATACATGAGCTGCAGGTGACTAAGATGTGTTTGGGTTTGAACCGAGTCTTCCTTTGAGCTGCAAGCAGTTTGCCGGGATCAAAGTCTGGGTTAGTGGTGATCGCTGATCAGCTCCTATAGTGTGCAGGCAGTCATAGAGAGCGACTGAATATCACGCCCACGCATAAATAGAAATACAAGTCAACCCTGAGACGTAACATCTGTTAAAGAGTCAGCTAGTTTGGGAAGATGGCTTGTAACAGAAAGTTTGTTAAATTTATAACAATATCATTTGTAGTGTAGATAATCTACATACTAGAATTTAACGCTGTTGCTGTTCAGCTCTGTTAAATCCTGAAAAAGATCAAAGAATTTGGCTTATGAACTTATATTTACATAGATATCCACGGATATTTATATAATTGATAGAATTTCATACACCAACTGGCTTGGCCTGTATTTAATCCAAAGATTAATATTTAATTTAAGATATTTAAATTCATAGCAAACGTTTATTTATTGAATCAGAAGATTTAAAGAAATCTTTGCTCATTCAATAACCAAATATACACCACTCTGTGTTTCATTTCAAAGAAGAGTCAGGTTTAAAAAGTTAAGAATTCATTACTAACAATTTAAAGACGACAATTTAAAAATGACAATTTATAAAACTTTGATATTAAAACTTGGTATTAAAAGCAGCCTGTGTCTGGATGAGGACTAAAATGAAATGCGTGTGTTGGATGTGTGAATGGAATCTCACAAAGTTTCTTTCAGAGAGAGAAAACACGTTCTGGGTGAAAGAGTTGTTTTGCAGCTGAACTAAGTTATTTCTTAAGGGGAACAGCATACGGACGCAATCTGTGTTCTACCTCACCGTTCAGACGACCCTCTGTGTGGATCCGGAGGTCAAGGGAGGATGTTGTCAGCCTCTGGGTACACGGTCCGGAAGGGAAGACCCGAGTGGTACCGACTCTCTGGTCCAAGAGTTGCTGCAGGTACACAGGTGTTGAGTTCGCGTTTTAAATTAACTCTGAAGGAGTTTGCGTCAGCTGGTTGCAGGTGGCGTTTGTTGGAGCAATTCTATCGGCGTGACAGAACAGCTTAGTGGAGGCTTCGAGCGGCCGTCTCGATCCTCTGGGACTCTCGTGCCACAGAGAGATTTTGGTGAGCTTCGAAATGAACTTGAACTGAGGAGTTTGTTTTATTAAAACCTCAGGACACACCCTCTCAGAGATAGAAAGCTTTGGTTATGGAGCAAAGACATGTGAGGTGCAGTTACCTTTACCCCTGATGTCTGTCCTGCATGGTGTGTATAAGTGTGCATGACCTTCTGGTTACTGATCAAACATTACTGATTATCATAAATAATAATTATTATTAACCAAAGAATAATAATTCATTTCAGTAATTAAATACATTTATAATGAACCATGATGATTATTTATGAACCTTTTAATAGGACAGTGAAAAGAGTTTATTAAAAATGATTCTTTTAAATCTTGAAGTGTCCTTCATCTTGTGGATGGAACAGCAGTCAGATTAAAGATTGTTTACAGCAGACTTGTGTCTCCTGTGATGAATAATCTGTAAATAGAAGTGCAGCCAGGACAATGTGACCTAGCTGGGGAAGTGTGACCTTTGGGTCACAAATGAGGCTATTCATGTCGCTACACATTTTAATTTTCTGTGCCATTGAATTTAAAACAAACAGACTTTGAGATAGGGGCAGCAGTAGCTCAACAGGTTGAGCGGGTTGTCCAGTAATTGGAAGGTTACAGGTTCGATCCTGGGTCCGGACAGAGAATTCTGCTGTTGTGTCCTTGGGCAAGATGCTTAACCCACCTTGCCTGCTGGTGGTGGTTGGAGGGACCGGTGGCACCTGTGCTTGGCAGCCTTGCCTCCTTCAGTGAGCCCCAGGGCTGCTGTGGCTACATTGTAGCTTATCACCATTATAACTACTGTGCAACTATACAGACGGTGTCCTCTAGTTATTTATTTTGGGTTACCCCAACACTCGTTAACAAACTTAATCATTCAATTAAATTAAATGCACGGCAGGTAGAGATTCTTAATGAACCACGGCTGAATGTTTTGCGTCTTGACTGATATTCTTCTGTTACACACCGATCCCTCACAAGGAACCTTAAATATGTTTACAGTAATAATTTCATTACTACCGGTTCTAGAGCTAACGACTCATCTTCTCACTTCTGGTATGAATGACCATTTTCTTTGATTATTGAATGTACTGTACATGAATCCATGTGTGCAATCAGAACCAATAAGATGTATCTAAATAGTTTATTTCTAAGTATACCAGGTGTTTGTGATGTCATTGCTGTAAAGGAGTCCACTAGCTCAGAACCATACCGTTTCCTCTGTAACGTGAGGAAGTATGGGTTTTCTGTGCCAAAGGTCGTATTTGCCCGGCTGGGTCAAAGCTGGGTCACGCAGCAACTTTCACCCACAGATTAAGACCTGAGCCAACAGCAAGTCTGAAGAATTTCACAACATCCAACACCTGCATCTCCAGAAGAAGGAATTCTCACACAATCTAGTCATAATAAAAGAGTCTTACGCTTTCTTTGTTTATTAATGCTAAATAATAATTTTATCACTTTGCTCATTATAAATGTATTTTAATCAAATGAATGATTATTATGCTTTGAGTAATCATAATGAACTATAATGAATCAGTACTTAATTAAATAATGTCTTTTGAAGATGTTTAGGGATGACCTTCACACCTGCTCACACAGGTCTGGATTCACAGTAACTCCAAAACACATTTGCTCTGACGCACAAGTTTGCTCTGGGAAGAGAAGTGGTTTTTGGTAAGTTAGTCAGAACAAGATTGAGAACGAAAGAGAGCGGACGTGCGGAACAAGGTTGCCAATGTTGATTATTTTTCCTATGATTGTCATTTCAAATCATTAGTTTAAATTGAAGAATTAAAACTCTTAAATTCCAAACTTATCTTTTCATTGAACTGAAACACAGACAAACGGATATGATCGTCAGTTTATCGATGAAAACAACCTTTGAGTCTTCTTATCTCTATAACATTTGGTTATTAATTTATTAAAATTAATATTCCAGACTATTGTGTAGGATGGTTCATCTTTCATAATAGAGCCATAAACCATTTTGCTACACCTCTAAAACACCCAACACCTCACGTCAGCTAAAGCTGAAACACGTCTTCAGCTGAGAGCACGAGTTCTAACAGCGTCTGCAGGAGGAACCGAAGTGCGCACGTAAGACCCCTTATTCACAAACAGGAAGTAGGCTCAGCCTCCCACACACACACACACAGAAACATGTACACACACACACACACTCACACACACACACACACACACGCAGAGAAACATACACACACACACACACACACATAAATATATAAACACATACACACACACACACACACACACACACAGACAGAAATATGTACACACAGACACACACATGCACACACGCAGAAACATATACACACAAACACACTGAAACATATATATACACACACACACACACGCACACAGAAACATATACACACAAACACACTGAAACATATATAAATACACACACACACACACACACACACACACACACACACAAACATGTACACACACAGAGACACAAACATGTACACACACACACACAAACATGTACACACACACACACACACACACACAAACATGTACACACACACACACACATGTGTAAAGACACCTGTTGCTCTTTCAGCACTTGCATCATTTCTGTTCTTACCTGCAAGACAGTCAAATCACCTCAAAGCCCAACAAACATAAAACGTGTTTTTCTGCACTCACTTTTTTCTGGGTGTTTAGAAGATTTATGCTGGAAAAACTGAGTAAACTGTCACGAACTGAACTAGAAGGACCCGTAAGGACACCAAACACTGAAAAGCACCTTTAAAAGTCTTTATTTGATGCAGAGTTACCAGAGGTGGGCGAGGCTGGAGACAAAGTAGAGGACAGGCGAAGGTCGTGGTGGCAGGCAGAGTACAAGGCAGGGGTCAGGAGCGAAAAACGAGGTCCGGAGGCAGAGATCAGGCAGGGTGGTTGGCTGGAAGATTTACTTGCAATAGCATTCAATAATCTGGCAGGGAACTGGTGGCTGACTGGTGAATCTATAGCAGGGGAAGCAGGTGTGAATGATGAGCTGAGGAGTCAGGAGCAGGTGAAGTGGATGAAGCTGATTGTGGTTGCCAGGGAAACACAGATGCTCCTGTTTCTGGAACATCTCCACTTCCAGAAGCAGGAGCGCCAGAGCTGTTTTCCACAGAAAAACGACTCATCAGGCATTCATTAGCACAAGAGACCACAGCAGATTCATTAAAAGCTTTAAATTACATTTACTAATCTTGCAGACAGTCATGAGATTAAAGATATCTTTATAATTTATGAGTTCTCTAAAGATAAACAATAAATCCCTGGATTTAGACCCACGTCTGCAGGTTTTCAGAGCAGCAGCAAATAAGATATTTAAAACATGAATGATAATAATGGGCCAAAAACATGAAGTACATCCAGCCCATGCTTGGTCTGCAGATGTGTGAACATTCTTACACTTTTGGTTTGTGCACAAGTTAAAAAAGATGTGTGTTTCCACTCACATATGAGTGATGTAAAAACCTGGATCTATTTGATTTGTAGGTACTGCAGCATCTGCGGGGGCTTCTTCACATCTCTCATATCGTGTTTTTGGAGTCGTGGTGTTTCTCCTCATAGTGACGTTAATGTGTTCAATCCAAGCTACGATGTAAAGGTGAGACTTCCTGATGTTAACACACACACGTGCGATAAAAACACAGCCTGAACGGATTCCTACACGGATTGTAATGAATATCATTATTCTTTGTGTTCAACAGGAAGCTGCATGAAGACTTCAGGTCTTCAGACGCCCGCTCACGTCTACGACAACGACCTTCAGCCTGCAAAGCTCTGCTGTTTGGTGTAAAAAGTTAGAAACGTTTTCAACAACACAACCGTTCATTCGACAGGCTGAGTGAGCACCACGGGGCGTGACAACAACAACAACAATAATACCGGATTAGACTTACATGCCTTTTTCAGCAGTCAAAGCGCTTAACTGACAGGTGATGCTTGACTTCCTCTACAGGTAACACATGTGCACACATCCTGTATGAAACTTGGTGTCGGTGCTCTGTCTGATTAAATCAGCTTTTATTACAACATAATTGTGTTTTTATTCTGTATTTATGGTCTGAATTAAACCAGAACGTACTGTCCCAGAAGGCTTATATCTGAAGACAGTGACCACGAAAGAAGGACAGATCTCCAGTGAACCGAATGTTTGTTCAGTCTTTATTTTTTATTTTTTTATTTGAACAACCCTCAACTATTTGCAAAGTGTAAGATTCAGCTTCATTCCAGCATTATTTATCTTTTTACAATAAATAATTATATTTACTAAAACAAAAGTTTTTGGTATAGCAGTGCACGGTGTGCCAGAGAAGCACCCCATGGCAGTGAGAGGTGCGCTCTGCCTGCAGCTGGAGAGAAACTGTTTAAAGGCCAACCACATCAAATAAAAACGTCTGAAAGTTTACAAAAATAAATGGTCTTAAAAACTGCTGAAAAGATACCAAGGTTCAAACTTGTTTAAGAATAGATGCATTACAGTTCAAAGTTTAAATTGCTTGCCCAGCAATTTTGAAGTTCCTGTTCAGTAAAAAATGTAAAAAAATCAAATCCGGTTTTTGCTTTTTTCACTTTTAAGCTGATTTTTTAAAGGCTTTAATAGAAATAAATTCTAAATACAAACCATACACTGAAAGCTGATGTTGTTCTGAAAAAAGGAGACGAGTTACACACACTTTGCACTTTTTATTACAATTTTACAGCCATAAGATTAAAAAAATACCAGGCAGCCCTGTCATTATTATGGTCATAAGAGGGTTATTAAGACAGCGATGCACAAACAGGAAGTGATTGGTAGTCATTCCACTCCAATCCAGTTGGTGGCAGTAATGCACCAAATTGTTGTTTGCCAAGTGCCATAAGACCACAAATAAGAATAAGAAGAGAGGCGGGAGCATTCGTAACAAACTCAAAGCTATAGTCAAAACATGAAGCATGAAATGGAGTTATCCTAGTGGCTCCAATAAGAGAAAGAAGCTGCTTGCTTCATAAAAGCTTTTATTTTCACATCAGAAGGAAGCAGAAAGGAAAGACAATGGAAAATGTTTAAAGGGAGGAAAACATAGACCAAAATGGAAAATAGAAAAAAATAACTAAGGCTAAAGAACAGGAGCCCTGACAGGAAAAAGAAAGCAGAGCAAATATTGAAAGCGCTCAAAGGGAGAGAAAAACAGGAAAAAAGAGGAGGACTAATAAAAAGGGAAAATAACTCATGTCAGAAGAGGGGAGAGTTTCGCAAATCCAGTTAAAGGTAAGATTGTCGAAAATTTAGTGTAAGGGGCCCCATGTCTGTGTTCGCCTTGGGCCCCCAAATTGCTAAATCCACCCCTGGCGAGGATAGGTGTGATGTGCATGCGTCTGTGGTGTTGGTTAAATATCTGGCGGCAGCATTTTGAACCTTCTGCTGTTTAGGGCTGAATCAGGACAGAATTCGCATAATCCAGACGTGAAGTAATGAAAGCATGAATGACTGACTCCAGAGCTACTCCTACTTCGGTAGGAAAAGTTCTCTGGAACGGGACACGGACCACTAAAGTTACCTGGGCAGTGACTAGAAAACAGGTGCTAAAGCTAGCAGGTTCATCATACACATACATGATGTTTATACTTGATGTTTACCCAAAGGGAGTGAGGCACTGCAGGGTGCATCTTCCAAACTGAAGTTAGTAAACGCAGACCTGCAGAATTCACATCATCGTGTGATCGACTTGTTCCCACCTCAGATCCAGGAAGCAAAACCTTTCAGTTCAGACTGAAACCATCCAAGTTTCACACAGAAACAGAAACGCGTTTCAGCCCCCAGCTGTGAGCAGCAAATGTCGCAGACACGTGTCTGTGTCCCTCCCTCCACAGACGAACCTTCCACCAGGGCAGCATGGCGAGACACGAGGTAAACATCAAATCAGTCAAACTCAGCTCTGTCACCAAAAGAAGCAACACCTCGGTTTGAGCTGAGGCCACAGAGACCAACTGTAATTAAACCACTGAGCTGAGAGGTTGCTGGTTCAATGGCCCAAAAGCCTTAATCACAGCAGATTGTGACGGGGGCGGGTGTCAGATGAGGCTGACTGATGCAGGTGGGACGTGTTTCTCTGTGGTTTAGAAAGTTGAAGTGCAACGCTGCTACAAGTACATTCACATGTTCGCTTCACACAAACATCCCCCCGCAGCGCTGCCTACCTCCCATCCTGCTACACGAGCCGGGAGGGCGTCTCATCTTCTTCGCGACAGAAATAAAGTAGTTTGTTTTTCCCCAAATCTACATGATTCATTCAGTCACTTTTAGAACCACAGAGGTGGGGAAAGGGGCTTTTAAACCCTCGTGGACAGTCGAACAAACCGGCAGGCTGAGCTAGGTCGCCACCTAGTGGTGCAAATCCATTCTGCATCTAAAAGTTAAAATCACTACGAGTCACTACTGTGGTGTTCGGAACTGGTCCAACCGTCTCTTCTAGCCGCAGTCAGACATTTTATTCTGCTGCCCACTAAATATGTTCTGCTTCGCCTCATTCAGTCACCTAAATGTGTGTGAATGGCTGAATGATCCACTGTAAAGCACTTTGGAGTCCTCTGGCTCTGAGGGCCATTTATTGTTTAGATCCTCGTTCTTCTGATGCTCACGCCTGCATGCACGGAGAATCTGCCCTATGATTGGCTGCTCCACCACCAGCAGGATGTGAGAGTTAAACAGACTTACCTGTGGGATGTGGAGGAAGAGTTTTAATTATTCTTTAACTTTATATGAAAAGCTCATTTCCTGAGACCCGTGTTGGTTTGTTCTGGAGCTGCTAGTAAAGAGACCTGCTTTAAATTTATATTATTGTTAGAAAAAACTACATTTTGAGTCAATAAGCCATGTTTTATACTTCTAAAGGTCTTACTAATTGTAGTTAGCAAGGTTAGATGAGAGATGAATGCCTAACAAAAGCATGGCTTTCAGGATGAAGGAGTTTTGTGTCCGAAAACATCATTTAATAATGAAATAAAGGTGGTTTGCCAACAGATCAGCTACAGACAGGTCTGCATTTACCAGCTTTACAGGTGAGTCTTCATCTAACATGTAATACATAGTACAGTTTTACTTTAAAAATGCAAACGGAGCTGCATTCAACCAGCTTCAGAGTCACGACTGGATTTATTATGATGCGTGCAGAAAACATCAGCTGGTTAATTCGACCTCACGGCTTTTCCCTTTAAATGTAGACTTTACCCAGAGAAAACAAGTGATGTAAGGTTTAATAAAGTTTAATTACTTACAGCTCGTCGGCTTTGACTTCAGAGGTTTTGTACAACAACAAAATAAAGGACGTGTTATTTAATAAACATAAAATTCAATATTTCCTTCTGTACAGATAAAAGTAGTAAAATACAACAAAAGCTTCATTCTGAGAACACAAAGATAACAAAAGTGCATTAGATCTGTAGGTTTACATTAACCCTAACCCTCATAACATCATAATAAACTTCCTGTTTAGGTCTGTAAGTCAGCCGTAAAAACACCTTCGGTCTCTGAGTCACAGCTGCAGCGTGGGGTGGGGGGGTCGACCCCAGGATTGTCTCCGCCCCCCGCATCAGCGTGACTCATTAAACGTCTTCTCTTTAGATTTTTATCACATCAGGATTTAAAATCCTTCATTTACCTAAAAGGTGTTTCAGTGCAACAGCAGCCCCTGGTGGCCGATTCGGTCTCCCAAAGATAAAATATAACGTCTTATTTATTTATGTTTGTTGGTTTCTGCAGCAGGAACACGACCAACCACAGATCTGTTTGCTCTGGTTGCTATGAAAACCACCAGGCTAGGGTTAGGGATCCATTCCAGAAGGACCTTTAAACTCATAAAGTCCGTTTTTCTTCTTCAGGATTTCGTGGGCAACTTCCAGCCTGGCCAGCCGTCCCCGTGCTTCTTCTGTATAGAACTAACAGGCCAGGTCCTAAGTGTCTTCTCTAACGTTAACATCAGCAGTTTTAGTTCTTTTTACATGGCAGAAGCTCAGCCTGCTTCCATGGGACCGTTCCAGGAGGAGCAGAACCAGGAGCTTCCTGTCCGAGCCGAGCTGAAGGGAACCGGGCTCAGAACTGGTCTGGAGCTGAGGTCCAACTCCACATCAGGCTGAACAGAAAACAGGGAGGGAGGAAAAGTTAGCACGACCAAAAACATTCCATGACCTTTTCTTTGGACTTTTGGAAAATGAAGCTTCCCGGTGAGGAAAACGACCCCTGGACTCGTTTAGACCACGACCAAACTGCAGGAGGATTGTGGCGACACCAACAGGTTTGTTTTAAACAACAAGGAACGGGTAAAGGTTTTAACAACAGAAAACAATAACCAACTCATTCCCTAAAGCAGCTGGTTTAATCTGGTTTTCATCCAAAACTCATTTAAGAGTTTCTATAGGAAACGGGCTCACTTCCAGAGGACTGCTAACCTTTAGAGGTAGTGTGTAACTAAACACTGACAGTAGCAGCGCTCCAGCCCACAACCGTAAAGGTCAAAGTGCATGAGGGTGAAGCCAGAGTTCGTTAGTAACCCTCTCACTTCACTGAGAAGGAAGCAGACGAGTTTAACTCAGAGCCACCGTCTGACCAACAGCAGCAGCTGGGAAACCATCTGAAATCCTCAAGAGGAAGGCAGAATTCAGCAAGAACAGAACCGTCTGGAGTCGCTCCACAGAACATGTGACTAACTAATGAAGTCCTGCGTGAAACACCTGAGGCTGCCAGGAGGATCTGTTGTGCATTGACACATCAAAGCTGAACGGAGAGCTTCTGGCTTCTGTGCAGCCACCAGCAGATGTCACCACCACCTCTGCAGGAAGTCTCCCTCCCTTCAGCTACTTGCCCTCTGGACTGAAGGTCGGGGCGTTTCGTGTGATTGGAGCAGGATGTGGTACCGGCCCTCGACATCCGGCTGTGCTGCAGAGCCAGAGCTGCCAGAGAAAATGTTTCTTTAAGCCACTGGTCTGAGTCCTGGTCAGCTTCCTGCCCCCACGGTCTGGCTGCTGGGTAAATCTCCCACAAAGCCACCCAAAGATCACAGAGACTCGGCTACAAATAGAGCAGCAGATTTTACTGGAAGAGCCGACAGACGTTCCCGTTCGTCCTGACCGAGAGTGAAGGACGCCCGGATTTATGGGCCTGTGGTTCCACCTGCCGCAGACACCACAGACCTCTCTCTAAAAACCCTGTAGTCAACACAGAGTCCAACTCCAACCTGCTGATACAGACCTGAGGAATCCTGGCTTCTGTCTACACACCCAGAGAGAAAACATGAACCTGAGTGTAGCTTCAGCTCATCGCTCAGGAGACACGTCCCCAAAAAAACCTGAGTAACTCAACCTTAATCTGGTCAAACACACAAGTTAGAGGTCTGATGAAATGCATCCTGCTTCAGTTTGAGTCTGAATGTAGTCCTGATGAGAGAGAGAGAGAGAGAGAGAGAGAGAGAGAGAGAGAGAGAGAGAGAGAGAGAGAGAGAGAGATGGAGCAAGAAGAGAGATGGAGCAAGAGAGAGAGAGAGAGAGAGAGAGAGAAAGAGAGAGAGAGAGAGAGATGGAGCAAGAGAGAGAGAGAGAGAGAGAGAGAGAGAGAGAGAGAGAGAGAGAGAGAGAGATGTGGTCATACATGGAGGAGTCAGATAAATGTGGGTTTAGAAATAACGTCACTACTGATCATACATGAAGCTGTGTGACTACATGGTAAATGGCCTGTATTTGATATAGCGCCTTCTAGAATCCTGGGACCCCCCAAGGCGCTTTACAACACAATCAGTCATTCACCCATTCACACACACATTCACACACTGGTGGGGATGAGCTACAATGTAGCCACAGCTGCCCTGGGGTGCACTGACAGAGGCGAGGCTGCCAAGCACAGGCGCCACTGGTCCCTCCGACCACCACCAGCAGGCAAGGGGGGTTAAGTGTCTTGCCCAAGGACACAACGACAGCGACAAACTGAGCGGGGCTCGAACCTGCAACCTTCCGATTACAGGGCGAGCACTTAACTCCTGTGCCACCGTCGCCCCAGTGCATGAAGCTGTGCGACTACATGACGACCTGAAAAGCAACACTTCCTGCTTCATTCTGGACAAAAAGAACCTAGAAGAACATCTAAAGCTCTGCAGGTCTCACCTGGTAGAGGTCAGAAGTCAGGACCAACAATAGCCTCCACAGGGACATCTCCATGACCCCTGGGACTTCTGGGTAAATATTCTGGAAGGTGAGCATCCCATTCAATCTGGAGTCGGACTAACATCACCATAGCTACAGTCAGGCATGGAGGTGGTAGTGTGATGGTCAGAAGCTGTAACTGAAGGAACCGTGAATTCTGCCCTTTAGCAGAACATCCTGGAGGGGAACATCTGACCTCTTTTATCCCCCAGGACCTGGACCAGAACCAGAAATTCTGCTCTTCTAAAATCATTTAAACTACGACTAAAACAGCTCCTGTTCACCAGACGTTCTGTCAGAACCACGACTCTTTGTCAGTTACTGTAGATAACAACTAGTCTCCTTATATACAACAGCCATTAGAAATGGAACCCAGCCCTGGATCTGTGACCAAGTCTATAACCCAACAGAGACAGAAGACATCACCCGTTTCCCGGACAACCGTCTGCATCCCATCACAGTGGAGGCCTGTTTTCCTGGCACATCCCAGCTGAGCTGACACTGGGAGATACAGAGTCTGTGCTTGTCCTGGAGACAGGGTGTGTGTGTGTGTGTGTGTGTGTGTGTGTGTGTGTGTGTGTGTGTGTGTGTGTGTGTGTGTGTGTGTGTGTGTGTGTGTGTGTGTGTGTGTGTGTGTGATAGGCCCGTCGCCGCTCCCTCTTCCAGGCCCCTAACATCTTACTGAGGGATCAGAACCAGAAAGGGGGCCTTTATTCTGCCCGGTTACTCTGGACAATCAGCAAAGCTCATTCATATTCTGCTCAGGATCATCAGAGCTAGAAAATAAGGAAAGTTTAAGACACAAGGAAAGTCTAGAGTGAACTGCAGCGCTCAGGAGAAGAGACACAACTTTAGCCTGGTGTGTTTGTTATCTGGAATGTTGTTTTAGGAATGTTATGTGACGCGTTCATTAGGAAATTAGGAATAAAGGTCAGGTGTTGATCACTTTTCTCTTGAAAACCAGGAAAATGTGAGTAAGACCTTTAATGGAGGCCACACCTGGTTGATGAATAAAGGCGAGAATAAATCCTGGCCTCGACACATCAGGGTCACTTTTTGTTTTGCTTTCTTCTGTCCCTCATGAGAAGTTTAGCTTTCCTGTTTCTCCTCTGTGAGCAAAAGATTTATGATAAAGGAGAAGTGGTCCGTAAGCGGCACGTCGCTGGTTCCACCCTGGATCAGACCCACGAGGGGAAAGGTGTTAACAGGAACCAGAAAGGTGTTAACAGGAACCAGAAATGAATGGTGTGGGGGGGCTGAAAGATGACTCGTCATCTACTCCCAGACTTTCAGCCTCCTCTGGTTTTAGCAGGAGGACTGACTCACTTAACACTTCCTGACTAAACAGCATCAACATTTAAAAAAGATTTTATTTTTAATCCTGCCATTCCTACTATTTTGTTAAAGGTGCTGACTTCAAGTATAAAAATCAAAGATTTTTCTCTCCAACTCATCAGCAACAGGTCCGTCAGAGGCTAGCTAGTGAACGACAACATGTTCACAACTGTCCTGGTTTCAGGAAAGGAGTCCATCTAGCTGATGGACTCACAGCTGCAGTCTGGGCGGCACACCCACAGAGAAGACCAAAGACGTTCCAAAACCAGAAACATTTAGCCTCCATCACAATGTGGTAGAAAAGCCTGAAAGACAGACCGGTCTATGGTTTAACAAAAACAGATGAATTCCTCTACCGGAACGGTCATTGTTCAGGGTAAAATATTTCCTTCACATCAAACAAATGATAGAATCACGTATGAACAGGTTCTTTAACTCCAGGTGGAAGTTTCTGTCGTTCACCAAAGAAAAAGCCAGAAATGTTGTTTTGTGGAAACGTTATTCTATATTAGTTAAATCTAGGGTAAGAGATGCAGAAATGCTAAGAATAGTTTATGAAATAGTAGGAGGAGTTTAATTTATACTTTAGGCAAGATCCCAGATGAGCCCCCAATAATGTCTTATTCCAGGTTGGTCAAGGAGATTTTATTTCAGTAAAATTCAATTCAGTTTATTTATATAGCGCCAAATCACGACAAGAGTCGTCTAAAGGATCTTCGCACTGTAAACATTCCAATACAGGTCAGTTCATTAATCCAAACGGTAAAAGATTTACTATATAAGGAACCCAGCAGGTTGCATCGAGGACTATAGCTCCACAGAGTGTGGTGTTAGCTAGCACAGAGCAGAATTTAGTGTTTTATTTTTGAGGAAACATTAAATCATAGTAAAACGGCGTAAACATTGATAAAATGCAAAGAAGAATTAGATTAGGAGAATGTCAAAGATCCCGGATAAGCCCCCAAATATATCACAATCCCAAGAAGGTTTAGGAGCTAAAAGTGTAATTTTAAGTTTTGTTTTGTTTCCGGTATTTAGGTAGGTAGAGATTTTTGTTTTCTAGTTAAAGATGTTTTTTTCATCCTCTCATTGAAGGTAGAATGAAACACAAACTAGTTAAACAGCGACCTGCCTCGCTGGTTAAGGGATGTAATACTAGAGTTAATCTGTGGGCTTGAAACTAAACTAGCCTCTCATAGATAACATGTATGTGCTATTGTAACTCTGGGCTTGTTGTGTGAGGCTCAGAAAGTGTTTATGTAACCAGAAGGAATGGGAACGCTCCACCAGTCACAATGACGGGCTGTCAGAGTCGGCCACAACAAAAACAAAGGGCTGCATATCAGCTGGAGCTTCTGCTCGCCTCGGGGCAGGAATCCAGAGAACGGAAATACTGGAGGGTAAATAAACCCAAACGTGTGAACTTAAAAAGCCTGATGTTACTTTCCTAAAGTCAGAATCTCCCAGAACAACTTTAATCTTCTGCAGAGACGTGAAGAAACTCAACGTCTAACTTGTTTAATTCTCCCACGTTTTCATTTGAACGGAGAAGGATGACGGTAAAAATAAGCTCCTGGCTGGACTTGGGGCATGTTTTCATCACACGCTCTAATTAGCTCTGATTCCCAGCTCTGCTTTCTAAAATATCTTTGTGAAATCAGTCAGGAAACAGGCGCCACAACCGTGGGGAGCTTGTGGGGTGTGACAGAAGTAAATGTGGTGAAACAAGGCCAGACGTACCGTCTGCGCAGACGAAGGCCTTGCAGAGACACACACAGAGACACAGGAGGAGGAGCACGACCACGCCGCTCACCAGGATGAGGGTGATCGTGGCTGGATGCACTTCTGCAGAAACACACACACACACATATCCTCTAAAAGACTGTTTCTGCTGCAGACACGCGTGTAAAACACAACATCTGGACTAAACATGTGGAGCAGAAATATGCTCCACAAGGTTTCGGGACCACCGTATGATCTGTGACTCAGACACACAAGCGTTACTGATGGGACTCTGAGATGCTTCTGATCTCCGCTCACCTTTTGGGTTGACAGGAAGTGTGATGGGTTTCTCCAAACCGCCGTGGCGGACCACACACTTCACCGTCTGTTCGCTGAGCAGCTCTGACTGGAGGAGCAGCGTGCTCGTCAGGATGGTGGTGCCGTCGCCCTGGTCGTAGACGGATGAAACGGGCGGGCCGAGCGTTCGGTTGTCCCCGCCGGTGTCCCACGTGATGTCAGCGGCAGGACGGGACCGGGCGGTGCAGTTGGCCTCAGTGACTCCTGAGGAGGAGGTGACTTTGGTCACTTCTGGTTTGGGAAGAACTGAGGGAAGAAAATGTTTTCTTACTCGTTGAGCAGCAGAGATCATGACCTGTCAGCTCGCACGGCTACGCGTGCACGCACGCACGCACACACACACACACACACACACCCAGCCCACATTAATAACCACTTTCCCCTCAGTGACACAACCCCCCCCCCCCCCCCCCCCCCCCCCACACACACACACACACACTTACTTCACACTTGAGGAGGGTCACACCCACATAGTTCAGTGGTGGAAAACAGGGAGGGGGGGGGTGTTAGATTAAAACCATGAGTATAATCAGCGATTGCAGGACCTGGGTGTTCATTTTCAGCACTTCCTGTTCCTGACTGCGACGACGGCTCACTTCCTGTCTTATCTGGATGAATCAGAGTTATTTGCTCCAGCAGGGATTTTAGGAACCCGTTGGAGTTAAACATGTGCATGTGTGTGTGTGTCTGCTCTGTCTTCTCGATCCCCAGTGAGTTATGGTGGATGGCTGCTTATACTGAGCCAGGATCCTCTGGAGGTTTCTTCCTGTTAAAAGGGAGTTTTCCTCTCCACTATCGCTACATGCTTGCTTAGTATGAGGATTGCTGTAAAGTCACTGACACTAGTCAGTGACTTGATGCAATTTGCTGGGTTCCTTATACAGGAAATATTATTCCTGATTGGCTTAAGGAACTGACCTGAATTGGAATGTTTATTATGTGAAGTGCCTTGAGACGACTCTTGTCGTGATTTGGCGCTTTATAAATAAACTTGAATTGAATTGTTAAAAGTGAATAAGTTATCTGAACTTTCTGTTGGAGGAAACTTTATTTCACTCATTTATCAGAAACGTTAAAGCGTCTTTTTTCACACATGATGGAATTTATGAGTTTTTTTCTCCAAAATTAGATTTTGTTTTTTTCATTTTATTCTGCAGAAAGGAATAAAAGTTTGGCTGATTTTCAAAATAAAAGCAGTGATTTAATTTAAAATGTCAGATAGATGTCCAAGATTCTCCATCACAGCCCTGATGATGCATCTCCAGGACCAAAAGACGTTGGTCTATCGTAGCTTTAGCTTCATGCTAAACAGGAGCTAATTATAGATCTGTAAACGAGCTGCAGCAGGTAGATCACACGTGACGACATCCTGCAGAGACATAAATGATCTCAGGTAGGTTAGGTTGTTACGATCAGCTGGGGACGTGTCTCCTTTGCCGCTGGAGATGTGTGGGGAGGACCTATGTAGGTCAGAATCTGCAGACGAGGTCACAAACTAAACTTCAGCAGTTGTTTTCCTGCAGGTTCCACTTCGTCCCACATGCAGCTTTCAGCTCTTCCTATTTGTGTTTGTTTGTTTATGAATTTACAAACCGCCGAAGCTCCTCCCACCAGGTTAGCATCAGAGCAATTTAAGTGGCTGCTGAGTGCTGAGTAATGATTAATAACTTTTCTAAGAGACTGAAGAGGGTGAAACTCGTCTGAGAACTAAAACCATAAAGCTGAAGCTTCCTTACTTCTCAGAGGACGATAACGGAGACAGAATCACCCTCCAGGGTAAAGCGGAGGCTCACCATAGACGGAGAGGCAGGTGGAGGCGCTGCGGCTCCCGTCAGGATAGGTGTGGAACTCACAGGTGTAGCAGGCCTCGTCCTCCATGCGGACCTGCCTGATGGTGAGCCTCGTCTCCCCCAGCGTGTGGCTCAAGCTGACCCGACCTTTGAACTGCTCCCAGGTGTCGTGGCTGCGTTTGGTGTAGGAGGCCACCTGGGTGGTGTCGCCCTGCTCCGCTGTCTTCCTCCACAGCACCTGTCGAACCCTCTCTGCGAGGCTGTAGGAGCAGGACAGGGAGACAGGCGTCCCCGCGATGGCCGTCTTGTTGCCCTCTGGATGAACTTTACCTGAGAGAGAAGCTGCGTCGTTATGAGGTCAGCCCGTAACGTGTTTGTTTACCAACAGGAAGCTCCGGGTCAGCTGGTCCAGCTGACCCGGAGCTTCCTGTTGCACGGCTTTAGGAGTAAAAACAACCATCATGGAAGAGCGAGGACCACCCACCGGTGACGCTGAGGCAGGTGGAGCCTTCTTGCTGCCCGGAGGGGAAAACATAAAAGATGCAGCGGTAACAGCCTTCGTGGGCAGACGTTACCGTGGTGATGGTGATGGCACTGCGGTTGGGGGAGGAGGCGCTGAGCGTCACGTTGGGCTCCTGATGGTTGATGCGGTGCGGCTCGTAGGCCAGCAGTAGCTTGGAGTGCTTGTCGAACCAACGCACCTGGCGAACGCTGTCACCTGTTGCTAAGGTGATGTTGCAGCTAAGCATGATGGGATATCCAGCATCTGCAGTCAGACTGGGAGGAGCTATGACCTGACCTGGTCAACGAGATTGAACCGCTTTAGTTCAGCTGCAGCATCAAACCAACGACAAACCTGAAAATAAAACCTAAATAAAAGCTAAAGTCGGTTAATTCTCATGAGATCCGACTGGAGAAAGGTCCCGCGATGGGACTGCAGATTTTTACACTCTCAGACCCGAACCAGGATAAACGTACCTCCTGTTGCTGCTGTTGAGACCCACAGCAGCAGACACAGTGGGAGGCCCGGTCCACCCATGGTACATACACACACACACACACACACACTGAGAAAGAGCTGAAACCACAGAATAAATCTCTGGTTAACCTGATGTCTGACAGCTCACAGCCACAAAAGCTTTAGAAATTAAGTAAAGCAGCAGTGATGCACATACTTCTGTCAACGGGGCGGTGTCTGGACCTGTAGGTGCTGGTCAGAACCTCCGTAGGACCTGTAGGTGCTGGTTAGGATCTCTGTAGGACCTGCTGGTGCAGGTCAGAACTTCAGAAGGACTTGTAGGTGCTGGTCAGAACCTCCATCGCTGCATCGTTCTGACAGAAGGTCTGCTGCAATGCCACATGATGACATCAGCAACGACAACACCAAAAGAACCACGATCTGAGCTTAGTTTGGAAGGGGGCCTACTTATCATCACTGTGGCAACATGAACCCATCAAAGGCTTGTCACCTGGGATCTACTGAAGGTTTTACCCACAGAAGGCTAAACCCACAATTACCCAACAGCCAAAACAAGCTGCAGCCGTGGCGTCTAGACCCGACCAGAGCCGCCATCAGAACCGGAGATGGATTAGAGGCTGGAGGAGGTGAATCATCCCTGGGATCGTTAAAGCATATAACTACAGCATTTAAGCTGGAATGATGGTTTCAGTTTTAACCACCCTGGGTTCTGCAGGATGAGAGGAACCCCCTGAGCTTTTATTGGACTCATTTACCTTTTTACTGGGCCAGAACCCATCTGGTTTCAAACCAGCAGCTTGCTCCTGTTGGGCAGCAATTAAACTCCAAACCCTCCTCAGCATACATCTGGATCAGCTGTCAGGCCTGTCAGAGGTTTAAAGGAACCTTTCTGGAGTAAAGCTGGGCACCGCAACATGAAAACACATCTACAATAGAGCAAGGTGTTGCATCCAGATGTGAGCCACAGCTGGTGCCCCCACCTGAAGGTGAGTTAGCGCAAACCCAATGACCTTTCATACATTTTAATAATAATTCAGCTCATTTTGAGACTTCAGCTCATCACAAGGAGCCCAGATGTATGAACAACTTTACTAAACCATGATGGTTCACTCTTCAACACACACACACACACACACACACACACACACACACACACACACACACACGCACACGCACACGCACACGCACACGCACGCACACGCACACGCACGCACACACACACACACACAAAACAGCTAACACGTTTAAAAACAAGTTTTAAAGCTACAGACAGAAATAATTATCATATTTTAGCTCCATGTGTAAATTAGCTATAGGTCTAGAGAAAACAGAACCCGTTTAAAGAGGATTTTAACAATAAAATTTGTTATTTTTTCATATAATTAAGCAAAACTGACCTTTTAATGGAACGAGTCCGTAAAAACAAGAAAATCCGCGCTGAGCTGCAGGTGAAGTGAGGCGGAGGAGACTTCGGGCCATGCATTTAAATGAGACCTGACTTCCGGTCGTCTCGTGCGCTCATTCCTAAACAGACCCGGCTGCTATAGGAGGTAAGAGAGACATCTGGTGGCCAAGAGTTGTAACTACACCTCAGATTTGACTAACAAAACAACAAAATAACAAATACTAAACAGATCTCTGAAAAATCTTATTTATAACATTAAATATGACACAACGTTTTATCCATAAATGAAAATAGGTTAAAAAGAGAAATTGCATAATGCTGAAAAAGATTTAGACCATTTAAATAAATGAATACTATTTTATTAGAGTCACTGTCAGCAAGGTAAAGAGAAACCTTTCCTGTGTTTTAAAAAAGAACCAAAAATGGAATTAAAACACAAACATGTGCTTTATCATGCAGCTGCAGTCACGTCTGTTTATCTGATTAACTTCATGTGAAATTGTGGTTTTGGTTTGTCACACGTCAGTCAGCTGATTTTGATTCTGAATAGAAAACATCTTTATTTTAGATTAAATGAAATAAATGGACATGATAACGGGGGGGGGGGAAAGATTCTCTTGTTGAACTCTGAATCTCTAAAGAGACAAAAGTTTAACTAAATGTTCCAGAATTATTGTTAATGATATTTTATTAGGGTATGGGGGCCAACAGGAATGTAAAATAAAAATAAACGCTTCATTCTGGCAGTGTTAGTTTGTGGGTTTCCAGCTTTACATCAAAACTACAAAGGGGGAAGCAACAAAATCACAAAAAGCCTTGAATTAGACAGTTTTCAGCCGCATTCTTCACCTGTTTGGCCTGGAAACTGCAGCTAAATTGTTTGGATGTTTGAAGCACAAACTCCTTAATGGTTGTAATTCTTTTATTCGTTTGTTTTTAATAAATCCTGTAAGTTTTAAAGCAGAGATCATCAAACTGAAAAACCATCAGAAACACAAATGTACTCAGCCCAAAGAAACAAGGGGAGACTGGTGCCTGAAACATCAATGGGATTTATTTTGTTAAAAGCTACTGAGATCTCAGTAGTAATACACACAGCTACGTTTACATGTGCTTAGGCTTCGAGTGATGGTGGTGTTCCTCAGACGTTGGTTGGGTCCTAAAACCAGACAAAAACAAAATGAGTGGCTGTCAGGTGTCCACTCAAGAAAAAACAGGATAACAAGACTGTCGTGTAATCTGTGCGAAAACCAGGATGTTGGATTGAGTGTCTACAGGTGTAAGTTATAATGAATGACCTCATGTCACAATAAAAGGACGGGTAAGGCTCCACCCACTGTGGAAAGGACTGTCTGTCACAAGCGGAAGCAGATGAGCGGCGGAGGTGCAGTGGTGGAGTCCCCCGTCATGAAAGAAGACTGTATGATTCTCTCATTTATTACCACTCAAATTCTAGTACAAGGGCGCAGCCCGAAAGCGACTCTGCTAACAGGTTATGGGCCCAGATGAGCGGCGGAAGGAATCTGCAACCAGAGAAGGAAGGGTGGCGTACCTGAATCAGCGAGTCACCAGCAGGTGTGAGGAGTTTGACACAGATTGAGTGAGTGTCTTTACGCACCATGAGAAGACAATTATGAGCAGGTCACTGTTACAGTAATGGTAGTAAACACTACTTAGACAAAATGCCAGAAATTTACACTGTTAGGACTTATGGAAAGTGGAAACACTTTCATAGGAAATAATGTCATCAGTATCCTCTTACAAATGTCATATTTCCCACTTTTTGGGACAATAAAACATTTCTGGTTCTCAATGAGATGTTTTTACTTCAAATGTAAAAACATCTAATTGAGAATCAGAAATGTTTTATTGTCCCAAAAGCTGGGAAATTTGTTTGCTGCAGCAGAAGTGTAACAAGTAAATTGGAATCAGATTGATGTATGTACAAATTTACTTGAAATACACATTTACATGATTAAATATGTATAATAGGTATGTGTGTTGAAATTAGTTTTTACAGTTATTGCACATTAAACAATGTACATGTTATTAAACAAATATCCCGGTTTGTGGGACAACCAAGGATTTCTGATTCTGATTGTCTTGTTTACAGAAATGTAATGTACAGCTTACCTCTGCACCCAGCTGCTGCTGTTCTCCCTGTCCAAACGTCCTCCGTTTCTTTGTTGGCTGCTGCACTGATGTGCTGCATTCCTCAGAGAATGAATGGAGTCCCCAATGAGACACAAGTTCCACATCCACCTTCTGTGGATCCCAGCCGTTTTGAATAACAAACACAGAAAGCAAAATAATGCATTAGCGTGATTGCATCCAGCTAGCCACTGCTTCCTGGTGTACCAATTTTGGGAGAAGCCTCGTGTGTACAGTTTACCTCTCTCCTTGTCCTGCTGGCTTATCTTTACGTCGGGCTGATCTGGTCCAAGCTCTTTGACATAAAGTTTTTCCACTATTAACTCACCATAGTTCTCCTCTCGAACGGATACTGGAGAAGAGACCGAACTGAATTCAGTGGCTGCTGAGATCCGGTATCCTGGTTGTAGGCGCACAGGCGTCCATGTCTACGTCTGCGTCATGACCATGGTCATGACCATCACGAGTCACGACCAAAAACGTGCTGGAGTCGAGACTCTCCGAGTTCTACCGAACACCAACGAAAGCCTTGGCGGTAGCTCTATCGCCCATCATGCTTCTGAAACTTTCTGAAACAACGTCGACGCTGACTGGATACATTCCCATTCCTACCCTTTGATTTTCTTGTCAGCAATTGGACAGCTGGTCTCGTCCTGTTTGGGCGATTGAAAAACAGCACACAGCCTCCACCGCTCGGCAGAGACCAATATAGATATATATACATATATGATTTATTTTTGTTACAAAACACACAATTAACTTAGAATATGTGATTGTTGTTAATTTTATTTATTTATTTTTTTTAATAAAAATTAAAAACACTGGGCAAAACTGGGAGGGCGGCCCCCTATCGCCCTCTACTGGCCAGCCGCCACTGTCCAAGGTGACCAAACACAACAGCACATTATTGTTTAGGCTCAAACTTAAACATTTCACTCACTTCTATTGTCCATAACGCACGGGAAACATGTTCATGATGAGCAAACGGCTCCACTTCTCTGTAGCACCAGAGACATGTGCGTACTGCTGACTCGAGTGGAGATATTTAAGGGTTCAGTTTATATAGTGTTTGCCCACCAGAGGGCGCAAAAACTAGGCTTTCTTGCACCACCTTTTATTCATCCATCCATCCATAACCCTAACCCTAACCCTAACCCTAACCCATTTAAAACAGCATGGGAGCTGCACAAAGCGCCTTCCAGACAATAACAATAAAATTATAAGTAAAGAAAATAAAACAATGAAAGTCAGAAACACAATCAAAAAATTATTTAATAAATTAGATTAAATCAACTATAAGAATAGAAAGAGCAATAAAATCTAGCACAGCTATAACAGTAAAATAACAGCATAAGACTGTAAAACTCACTGCCATCCAAATGCCAAAACATAAAAGTGAGTTCAGTCTAGACTTGAAGACCGAGACTGTTGAAGACTCGCGTACGGTGAGAGGGATCGCTCTGCAGCGTTACCCAGGTGAACCTGAGCTGATGGAGATGTATCCATCAGCTCAGGCAGTCTGAACCACCTGTAGACGGTTCAGGGAGGAAGTCCATAATCCAGTCCACACAACAGCTGCAGCTCAGACATCTGATGATGTTCTGGTGTTTCTTCAGGAAGAACCAACATCTTAAAAGAGTTGTTTGGAGACGCTGCTTTCTGGCCTCGTCTTGGCTGGTGTCCTCTGTTTGATTTCATTCACATGATGGATCAGCGGTGTTGTGACTCTGTAAACAGAAGCATCAGAAACTGGTTTCATTCCTTCTCTGGGAAACATTTATTATTATTGTAAAAAAGGTTCCTACTGCTGTGAGTCTCTGGTTGTCTGTCGTGGTGTTTTGGTTCTCTCAGGGTTCCTGGAACTAAATAAAGGTTTAGATGTTCTTAAAGACTTTCAGAGGGCACTGATGTGTAATCAGATAAAACAGGTCAGTTACAGGAAAGGTGAAAATCACCTGTGTTTTAGTTTGTGCTGCAAGTAGCCGATCACTGCAAGCATACAGAAGAGAGCAATCATCCACAACACAGCGGTCCAGGTGAGGAAGGAACGAAGTGACTCAGGATTCAGAAAACCTGCAGGAAACGGACGATAAACCACAAATGAATCCACGAGGTCTCCGTTTAAAACCAGATCCAGACTTTTAAACAAAGTTGTTAAAACATCAGAATCACAAAGCTGAGAGTTTAGAGAACTTCTCACCATCATCAGACGTCCGTTTCTCCTCATAAATCCTCTGGAACACTTGAATCTGAGCACCAGAGGCCACGCCCGCTACACATCCAACCTGTGTGCTGTTGCCATGGAGACCTGACAGCACAGCCGTGGTGGTGACGGTGACGGTGTTGTTGTTGTTGTGGACTCTGGTGGTGTTGTGTTGTGAGAAGCTGAGGTGTTGTTGTGTAACAATCAGCGTTACAGTGGGAGCAGGCCGACCTGTGGCTGAACACGACACCTCTGACTCTTCAGGAGACCAAGGTTCTCTGATGTGAAGGACTGGTCCATGCAGCTCTACACACACACACACACACACACACACACACACACACACACACACACACACACACACACACAATTACTAACAGGAAGTGCAGATCAAAGGTCAGCAGGTGTGTGATGGACCCTCACCATAGAGTTTGAGGCAGGTGGTGCCGATCAGCGCTCCTTTACCGTAGGTGTTGAACACACAGCGATAGCAGCCTTCATCCTCACCCGTCGCCTCCCTGATCACCACAGAGCAGTTCTGCAACTCTTCGTACTGAAAATCCATGTTGTCCTTCAGCTCAGGTCTCACTCGGGCACCAAAGCGTCTGGTGTACGTGGCCAGGTCCTTCTCTCCATCAGGGAGGATCTTCTGCCAGGTGATCTGGAGGACGTCGTCATGTTCAGTCAGCTGACAGGTTAGAGAGGCGGGGCCTCCTGCTGCTGCCATCACGGCCTGCTCTGTTTGGATCGTGACTGATGCACCTGTAAGGAGACCAGGTGACTTGGACCGTTACAAAGACCTGAAAACAAGGACCTGCTGCAGATGCACCGAGGATGGAGAGCAAGTCTCAGGTGAGATGAGGAGTTAGTTACAGCTTAACTAGTTACACTAGAAACTAAATAACTGGAGCATATCTTCTGAGAGCAAATTATCAGAGGTGGAAAGATTACTAAAATGTCCTACTTAATTATGAGTACCAATACTTTGATAATTTTTTACTCAAGTGCAAGTAAAAGTACTTGCCTAAATTTTTACTCAAGTAAAAGTAAAAAGTATCTTAAAAAATGTACTCAAAGTAAAAGTTACCTAGTTACATTTTTGTCAGCATAAAAATGGCTACATCAGTACAAAATCACAACACCAGTTCACAACACGCGCGCGCACACACACACACACACAACACACACACACACACACACACACACACACACACACACACACACACACACACACACACACACACACACACGTCATGATACTGAACTGCTTTAGTAATACTTTAATCTCTTGTTCTGGAGTAAAATAAAGAAACAAGCTAAATATCTCATATCTGTGGCATCAAGAAGCATCTTCTGAGTTCAAACACAGGGATGGAGCACAATGTTTACACCTGAACAGTATCAGGATGGTTTAACTCACAGAGGCCTGCAGGTCTTCTGTTTTATGAGCAGAGCGCTGATAATCCGCTTGTTATGAGCGCTAAACGTTATTTTGCCGCTGCCGTGCGGAGCGGTAGAGAGACACATTTCAAACACGGAACCGAATCCGGCTACCGAACCGAGTGGAATTGTGATGACGTCACACCGGTGCGCACAGGTGCGGGTTCCAACCCACAGGAGAGGAGGGAGAGAGGAGGTGAACAGCGAGTGGATCACAGGGACTGAACTGATGTTTTGGAGCTGAAGTGTACACCCACACCCCCACGGTTTAGACCGGCGCTCATACAGGTGTCTCTTTCTGTTCCGACGCTGCCACACACAATATTTTTTATTTATTAAGCCTATAATTTGTTTTTACTCAGTAATGGATATGATTTAAAATGTAGCAAATTACAATTCTTTTTTAAAAACTTACTCGCGTAAAACCGCTTTTAAAAACGACTTAAAAAGTATAAATATACAAAAAAGCCACTCAATTAGAAGTGAGTAAATGTAGTTCGTTACTTTCCACCTCTGCAAATTATAAATATTAAAATATTAGACTTTTAAGAACATTTATCAAAACTAAACACTCTTTTCTGCGTTTAAACATTTCTGATCCCTATTTCTGGTCATTATTAAAATAATCTTTATTAACATTTGTAAATCTGACCTTCATGCTGTCACAATGTCACTGTTCTGCACCATATCTGTTCCTGACTACCTCACCTGTAGTACAATAGTGCAGTAACAAGGTTACAAACCTGAGCAGACTGAGATATTCGAAACCCTAAAAATAAAACTATATCAACTTTAAAATGTGTTTTCTTATCTTACCTTTAGGAATAAGTTCCAACAGAACATAGAGACACGTGACAGAAGCGCCAAACATTGTTGCGCCACTGAATTCAAATTCAAACCAGGTGAAGGAGGAAGGGGAGGAGCGTTGGTGCGTCAGAACCGACCACCTCAGAATAAAAATACAAATAAAGAAGATAATAGCTAACCATACTTGTGACGAGATGCGTTTGAACATCGAACAATAACAAGGTTAATTACATTTAAATAAAAAAAACCTGAAAACTACTTTCACTTTCATTCTCCACGTTTATGAGCTTAAACTGTCACGTGTTCTTTAGGACTCTTAGTCCAGTTTACAGAAGTAGAAAAACATCGTACAGGTGAGATAAATGAAATGAGCACGTGACAGGCTAAAGCACAAGGGAATAATAATTAACTGTGTGAAAACGAAGTATAAATTACGTTAACTCCTAATCTAAAAAAGAAAAAGACGGTTATGTTATATGGTAGATGAGCCCCCCAAGGCGCTTTTCTTTGCGTTCATGCTACAACCAGAGCACAGCTGAAGGGAAAAACTCAGATTCTTATTTAAAGTAACAATAAATACTTGATGGAAACACTTTTGCTACCAGAGCTGACCCAAACGACAAAACAAACACATCTGATCACAGAAAATCTGTTTAGTTTGATCTGGAGGCAAAAAGTCTGGATTTTAGGTTGTGGATCGTGAAAATATCTTTAGATTCAACACGATCATATAAGTGGGTAAATAGCGACACCTGGTGGCCATGCTGAGAAACTGCAGAAATGACTTTAAGTCTTTTACAGAAAATTTAAAGTAACTAAACAAAAAAAATTGACTCAAATGCTAAATGGTTCATTTATATTTCTGACAGCCTGAATAAACTTTGAAGAAAATCTCTGATTTCCTTACAAGCAGCAGGAAGCTAGGACTAAAGGCAGAAAGAGGATTTGCTGTGACCACCGCTGAAGGGCACAGCTCAAGTAGAAATAATGACATCACACATATTTATTATTAAACCACTTCAGTTTTAGTTTGATTAATCTAAAAGCACAGATTAAGTGTAGTTCTTCACAAATGGAGCCAGTCTCTGAAATGTTCAGTGCAGACTCCCAGAGCCAGAAAGTGACACAAAGCGGGGATAACGAGAGAAAACAACGTGAAAGTCAGAAAAGACAGACAGCAACGGTCTCATCTCGTCATTCTGAAGTAAGAACGTGCAGAGTAGTGTGTGTTGAGGGGGCTCAGCAGGTTGTGCATGTGTGTGTATGTCAGTGTTTACAGCATTCTGAGGGATGAAGATATGGTTACAGAACCAAGTAATTCTGGTCTTGATGCTCCAGAACCTCCTGCAGGTCCTCACCACCTATTCTCAGTAGAAACCCGACTGAAGAGCCCATCAACAGGTGACAGCTGGGGTGAGACTTAGGAGGAGTTCATGTACCAAAAGGTGGGACTGAACTGTATTGAAGATGATGATGAACATGGGTGTTTGCGGCTGAATAAAAAAAACAGTGCCAGCATACTCTGGATGACCCCTGGCCTCTGACACAGCTAATGCAACATAATGCAGCTCAGCATCGCCTCAGCGGGTGAATAAAGTATCAGTGTTAATAAAGTTTGCATTTAAAACATTAAGGTCAGCTTTAGCAGCCTTATTAATCCAGCAGGCTGGTTGGTGCCTCCGTTCAGTCTTTCTGTTGCTGCTGGCGTTGTCTGGCTGTCTTCTCCTTTCCTGTCAGTTTGCTGACCTTGTCATGTTCCCGAGCCAAGGTATTTGAGGCAATTTCCCACAGGTGAGGAGCGGAGGGGGCAGCAGGTGTGCCGAATCTCCAATCAGGATGTCTGGTTGTTACGTCCATTGACCTGTAGGGGCTCTCTTGGAGTAGAGAGCTTCCTGTTTGGTGTTTGTTTGCGGGTCTGCTGCCACACCCGGGTGCCCAGCTGGGATCATTTGCTCCTCATCAATGGACCTGCATACAAGCTCCAGCCAGCCAGCCAGCACTGCAGCCCCTAACTCCTGGGCACAGGCTGTTTTGGTGATTGTGAAGGTGTTAAAACCTGTGTAGCATAAGCTACTGTGATACCAGTAGTATTTAGTGGATACTGGTTGTGCTAGATGTTCATTCTTTTATTAGTTGGGAAGTATTTGGTAGGGGTTCTCTGCCTTTTTCTTTGATGCACCGTTTTCTCCTGTTTTGTGGACAGCCAGTGTAGCCCAGGCATTGTATTTGTTTCTTTTCATTAGAGAAGGGTTGCATGTTTTTTTGTTTTAGCAAAAGGGGTGGGGTTTTTGTTGTTGTTTTGGCCTGGAGACCCTGACGTTGAACTACTTCCCTCTTTTTGTTATAGTGTTAAGAAGTTCCTGGTTGTTTTTCTTTTATTTGTATATTAAATGCCTTCTTTCAGTTTGTTTGTTTTTTTGTGTTACACCCTAACCTCCTGGACCGCTAATTTCTCAAGGGTTGTAACATAAGTGGGGGCTCGTCCGGGATTATTCTTTTTTTTGAACATGGCGCAGTTTGATTTGTTGGCGTTTGTGAGTAATTCCACTCTAGAACAGTTTAATGTGTGTAGAAAGGATGATTTGTGTTTAATTGCATCCCATTTTGGTATCACAGTGACAAAGAGTATGCTGAAACGTGATTTGAAGTTGCTTGTGTTTAACGGCCTGGTTGAAAATGGTGTATTCCCTCAGGGGGAGGACAAGGCGGATGGCTCGTCTGTACCTGAACTTGCAGAATCTCTGGACGAGCTGGCTGAGGAAGGAGCCAGGACCCCTACGGCTGGGCCAGTGGACGAAAAGTCCCCAGCCTCTCTTCCACGTTTTGTGCCGTTCTCCCCAGAGACAGCACCTTTTAATGTTAGTGCACGCTTAAAGGTACGTCTTGTACGGTGTCACGAACTCCTCCAGCTGATTGCATTCCAATCATTCCTGCCACCAACGTGGCGGCTGACGTCATCACGCTGACACTACTTAAGGAGGTGCCGGCGTTTCATTCATTGCTCAGTCATCGTTCTCACCAGACTTTGTATCGAGTCTCCAGGCTTACCAGCCCTCAAAACCTTCTAATCACACCTTCAGGAGATAACCACGCCGGTTATCTCCATCACTCCGCGTCTGGGCAACAGAAACTCTCAGTCACGCTTCAGATCTGCCAACGAACCTGACATACAGCTAGAGCTTGAAGCAAGAGAGAAGGAACGCAGAGATGAACTAAATTTCCAATTGAAGTGTCTGCAAATAGAGGCTGAAACCACAATTAAAATATGTGAGATGGAGTTGCAGTCTAAGAAACTGTCCCCTGAACTGCCTTCTTCTTCTCCTGACAAGGATGAAGAGGACGAGGGTAGGGTGTCTGTTAACCCGTCCACTACTCCAGCCCCTTCCTCGTTTGATGTAGGAAAGAACATTGTTTTGGTTCCTCCTTTTCGAGAGACTGAAGTGGAGGCATACTTCTATGCCTTTGAGCGCATTGCTGTAGCTCTGCATTGGCCCAAGGAAGTTTGGTCTCTTTTGCTGCAGTGTAAATTGGCGGGTAAAGCCCAGGAGGTATGTGCAGCGCTGTCCATGCAGGACAGTCTTGTGTATGACAAAGTGAAAAATGCCATCCTAAGGGCATATGAGTTTGTGCCTGAGGCCTATCGGCAGCGTTTTAGAACCCAAAGGAGGACAGCCACCCAAACTTTTGTGGAGTTTGCCCGAGAAAAATAAATGCTTTTTGACAGATGGTGCCAGGCAAGCAAAGCTACAGACTTTAACTCACTACGCGAGTTGATGTTGCTGGAGGAGTTCAAGAACTGTGTTCCCGAGCGAATGGCATTATACTTAAATGAACAAAAAGTGAACGTCCTCCAAGAGGCAGCTGTCCTAGCGGACGAGTTCGCTTTAACACACAAGAACATTTTTGTGAGCAAGTCTGATTCTTCTCCTTGTGATCAGATTCAGAAAGAGTTCAAACCCCCATACCACCCAGCCAAAGGTTCCCAGAGTTCTAACTCAGAAAGACAATGTTTTTTTTGTCACAAAGTGGGACATATAGTTTCTGAGTGCTGGGCCCTTAAACGTAAACAGGTGCCTCAAGGACCAAAGCCAACTAAAGGTGTTAACCTGATCAAAACGCTTGGGCCCTCACCACTGCCAACTGCTCTGGAAGAACCTGATGTATGTTTTAAACCTTTCATCTTTGATGGTTTTGTCTCTTTGACAGGTCAGCAGGAAGATCAGAAATCAGTAAAGATTCTGAGGGACACTGGTGGTTCCCAGTCATTTATTCTGTCTGATTGTCTGCCCTTCAGTAGTAATTCATCCTGTAAAGCCAGTACAATAGTACAAGGGATTGGGATGGACTATGTACCGGTACCATTACATCAGGTCTTTATAAAGTCAAAGTTGGCTTCAGGTGTCTTTGATGTCTCTGTAAGACCGTCATTTCCTGTCGCAGAAAACCGTAATAGCTTTTTGGATCTCTGAAATTTTTCACATTAATTTGTGGATGACTGACGGGGTAACTTTGTGTCACATTTACATAAGGATAGAGACTTGTAAAATCAACGTAGTAGATCTTTTCATGGCTCTGAGACGAATACCTGAGATGCACGGGGCATGTCCTCCCTCCGAACAGTGCTTCATCCTTCCATAAGCAAGTTCTCTTAAAGTGGACCCTTATTGATAAACATAACTTTTCACCACATAAATACCTTATCTGGAACAATAGAGATCTCTTAATTAAAAACAGATCACTTTTCCTTGAGACTTGGGTGCAGAATGGGATCCTGCTGGTGGCACATATACTTAACAAGGATGGACAGCTGCTCAGCTACAATGATTTCTGCTCAAGTTATAGCTTTCCTGACAGTCCCCAGGAATTCTCAATGATGGTGAATGCTATACCCTCAGGAACTCTAATGCTGTTTAAAAATTGTGATAATTTACCACCTACTCAATTGACACTACCAGGTCCAACTGAATCAGCAGTGGGGAAAGTTTGCTTTTTACAAGGACGTGGTAACAGCAATAAACAAATATGCATTCTGTTTCAAAAAGGTATTGTTTCGCACCCATATGTCACATCATACTGGAATCGCCATGTTCCGGATATCAACTGCAAGGCAGTATGAATGATTCCCCACAAACATGTGTTAGTAAATAAAGTAAAAGGAGTGTCATTTAAAATCCTTCATAAAATTTACCCTGCAAAACACTACATGGTGAAGTTTAAAGGAGATGTTAATGTTAACTGCAGATTTTGTTGAGGTCATCCAGAAACTGTTAGTCATATGTTTTGGCACTGCTCTTTCACACAAAGGTTTTGGAAGGAGTTCAGCAGGTTTATTATTCAGCATATTTTTAAGGATTTCTCTTTAAGATGGCAAAATGTGTTATTTTGTTTTTTTAGTCCCCCCAAAAAGTATGATGTCTTTTTTTTTTGTAATAAACTTGTTACTTCTCTTGGCTAAATTCCATATTCATAAATGTAAATTTGCTAAAAAGATGCCATATTTTCTGTATTTTCTTAAAGACGTAGAACTATATATTAATCTAATTTCTCAATCTGTTAACAAAAAGGCTCTCAAAACAATTGATACTTGTAGATTTTTACATATATTTGCATAATTAATCCCCCTGGCTGAATGTTCTGTTAAATGTACTCTTCTGTATGTATACTTCTTGTGTTCTCTTGATGTATACTTGCACTTTGTTAAATAAAGTAAAAAAAAGAAGGGTAAGCCCCATTTTGTTTGCAAGATTTTGAAGATTTGAAGAAGTTTCTTTCAACTTGTAAGATCCTCACAAGCATGGACGTAATTTTGGGGGGGGGACAGGGGGGACGTGTCCCCCCCACTTTTTCCAAAGTCAAGTTTTGACCCCTGCACTTTTTACCATCCAAAAACAATATTACGCTATTTTAAAGTGACACTGGTTGCGCTCTAGGACCAAGCGGAAAACAACCGTTTGTGTTGAAGCCCATTTCCCATTAGAGCATACTGTGAAGACCCCCCCGGTGTCCCCCCTACTTCTAAAGTGAAAATTACGTCCATGCTCACAAAGAGATTAATTCCCTGTCAGTTGTATGCAGTCAGCGAGGTATGTTTATAAGCTGTATTTTACTTCCTCTGTATTATTTTATATCGTCATCTATGATATGAGAGTTTATTTCCTTTTATGCTTATGTACACTGTTTAGTTTGATGGTGGAGTTTGATTAAAGTGCTGTGAAGAATTAAACCCATCAGTACTTGAAGAACTAAGGCTTCGTGTATTTCTGGAGGGAGTGATAATCATGACCACTTTAGGATTAATAGAAAACCCAAATGAAGAATACTTTTAGAAAACTACTCAGTTAAAGCTTAATGAGATGATGTTAAAACCAACAGAACAACTTTATAATTAAACATCTTTTAATTTGTCCACATGCCACTCTGCTATCATAAATACTTACTAAAACCTTCCACACATTTCAGACCACTTGATGAGTTCACCTCTAATAAATTCTTGTGATAATAAATACTCTAGCATGCACAGATCCACAGGTTAATACAACATTAGAACAACACCATAATCTTTTACATAAATCTGCATCAGAACAACAAATAAATTATGATAAAGTGCAAAAAGAGTGCCAAAAGGAACATTGAACCTAAAATATTTGAGGTATGTGTTTTAATCAGAAAGCTAATTTTTATCAGATTAAGAATTTAAGTCTTTAGGCTCCAGAGTCTGGTGTAATATTTGTTTGTTGACACTAGGTGGCAGCACAGGCTGCTAAATCTACCAGCTCTGATCTATTTACATTCAAAAGTCTCCCCGGCTCCAGGTTAAAGTGCTGCAGGTTTAAAAGCCGAGCAGTAGTTTAACAACACGAAGCTCTGGGTTGTAGTTTATAAACTACTAACATCCTGTTTCCTAGTAAAGCAGCTTTAGCTGTAGCTTTGGCTTATTAACATTACAGGTGGTGAGGAACACCGGGGTCTGGTCAGGGAATCAGATCTCTGCGCTCTTGTTTCTTCTTTAACCTGCCAGAAAGAGGAAACAGCCAAGTTAAACTTCCTGTGAGCACCAGCAGGTTCATCTCTATGTGAAGAAACTCACCTGTGTCGGATCACTACAGCTGATACCACGGTCAAGGAGATGAACATGACTAAAGTGATGATGATTGAGATGTGATGATACCCTGAAGACAAAAAACAATCATTTAGTCTCCACAGAAATGAGTCAGGGAGCTGGGAAATCCTGACGGGGGACTTTTAATTAGAAAAACCAGCCGTTTCCAGGATGAGGTCATGAGACCTTTTAGACCTGCGGCTGTGACAACAGGGGCGGGGTTTCCCTGAACATGAAACTGTAACTAGAGCCTTGAGTTGTAAATCAGCTGATTCATCCTCTGCAACACACATGAGCTTTAAAAAGGGCAGTTTCTGGTCTCGAGTCACTTTAGCCTCGGTTTGCTAACCCTAATCCTGCTGACAGCCAGCTGTAGAATGTTCTAGTCCCTAAAAGGTTACAGCTGGTTATGCAGATGTTATTTTACAATGGCCTTGAGTTGGAAATGTTCTTGCTGTTCTCACAACATTATGACATCACTCTGCACTGCTACACGGATAGCAGCTAATGTCTGCAGGAAAACCTCAGAAAGGTTTCAGTGCATGGTGACAACCTAAGAACCTGACGCAGCGGCCTCTAGCACAGCTGACAGCTGGTCATCCCACAGGGATAGCACACGATAGCATGCTAGTCTCTGCAGGAAATCAGCTAATCTCACAGCATATCTACTAAATGGGATTTTTATCTTAAGCCACTGAGTCTTTTGTTAAAAATAAAATAAAAATGGATGAAAATCAGCTTTTAAAATTTATAACTGCTGTAGTTAAAACATTTCACAAGTAATAAATAAACTCGATTTACTTCTACTAGCTCCTTAAGCTAGTAGCTAAAACCCCATCTAATCTCTGTTTGTCCAAACTGAGGTCACCAATTCTTCGTTTCCTTTTTTTACACATCTAAAAACTCTGGAATATCCCTTTGAATTGACGTTTTTGCTGCTGACGAAATGAAGCCGAGTGGGAATGTCTCTAAGGGATTTCCTGGGTTCCTGGTTTGGTGGAATAACAGGACTTTTAGGGTTTGTCGGAACATGTGACATCACTACTACTGGGAATGTGACTGAGATATCCGGAATTTCCTTCAGGACTTCCTTTAACCGGAGCCAAGAGTTTATTTTAGGTGGATCTAAATAAAAACCTTCCGGTTAGTGAATGATGGGACTATTTAATTAACTGGAAACTGAATTTCTCCTTGTTGTTCCGATCTGATCAGGTTACAGGAAAAAAAAAAAGCCTAAATGGTTTCTGGTCTCCCTTACTGTTTTCTTTCTGCTCCTCTCTGCGGTAGGAGAAGACACGTTCCAGTTTTCCTCCTCGCTTTTCCTTGTTCAGCAGACAGTCCACTGTTCCCGTCCAGTCTGCAGCAATTCCCAGTGTGATGCTGCTGCTGCTGGTCACGGTTCCGTCGCCGTTGGAGACCGTACTCGTCTGTGGTTCGGTTGGAGTCTCAGCTCCAGGTGAGACGTCCCAGCTGATGGACGGAGCTGGTTTTCCTGTAGCTGAGCAGCTGAACACTTCCTGTCTGAATTCTGTGTTGGGTCTGTTGGTGGGAATGTGGCTTGTGCTCACCTTGGATATTCCTTTAGGGAGGATTTGGAATTAGAAACAGACAAAAGAAGCTTTTTAAAGTATTCTCAGCCCGTGTATCTACCTTGTACCGTCAGGCAAAACTGTTTCCTTTTGGACCCTTCAGGAAAAACGTTGAAGGCACAAACGTAGCATCCTTCATCCTCCCATGTCACGTTCCTTAAGGTGATGGAGGACGAGTTCAGAGACTTCTCCGTGAAGCTCAACTTTCCTCTGTAGGGCTCGTTCACCTGCTCTCCAAACTGTTTACTGAACGTGGCTAAGTTTTCTATGGCTTCACCTGAAGGCCTCTGCCACGTCACCTGGAGCACACCTGGTGGACAAACAGCCAGGCCCGTCACAGCTGACCTTTTGGACCGCTTTCTGAGAACTACACAGGTGCTCTAAACAGGTGGGACTTACCTGCTGTAGGTGCAACTGTGCAGGTGAAACTCGCGTTTCCTCCAAATTCGACTGTTGAACTTCCATGTCCGCTGATTTGAGAGGAGCTGGCTGGAATCAAAGTTTACGACATTTAGGTGAGACAGAAACCTGACCGTTGATCTCAACACTGCTCTTTAGCAGGAGGATAACGTAGTTCACCTGTTTGGTGGTAAAGGCACCAAAACACTTTAACCCTTTCATTCAGAGGCCTCTAGAGCAGATTGATGGTATTAAAGCCACGAGTCCTGCTGACTGGCAGCACCACTGATGTCAGTCAACAGCAGTAATAATTACATTAGATACGTATCTCCTGCAGTACTTAGATCTAATGTCCTGTACCAGTCCTGTTAGAGGGGTAGAGGTCAGAGAAACATCTGGCGCAGATGTGGTACGTTCAATGGTAACAATATATTATCAGAATATATTAACTTTAAATATTACATTAAAACAATTTTTGTTTAAACTTTATGCTCAAATATGATTAGATACATTTTAGAGAAATAAAATATTTTAAATTATTATTATTAGCAGTAAATTGATTATTTTTATACTGTAAGCTACGTAAACTTGTCTTTTTTATTTACTTTAATTTTGAGCTCAGCTGCTGAAATAAATTCAAATAAATAAAAATAAAATTAAAACATTCATTTCTGAAATAATTGGAGGTCAAAGTGAATTCTACAAAGACATTTGAATAGAAATATTTATTAGTGAATTTAATAAACATCTGTCAGGTTTCCATTAGACACTTTAAAATATTAATGATAATAAATCATATTTATTATCAATAACAATTTGATTCGGGTAATAAACTAATATTTAACTATTTTATTATTTTATTAAATATAAAAAAGTCCAAACAAAGAAGCTGCATTAGTGTTTTATATTTAGTTAAATAAGGAACATTTCTATTAGATATGAAAATAAAAACAAAGTGAAAAATTACCTTTAGATGCCAAAAGGATTCCAACCAGAAGGACGATCATTCTGCTGCTTTCTGTTTTGCTTCATAGGGAAGTCCTTATAGGCAGGGGAAAGGAAACACAAAGTGGGTGGGGCTTCTTCACAATACACAAGTTCTCCCAGAAATGTTTCTTCAGATATCAAGTTAAATATATTTTAGTCAAATATTTATGTTAATAAATAATCAGCATTATTTTCTAGTGATGATGGATTTTCAACTAACTATTTTAAACCGGGTCAACAATAACAACAATAATAAAATAAATAAGCACAACTAATAAAGAAATAAGAAGAAAATGAATTAGTGACATTTTTGAAATTCTATATTTATATAAATTTTTATGGGGATGAATATTATTGTAGCAATAATGATAATTATTATTATTATTGTTGTTCCTACTATGACATCCAGTAAATACTCGCTGTACTTCTGCTTGCACCGACAGCTCCTCGTGGTAATCAGCGACACCAGAACTTCCCTTCGGCCGTCGGGCATTTTGAGGTTTGAACCCGCGTGATTTCAGTCATGGGAACTCTCAGCACCCGTTTCCTGGAGACTCCCCTCACGAGGAGGAGGAAATGACAGGAAATAATCAACATCAGTGAAAAGACCATGATGAACATTTATTATTTACAACATGAGACAAAAACAGCAGATTATTCTGACCTTAATCTGATCAAATCTGTGGTTTCACTTCAGTAAGTGATGCTGCTGCTTCCTTTTTGAGGGTCGTGGTTGTTGTATCTACTCTGCAGCACATTGTGTCACTATGGAAACGTGCTGTATGAGTAAAGTTGAGTTCATTTGAACATTTCAGCTCTAGGTCGGTGTCACTCTCACTTTCTCTCATGAAACTGTCCAGAGGAAGTCCACGAAGACCTTCCTGGAGCTCGGTCCAGTGATGGTAACTTCATGTCAGAGGGAAACCTCGCTGCCTTGTCTAGGAAGAGATGATGGATGAGTTAAGCTCAGGGTCTGAAACAATCTGAGACTCGGGAGATTAAACACAATTATCATCATAATAATGTAATCCTAATTCCAAAACCAGGATGAGGAAGTTGTTTTTAATTCCTGGTGTGCACCACGGAGCTGGAAAGGCCCTAGCTCTCCTGAGAGAGGGAGGGATTATTGGTGTTTTTGTTAGGACTTGTGTTTGTGTTTCAGTTTCCAGATGAACGCCGTCTGTAAAAAGCTTCAGTCTCACAGAAACAGATTATCTAGGCGTGTTCTGCATCATCAGCGCAGTAAAAACTTTATATGTTAACACAGCTGCACAAGTGTTGCAAAGATGACTTTCTCTGACTGTCAGGATGACTCGGTGCTGACTCGGGGTCAAACTGGTGAGACAAGCAGAAGTGTGCAGAAAGACTCTGAGTGTTGCAGACTGGTCTGATTAAATCAGCCTAACTGCTGATTGCATCTGTTTCATTAACCATCTAAGCCTTCTACAGCAGCAGCTCTGCACCTTTTCTGTAACATCATCAGTAAAGAAGCATCAGATTTTTCAGGAAATGTGTGAATCGGACATGCATCCATTGTATTCATGCGGCATGAAAGCAGGAAGGCGTCCGGGGCTTTCAGAGGCTTTTGGCCTCATGGTTCCTCTCTGAATTAAAGGAAAAGTCTGAGCTAGCTGGGAAACACCGAGCTGTAAAACCACAAAAACAGCAAAATGACCTGAAACTCAAAAAGGCTTTGAGAAGTGAAAGTAGCTGCTTGTTTTGATCAGATGTAACAGTGATTAAAGATAATCACAGGGCCTCATTTGTCTCGACTGCCAGTTCTGTCAGAAAAACATCTTGTTCTGCACATTTCAACAGAGCTACAGCAACCTCAGACCACACACCCGATGGTCGAGCACAGCCCGAAGAGGAGACGCGGGTCCTCCTTCCCATGGGCTCACCACCCATGGGAGGGGCCGATGGGGCAGGTGCAGTGTGTGTGGTCGTCCAAGAAGCTAGCTCTCAGTACGTGGAATGTCACCTCTTCAGAGGGAAAAGAGCCTGGGATGGTATGTGAGGTTGAGAGGTTCCAGCTATAGCCGGACTCACCTCGACTCACGGCTCCAGAACCAGTTTCCTTGAGAGAGGCTGGACTCTACTACCAGTCTGGAGCTGCTCCCACTGAGAGGCACAGAGTAGGGGTGGGCATACTTGTTGCCCCCCTCTTGGTGCTTGTACGTTGGGGTTTACCCCGGAGAACGGGGTAGCCTCCTTCTGCCTCCGTGTGGAGGACGGGTTCTGACTGTGGTTTGTGCTCATGCGCCAAACTGCAGCTCAGCTGGAGGAGTAAATAGCTTTAGACGGCAAGACCTGGAGTCACTTCCTGTTATGTGGACATCTCTCCTCTGATTGGCTAGCAGCAACACAACTCTACCACTGACTGTTTGCTCTGCAAAGTTGACGTTTCATCTCCACCAATAACACAAGCCTGGAGGAGTTCTGCTGTGTGGTGGAGTTGCTAATGCTAACGGTTAGCTTCCTGGATGCTAAACCAACAACAGCCTTCCCCATTGTGAGTCAAGATGGGTGAGTCCAGGAATCTAAGTGACAGTGTGACGTAGATCTGTCAGGGTCTTCTAATCCTGGAGTTTCACCATCTATTTTCTATCAGAAGCTGAAGCAGGAGGTATGTGTAGGAGACTATTTTCATGTTCAACCTGCATGAAACACTCAGAGTGGCCCGTTAGAATCACACATAATCATTAAAAAACTGTTTCTTTAATGATTTTTCCATGTTAGATCTTTTTCATTTACTTCTTAAATGTCATTAGATTCAAAGCGATTCACATCTGGAACATTTGGGATTTCAGTTTTCCCAGTTGGAGCGGAACGCTCGGGGCGACAGAAATTATATGTTGAATGTTTCCTGGTAAACCATCCGGGAATTACCTAACACATAATGATCACCTAGAATCATCGCACCCTGGAGGAACATTACAGTAAACCTGAAAATAAAACAACCTGAGTCAGAGGGGACATTCTAGGTAGTGGGAAGGCCGAGGCTGAGGTCTTTCCTGGAGCAAGCAGAAGTAAAAGCTGCTAGCGCTGACGGCTTATTATACAGCTGTCAGTCAAATGGACACGCCCTTATTTATGCTTTAATTACATCTAAATTACTAAATAATTCTCCCTCCTCTGAGTTGCCATGAATGTAAATTAAACCTAAAATGTTGTTCCAGGCTGTAAACATGTTTATTTCTGCTGTGTTTTTAACATGGGAGTCAATGGGAACGTGTTACTTTCTGGAGCCAGCCCCTAGTGGATGAGGTGGGAACTGCAGCTTTTATAACTTCTGCAAAGGCTTCACTTTTAGCAGGAGGAGGTTTGTTTCTCAGCAGCATCCGTCTCCATCATCATTTATTTATTTGTAGAGCACCTTTTTAGCACCAGTTAAGGTGGCTCAAAGTGCTGAACATTCAAACCAAAAAGAAAAACATAATTAAGCAGAGTTTAAAAAAACTAAAACCATAAAACAACAAATAAAACAAAAGGACAGCATGTTAAAAAGTTAACCAATAAAAACAATAAGAGTCAAATATAAAAACAACGGTCTGAATCATCCTGATGACAGAGTATCCATAGTGGAACTAGCCCTTCACAATAAAACATATACCTGTAACTCACAGCATTTATAGCTTTCACAATGTTTTATTAATACTGTTGTCTCATTAAACTTAATCTGGTAAACAGTTTAATTATTTCTTGTTTTTTAAGCCAGAGATTTTTTAGGTACATGTGAATGTTTAAGACTCTTATTGAGAAGGAATAAAAGGAGCTCCACTGTGGATGGAAGTAGCCAGATGACAAACCCTCTTTATTTATGGTGTACTCTGTAAAGATAAAATAAAAAATAGCATCTTAACATTTTATCTTTGCTGTCTCCCGTTGTTAAATTACTTTAATGACATTTTCCTTTTACAAAATCAAGTTTTCACCAGAAAATCTCGTCCAAAGACCGGAAAAAGAATTCTGCATGACCCAAAGAATAAAAAACAACGTTTCATTCAATATGAATAAAAACAGAATAAGTTTAATAATAAAAACAGGCAGATTTTGGTAAGAAAGCTTTAAAAGAACAACACAGCGACACCTTGTGGACAATAAACCAGTCCATCTGTTCATCAGTTATGTGAGACGATTAGAGTAGAGCTCATTTTCTTTGTGAATGAAGGTGCTGTAAGGTTCAATCCACTCTGATTCCTGCAGAAACAATAAAATAAATGATGAAAATGTTCTTTTTAACAGGAAATTAAGCTATTCTGATATCAGGTACCTCGTTAGGACGGTTGTTTTGTGACGGTGGTTTTCTGCAACACAACATAAACAAACAGTCTGTGTTATGGAAATTACACAGGAAGTGAGATGAGCTGTCTCACCTTGTGTGAAACGTAAACATCTAACTGCTGATAAGGAGATGCATGTGTTTATTAAAGGAGACAGTAAAGATCTTCATTTCTCACCGTTTCAGCCTTCTGCAGATACATCCCAGAATAATTACAGTCACCATAATGGCTACAACCACAATCGTCCAGTTGTGTGGAGCAGCATCTCCAGCAGAAGCACGTTCACCCTGATCTGCTGGATTAAAGAGAAAACGTGAACATGGAGAGAAGACGTGTCCCTAACCAGGGCTAGATTAACACTTTGTTGTACCCTGGGCAACAATATTCAAGGGCCCCATCATCACGACCCAGGGATCACCATAATATGGTCACATACAGAATATTTTACTGTAATATGCAGTAAATATACTCAATACTTGAATGCCTGACATCATGTAACCCACCCAGAGTAACCTTTGACCCACCTCGTGTGGACTGACCAATGATGAGAGGGTCTTAACTTGAGGCCCTCTCTTCATTGGTCAGTCTGCATGAGATTGACTCTCAACTGACGTTCAGTCATAGGCAGCGAAGCGTCTCTGTGCAGCGCAAAAGCCCGGGTGGACAGTTTGTTTAATGTAGGGTGACCATATTTCCATTTCCAAACAAGAGGACAGGGGATCTGTGCCTATGACGTCACACTATGGCAACGCTGCACAAACACGTTGTGACCCATTTTTTTGTAAGAACTAAATTAATATCAGATTCTGCCAATAAAAGGGCTCTAAAACAATTCATATGTAAATATTTAGCATTTTTATTGCAAAATCTAATTTTTCTGCTTTAGTGCTGCAACAAGGTTTTATTAATAATAAATTATTATAACTTTTGTTTTACTACAGCATCGGTAAGCTTCCTGTGCACAGATTATTAAGGATGCTTGTTTCAGCTGTGAGATTAGACGATAGGATCAATGATAAAATAAGTTGTCACACACTCCATGGAAACTTTCAGAGAATCCACAAATAGTGGCTTTCACATGGTTTTGTTACTTTTTGCAAGTTTATAAAAGAAGCAGATGAGACATCATGTCTGATAATTTAGTTTTTCATCTGATAATATTAGAACATGTCAGTAATGTCTGAGGGGCTTTTATAAACACTGTATAACTAATACTACTGGAGAGGGTATGAATTATTACACAGAGGCTTCTGGGAAGCCCAGTTATAGGGGGGGGGGGGGGGAGGTCATTTAGCCTTGGCCCCCTAAATGCCTTGAAACGGCCCTGGGTGTGTGACTGAGTTTTGAAGGTGATCTGAATTGTATCAGATGTATAAATATTATATGTATATAACTTATTGTTTTATACAGGTAAAAAGGTGTAGTGGAGATAAATCTACCTACATTTTACTTTTCAACACTTTGTTTTGTTTTCTTGTTTTTATTTAGCTATTTCCTGTCCTGTCTGTCTTTCATCTTCCTGCATCTCCTCTAAACTCTCCAGAAAAACTGCTGCCTGGATTCTTACTTTTTCACCTCATCAGTTACTTCTGAGCAGATCAAAGGGATCTCCTGACCGCAAAGCGGAGAGCGCATTTCGATGCTGCGTCAGTGAGGTGAAATCACCGCAGCACAGGTGATGAGCTCCACAGTAGCAGAGCACTTCAGGCACAAATAAGACAGAAAGTAGAGAACATGTGCAGACATGAACGATCGTGTGTTAATTATAGTTTTTTGGTTGCGCCACTTTGAGAATGGAC